CAACTTTCTAACTTCTTGTTTGTATTTATTAGTTGAATGCCTGTTTCAGATTCAACATGGATCCCAACTCCCAGGTCTTTTATTTGTTAAGACACAAAAAAGGATAGAGTCATAAGCGAAAAGTATTTGACGCTTACGTGTTGGTTGAAAACAACTCGGCAGTTCGAACCCCGCTGGGGACAATCGTTATTATGATAACTAAAAACATTTAAATCTCATAGAATATCATCATCGCCAAGGATGGCATAATTTAGATAGATGAACTAGGAAGCCTTATCCTCAATTGAAATGGACGTAAAGCAAGATCATCATACACACAAAAACGCAAGTGCTTAAAAATATATCTACACAAACGGAGAACTTATTGATCCTTGAATAAAATTGTACCTTTATTTTCATATTTTTGCAAAGCTCTATCCAATGGCTTCTTTGAACGGGTCTTGTTTTCACAGAAGTTTAATTAATACTTGTAACTATGTCAGGGTGACTCATCGAGCCCTAGTTCGCATAAGTTCCGAGGCGTCTTCATAAAGGAGGGCTTATTTATTAGAAAACACTGCATTGATTGGTCAATACAACATAGTTTGCAAAGCGAACAGTTGCGAGGGAAAACCGCGTAGTATTCAAGTAATTAGTATTCCCAAACCATCATTGTCATCTGATTTGTCGAAGCTTCAAGGTTTTTGTGCCAAACGTGTTACGGTAACGACAGATAATCATATTTTAGTAAAGACTACATCGAGCAAGCGTCGCTCATTTATATTTATGACGTTTTGAGTCTATATCGATATTTTATGCTGCTCACAGCTGTAAATGTGCGATACGCTACGTCCTAACCGTTCCTTTGGACAACTCAATGAAGTAAAAACTATTTACATACTCAGAAAGCAATTGGTTATCGTGTTTTATCTTACGAGTCAAGATCTCAAGATTCATTAACTCGCGATTCATTCGCCTATCAATCATCTTGGGGTCCATAAAAATAGGAATGGAGGTATCTTTTAACACATAATTACACATAACATTTCCATTTGCTTGATGGAGTGATCGTGTATCAGTGTTAACTAGAACCACTATGAAGCATGCGACACTAGTACTGGCTAGTTATTGCGTGTTCATATAGTTCTTTAATCGTGTTTAGATAATCAGTTGCACTGGACAACAAGCTGAAGTGACGGTTTCTACATAACATCAGGGATTTCCTTTTAAATTTGTATCATGTTAAGCTCATTTGTTGTCCAATGTTTATCTCCACTAAATTATGAGAAAGATGTAATCGAATTTGTGTCAACAAATATTTTATGTTTGTCTTCCAGAATAAATCTTAAGGTATGGAATCTGGAAGGCAAGCAGTGTGCACCTTATGATACAGTAGTATCATAGTATATCTCAATCCCCTGTGAGTCATCCCCATTCCTGTGTGTCACTCCTTTTGTCAGGATTTATCTAAATCTAACAGACAAGTCTAACAGTGAAAATAGCTAAATATTGGGAGTTGCAAAATCAGTTAAGTGGTTAGCTTAACCCTTAAGTAACATCCTTATTTTTGGTTACACATTGAACACCCTGGGGGAAAAAATTACCCCAAACGGAAATAGAAAAAAATTAAATAAATATTTAAAATCAATTCAATTTGTGATTTATATCTTTTAGCGGGCTCACTAAATTTACGATTGCTTTAAAAAAAATCGTCTACCTAGCGTAAAAAAACATCTAAATCAATCATAACAAAAAACAAATAATTTTTCATTTGCAACTAATAGTCTCCACAATGGTCTTCTAGAAAAATCTTGGAAAGTTATTGTGGGAACTAAAAACTTACACTAATCGGACATCGATTAAATGCTTTAAACACATTTTAAACTCAAAGTTAAATAAAACGAAATTTCTGGACTTATAAAAAAGAAAAATAATAAAAACTTGTTTTTTTATAAAATTATGAGAAATTATTTTTTATTTTATTTTATTCCTAATTATTATTTACAAAACACATCAAACACATTGAATTATTACATAATTATTACTTTCGAGCTCTATTTCTGTGTCGAATTTATGAACGCTTTGTTCTTAGGGGATGTCTTCAAAGTTCGAAAAGTATCATGTAAATCAAGCTTTATTTATCTGTCTACATTCTCGAGACAACGTGCTACTTGATCGTCATTTAAATATTTACTAATTTTGTTTAAATACTATAAAAACCTATGAATAACATGTTAGGTAATGATAAATTAAAGCAGGCGTAACTAACACCCTGGGGTAAATTTCTACCCCACCTAAATGTAAAAGCCAAACGGATGATTATTTTCATATGCCGCGTCTACGAGCTTAAAGCCCACGCTCTGCATTGAGAATACACAAAACGACATTGCACTAGCTTCGCTAGAAAAAAGATAGGTCAATTTTTATGCGCCTGGGGTAAAAAATTACCCCACGGTGTTACTTAAGGGTTAAAGTTCAACTAAAGTTTTGATGCTCTTGTAAGTTGGCAAAGTTCGTGCACCTTCTTCCGGGTTCTAGAAGTTGGATTCGGTCAATAAGGACGCTCGAGGAGTGCCTTGAGTGCTTTTCAACTAGATCTAGAAGCCTTCCGGATCCTATATTATATTTCTGTGTAAAATAATAATAAGTAGGTTATTATTACTTACTTATTAGTTTTCATTTTCAAATATTGCACATTCATTCCATGAATCAATTTTAACGTTGGTGGTTAATGCTGTTTCGAGGTCAGTGCAAGAAGGCAAATGGCGAGTCGAAATGCGGGTGACGAGTATATATATGACTAACTATTTTCGACGGTTAGCTATTGCCTCGTCATATTCATACTCATTCAAACTATTATGATAAGTAAACGCGAAATGAAATGCGTCTGTTAGTTTGTTATGTTTGCTCGCCATCAACAGAAGTAACATTGATTAATTTCGGTTAGAGATACGATTGTAGTTGGCTAAAAGAAAAATACAGGTTGTCGTTTCTCAGGTCTTTTTTTATGCAAGACAAGGTAGGTGTTTTACCGCAAACGCACCTGGTGATAAGTGAGATGCAGTCTAGGATGGTACATACATAATATCTACCCTGTAAGTGCCTATTCATTCTCGCCTTGAAAAGGCCCGGATTAAAGTCCCTATATCGATAAATCGAAAAATTAAATCATATTCTTGCTTTTGATACTAATTTAAATAGGGTCCTTATCGTAATTAGATACGTAGATAAAAATGGCCATTCACACGAAATAATTTAGATGATTAGGAGCATTTCAGATATTGACACGCGCGATAAGCACCTGTGACAGAGCGAAATCTACACGGGCATAGTGCAAGCAAATTCCAGTATTTGATGTTATAGTAGACGACGCGTAAATCAAGCTATGCTCTTATGTACTTGTAACAGGTGTGATTTTTCAACAAAAATTTATAGTTTAATGTGCAGCTGTCAACGGAAAAAATCTCTAGACGCTCTTCGTATGAGAAAACGGTAGCCATATCAACGCGACTTTTCTGCGCATCTAGCGTTTTGGCAAGTGTCGAACCGAATCCAATGACCGGCTGACGAACTAGCGTTTGTAAACAATACTATAATGCGACAGTGATTTGTCTATTTTTGGGTATTTTTTGCAAAGTTGTAAGACAAGTATGCCACTTTTAGGTATCGAACTTTTAAAGCTGTGTGAAACTTAAGTACTGACGTTTTATTTGTTTACATACAAGTGCCTAGAGGCGGATGACCGACCAATAAACGATGGTTATTGGTCTTGAGTAGCAATGATGACACCCAGTTGCAATTTATTTCAAGGTAAGTGAAGCATTGCGGAAATATATTCAATTTTATGTATATGTATTTTCATTCTGCTTGGGTCGAACTTTTTTTTATGCCAAGGCAGGTAAGCCTACATATTTGACAACAATCGAACCTGGTGTTTAGTAGGATGCAGTCTAGGATGGTACATAATAATATCTGCCTTGTAAGTGTCTATTTACTCTCGCCTTGAAAAGGCCCCGATTATAGTCTTCGGGAAAGACAGATTTCAATAGCCAGATAGCTTTTGTGTCATCATTATATTTTTACAGATAAATCCTCAAATCAATGCTTCTCATTAGTACAAAAGATAGACATCGAATGAGATATTCTGATCTATCTTTATACAATTAAACTCAACGCATTGGAGATGGATCTGAATCATCACGTTTGCTTAAGTGATTACATTAGATTGCTTATGTAGAAGTCAAACTGCATTAGAAGATGCCCCAACGTAATTGAACAAGACATAGCTAGATTGTAGATTACTTATTATTTTACAGTTGCCCATTCCACTTACCATTGAGTGGAACTAGTGACAACTTAACCGTACTATGTACAAACCATGGCACATCCAGCTTAACATTGAGGTCTCTTATGTCATTGTAACAGGTGCTATTATGCAACCAAAATGTAGTCTGATGTGCTGTCATCTGTACAACTCGACTGAATTGCATCGCCTTAACTGTACCGTAACTATAACTATAACCGATATTTTTGTATGGTGTTTGACAGACTTGACGTTTAAAAGCCACCATCTTACTTTAGCGTTTCGACGCTAAAGTAAGATGGTGCAACCCTAGAGTTGTCTAAATATAACTCAAAGGTAACTGACTGACTGACTGACATAGTGATCTATCAACGCACAGCCCAAACCACTAGACGGATCGGGCTGAAATTTTGCATGCAGGTATTTGTTATGACGTAGGCATCCGCTAAGAAAGGATTTTACGAAACTCCACCCCTAAGGGGGTAAAACGGGATCCACGCGTACCAAGTCGCGGGTGGCCGCTAGTTTATCATAAAGCTGCATGCTCACCGAGCCTGAGTTCGCCGAAGTTGCCGCAGCCGATCTTTTTCCCCACCCTAAAGTTGGGCCCGACCATGCGGACGGAAGACGACGTGCCTCGATATGAGTTTGTTATAGTTAAAGTAAGATGATGCAACCCTACAGTTGTTTATTGTTCATCATAAAGCTGCATGCTCACCGAGCCTGAGTTCGCCGAAGTTGCCGCATCCGATCTTTTTCCCCACCCTGAAGTTGGGCCCGACCATGAGGACGCCGGAGGACGACGTGACGGAGTGCCTCGATGTGTGCATCGCGCTACTTCCGCCCACGCCTCGCCCGCCGCCCACCGCGCCGGTCGCGCTGCAACAATGTACACGCACCTTTAGATCATTTCTTGTAGACACAGATAAGGTAGTAAATTATTGAATGGATATATTTAAAGTAGGTTACTTGACACAACTGACACAATTTTAACGAGGTGTCACTCATTAAGGGTGTTTAGAATGTGTCGCAGTGGTTAAGGTTAAGCTTCAGGAAAATTCAACACATTAGAGCAAGCGATGTAATAATGAAGTGTAATACCAATGATTAATTAATTATTTTTCTTCGTAATAGCCGTATTACGTATAAAGGGCATTGTATCGTCAATGTCAAGTGACATGGTGGAATTTGACTTGGTTTTCCCTGGTGACAAACGTTAACTAATCGGGAACGGTGGCCGTGGGATGTTACGCTTATTAAATACCTAAGTACAGCAATTTAAATTACAGGCTTATAGCATTAAGGTTTAATTTCGCAACGAGGGCAGTGCTAGATTGGGGCTAGTTTTATTTATATCATTGGAGGCATCACATTAATTTGACGATACCGTCTCGCGTAAAGTAGGCAGCATGGTTTATGCCTTAGCCTGTTCCTTGCGGAATGAATAAAAAATAAGGCAGTCCAAGACGAAAAAACGACATCTGGCAGGCTGAAGATTTTTTGCCCCAATTCATAAGCCATAGAAAGGGAAGGGTTACCGTTGGTTATCCTTGCAGAAATTTAAAATGAACGCAGACAGATTTAAAGAGACTCATATGATAAAACCCTCCAAGAAATAAAATGGATAATCAAAATAAAATTGGTGTTACTTTTATGAATAAAGGAGATAGGGGTTTCAGCCTTGTTACTTGCTCTCATCTCTAGTTTAGTCATTGGTCGCAGATTCAAATCCCGAAATGTATGTGTTAATGAGCTGTGCTTTTACTTAAATTTAGTAGCATAGTCAAAGCAGTGGATAGTTTAATCAACGACATAGTCTAACAGCAATAAGTACAATGGTAATTGGTAATGCACAACATTCAAGCAACATTTAAGAATGTACACATTGTACCTACAGGTTTCTTTGTAGGTAAATATGCATTTAAATTTTAAGAATTATCTCACTACGTTGCTTTTATGATGACACTCAGGTATTTACTTGATATTAATTCAATTGCCTTTATCTAGATGAAGGTGTAGACTTGAGATGTTATGGACATTGACTCTAATATGGAGTGATCACATGATGATGAAATCGAATTTGCATTGAGCAATCCCATTCCTGTTCATGCATCAATACATCTCAGGCAATCTTAGTCAAAATCAAAACAGACAATGATAAAAAATTTATCAATGCAAGATTATCTACTTTTGTTTATAGACTTTACCTATCTTAGTATTACTAAGTACAAACTTTAAAATGTTCAGTTTTTTGTGGAACTAAAGGACCTGCCTATCACAAAACTCAAACAAATCTCAATTATTTATTTAAATATGTATATCTTTTTTTTAATTTACAAGTAGATTCAAACAAAAAGAGCAATAAATGACAGATATTTAAATAATGGTAATAAGTAATAAATAAACATATTCATAATGTCATCCATGAAGAAATTACAAAAAATTATCCTGTCACAATGAGGGTTTTCGCGATTGAAAAATCCGCCAGATGGCGGGACGCGGACGTGGGGTCCGACCGCTGCGTGATTCGTGGATTTTCACATATCTGTCAATGTCATGTCAAAAATAACCAATCACGAAGCATCTGGACCCCGCGTCCACGTATCGCCATCTGGCGGATCCTTCAATCGCGAAAACCCTCATTTCCTTAAAAAATAACCTTGAAAACTCAAAAAATATTTTAAAATACATTTAAAGCGCCATTTTACTCATTGTGCATATTGTTACACACCCAAATGAATACTGGCTGCAGTGAGTAACACCAACCGTTATTGGCATTGAGTCTAAAAGTGAAAGTCTTTATGCACTCCCCAACGTGCAAAAGCATGGAACAAGACAATTATCTAGCCGCACAATACCCAAACAACATGCTGTTAATCCACATTTTTTAATGTATTGTACGGTGGAAGGTTTAAAATTGAAATGTCAACAGTTCTGATGCTTATACAGGTTTCCTATTAATTAAGAAGCTATTTATAGTGAAGTTATTGAGACATTTTAGTCATTAACTCTCATAATAATTTGATATTATAGTGCGAGTCTCATAATAATTTGATATATAAGAATGAGTGTGTTCATTTTGACATTATAAATAAACATCACCAGATGCGATTTCATCTGATTTATTTAGATACTCACAATTTTCTATGCATTGCAGGAAATGCTTTGAGAATAGCATGGATATTCACCACAGCTCAGGTTGTGCATTATTGAGAAAGATATTAGTCACCATCATAATAACAGACGGACATACTTGTCAATTTATCCTGACAATCAGCCAAGGCTGTACTGATTTACTGCAAAATCTCTACTGTCAGTTTAAAATAATAATAAAATATTAAATAAATCATTGCCAAAATAAAAACAATCATATAAAGATAAGAAACAAGCCAAAAATAGAGCTCTGAATGAAGAAACAAAACATACAGATAGAGAGAAATATTAAATGTAGTGTTTTGTTATTAATACTTATCAAAAGCATTCGTGATATGTGTCTGCGAGGAGTTTACACATAGTGAGTCTTAAGAATAATTAATAATAAAAATATTAATTTACTTGCAGCGCAGTGCTATAAGAGGCCGGACCATCACTTGTTACTAAACTAATATCCTTATTATTGTGCCTGCAATGAGTATTTATTTATAAGTAGTTGAGTTATAAGATTATTGTACTGTTGAGTTATTGAGATCCCCAACATGTAAATCATCATGCAATATTATTGTTTATACATCAGGAAATAATTAATTTTGGTTTAATAATTTCAAAAGGCTCTGTTGTACACACAGCTCATCAAAGTTAGCGTTCAACTTTTGACTGGCCTTATCCCACATGTAATAAGATATATTTTTAGTCCATTGTAACATTTGATGTGTTGTCATGTGTACAAAATACAAATTAATAGCAACATTTATGAGGACAGCTAAAGGATACAAGAATTTTAAATAATAAAATAGTAAATAGGTTACAGTCATATAATTACACATTTTCTGCTGCTAAAAAAAACAAAGACAGATTCATTATTATGTACAACTTGATACCAGCTATATTTGCCGTAGCACACTATTGAAAATTTTGAATATGTTTTGCAATACTGTGAATTGAAGGTTACTGACATGTTATGCATGGTTAATATGAACTAATGGTCCACAAGGTGTAGCCAGAAAGGAAAATACATTACCAGTTTGATACAACAATATGTTATTATGTATTGTTCATTAACAAAATGTTTTGAGTCATTACCTAGCATATTTTATGTTGAATTTAATTCCCATTTTCTAGTAAGCATTATTGTTAAATGTTTCATACACTCTAGTTATAGTGTGAGTGCCTATATCAAGAACCATTTCAATCCTTTTGTAAATAAGGGTACTTTCATATTATTGAACTTTTGATAGAATAAAAATGTTATGACCTACAGATTAAGAGTAGGTTAAACTAAAGAGCATAGTAACACAATGTTTGCTATTTCCATCAGCAGCTCTTGACAACTGGACAAGTAGGTAATAAATTCGATTTTAACTTAATAATCATCAGTTTACTATTTAACAATGTAGGGGCAAACCTGTTTGGTATATTATTCTTGAATAATCAACTCTAACCTATGCCTATAGCAGTTGTCAGATGTAGACTAACCTCCAAATGTGACTACACTATGTTTGCTAGGTATTTGAACAAAAACTTGTAAATATCATTGCTTGGTAAATAATGAATAAATTGTACAGTATAAAATGACCTAGCCACCTGGATAGATGGATAAGATCAAGTAATGTTACAGCCGTGATAAAACTGTATCAATTTACGGCTCTAATTTGTATCAAATACTTTTGATGTGTGGTGATGGACGGAATAATGAATTGGGATATGGGATGGTAATTATTATGGAATCACCATGTAAGCAATTTTAAACATTAGCTATTTATCTTTCTGCTGGAAATACAACTTGTATCAACTCCAGCTTGTGTTTATAATTCAGAACAAGTTTGTCTTATAACCTCTGTACAATACAATATTTTGTTACTAAAAGATTGTTAGATAACTGCAATAAATCATACTAGAAATGGGTACCTACATAATGTACAAAAATAGGTTAATATCTTACTAATTGTATCTTAAACATGGCCAATGCCCTACAAATGTATGTTGTAACTTTGTATGTGTTGATCTACAGTTAACACAGTAATGTATGACTATAACTGACTTGCTTACAAGTAGTGACATGTTTTGCTGGGTTCAAGGGACTATGAATGGAACTGGAGTTGACTAAAAGATGATAAACCCTTACGTGGATGTTCTTTTGTCGTCGCTCTGACGTTCTTTGTCCTTGTTGCTCTCACGTTTGTTCATAATACTAGAGGTGTTGTGCAGGCACGGAGCCCGGCACTCCAATCACTCCGAGAGCCCACGGTCCGCGGAGGCCGCTATGCAGCCCATGTCACCACAGCCTTGAAGATGGCACGCCGCCGCGCACTCTCCCCATGCCACAAAACCACAACACTTATCGTCACTTCCAACTTTATTGCTATTTTTTTGTTATTTCTTTCAACACTAAACTACACACTATAACAATTTATCTCAAAATCATTGTTACACTGCAATCACAAACGAATGAGTATGTTTCGGCGACAGTCACTAACGGCAGGAATTTGTCTGATTAAGGTATAGATATTGCTAGATATTTACTTCAAAAAGGGAATGAGACTGAATAGAGGTCGCCGTGCCAATGTTATGCTCATTGAAGAGTAACAACAAGCGTTGTGGGTGTCACTAGCACTTTTACCAGGATCGCCACGACGATCTATCTTCTGAACTCCACACGTGATTACCAATTAGCTAATTATTTTATATGGGTGAATTTATTTTACAAGAAATTTAACAATTGACAGTTTCTTGTGGGAAGTCAAACCTAATTATCGGTCGGCACAAATCTTTTGGAAATTATTTTGAACGAAGATTCTCAAGAGGAAGATGTTCACTGCACCAATGGAATCACAACGCTAAGCAGGTAAAAGCACAATAAGTAATTTTTAATTAGCTTTCCATGGATTAGTCACAACGTCGCCGAAACATCAAATGGACATTTGTCCTGATAAAAAAGTTTAGGTTTTGTAATGGCCACCAATGTTACACTTTAATCACTTGAAAAAATACAATGGAGGAGTTATTTTAAGAGTTCATCTAACCTAAAGTGTCTAATATTTTACACGTTTACATAAATATATTACCGACTAACGATAAAATTTCTAAGTAAAAATATTTAACTCAAAGAATAGTCACTGATAAATCGCCATTCGGCGCATGCGCAAACACAGATTAGAGAGTATGTCTAAAGACAGATAGGAAACGGCCCTAGTATTTGTTGAACGATAAACAAACTGGTACCGAGCTAGATTGTCCAGTAGGTGGCGCTGTAAACAATATGGCGTCTGCCGCCCACAGATTAAATATATACCTCTCATACTTTTTTTGATCCGTTCCGTTTCATGTAATGTGTTTAAAAATAAAACTATTGAAGTATAAAATAAAACTTTATTGATGAAATATAACATGAAATATTTTGTTTACGAAAATCAATAAGCAATAAAACTACTGGATTTTAAAAGATTACAGTTACTGTTGTGATAACAGTACATTGTTTTAGTTTTTACATTATGTACTCACGGATTGACATTTGTATGTAACTCATATAAAATATGTTATAGTAAAATAGTTTAATGTTCTCCATAAATTCACACGTTCACTCTCACGTTGGTTCTGTCCACTCCACTGTAAGCAGGCCAGATCTACATGTTTCTCACCACCTGTAAAATATATGAAATATTTAGAGCAAAAAGTCACCGTAAGTCTGTAATCTTCTACATCTACATTCTACACTAATATTCATTTTTGGTCTTGTTTTATTGTTTAAATAGGTCTCTTTTAAACTTCATTGAATATGTTGGTTCATCTGGACCTTTTTAAGTAACAGTTGACAATAATGAGCAGCACCAGTGATTCCACAGCAAGCACTTTTATTGTAATTGCTGCTTAACACTTTATAAGTTCGAAGTTCGATATTAACCTGAAACAAATAGGTACTTAGATTCATTGTATAAAACACGTATCATTCACTGTATCCTGCAATCTATGCCTGCAATGTACCTACTTGTATTGTATTTTATGTCCAAAATCCAAAGTATGTTGTTACTCCATGAAACTATCCATATTTGGTTTCCATTGATTTAAATGGAGTTATGAATGATTTTGTAATGAAGATTTAATCCTTTGTGTGGTTCAATACTTAAAACATGATGTTGCTGCAAGTAATAACCTATCTCGAGTGAAATAACTTACTTGTTAACTTACTTGAGAGAATTTTTTTCGTAAACAAACATCAATCCAACAGGCAATCCATGCACATGTAGTTCTTATTAATAATGACTGAGAAATTATGGATTTCAATTAGAAACAATTAAAAATCGTAGAAAAACACGTTTTTTCGATGAAAAATTTTTGACGTTTATTTTTTTTTAATAATGTCACAGTTGTAGACTTGAGACGGAACTAAAGTGATTAAAGTGAAAATTACGACTTTGAATTATTATACTTTTAAATAACCATTTAATTTATAGAAATCACATAGATTCAATAAAATAATTTATGAATAAAAGCTGAAGTTGTAATTCGAAAAGGTTTCTAAGGTTTCTAACATGCAAAAGACCACTGTCGCATACAGAAGACAACTATAAAAAAAGTCACTTCCTCTCGGAACTGTCAAAAAAATTCACTCTCTATGGAGCTGTCAAACTCTATGGCGTTTCCACCCCGTGTGCGCAAACTTGCAGCGGTTGGTGTTGTCAGGTTTTGATATAGTTTTTTATTATTCTGTTTGTGCTAAGCTAATAAATATTGTTTTCATCATTTCATTTGCCATTATGTTTAATTTTGTCGTCGAATCCGTAAAACTTAGAGCAAACTATTCGATATTACTTATTTTATGATTATATTTTAAAAGTAGTTTTTTATTTCATGATAATAGCAACACTAAAAAAAAGAATCGTTTCAGTTCGTCGGCTATTTTACCGTCAGGTTGAAATAATGCTATGGCTATTGTATTTCGTACCGATGAATCGATTTACAAGATACCGCTACTCAATATCGATACCTACAGTCTAGCTCTAAAGCTGTGCTCTAAAGTTGTAAATGAAAACAACTTGTTGGACAGGTTTGGAGGAATTGGAGGGGAGGGCGCGGGAATTTTAAAACGGTCCTCGGGGTTCGCCAACTCATTTTGCTAAAGTAATTAATAATTTAAAAGTATTCAGTTAAAAGTTAAAATAAATATCAAGATTAATTTGTAAAATAAACACATAAACCTAATTTTAAGTACTGAGGGCCAAGGAAAACATGGAATATTGGTAAGAAGAATACATTGTATGTAAGATAGATACATACCTATGATACACTTTGTATTTTTGATAAAGCATATTTTCTTCACTTGTTATCAAACTTGTATTTATATTATAATGTTATTTTGAGTGTTTACGGTAAATGCACAACTCTTCACCACACGTGAAATAACAAACGTGACCAATATTTGATAAAATAATCAATGTTTTGGTGTATGATTACAAAGATAGAGTGGATTTGGAGTTGCAATAATGTTTTTTTTAATCTGGAATAATTAATAATCAGTTTGCGTATCATTGAAACATGTAAGCATTTAGGACTAGATACTAACCAACTTCACGTGTTTTTTTTGTTTGACGTCATAGGTGAAATGATGATTGATCATTGAAGAGTTAAATAAGGTAGAAGAATAATTTTATTCTAAGGACCTATTCATTGTAGGTACATTACGAATTCTAGGTTTTAGCAATGTATTCTGTGGTTTTAGTGTTGCCTAAGTCCTACGTATTTTCTACACGTGGTAGATTGGTCAAAGGTTCGAAATTCGAATCCCATTCGGGCAAATTGAACAGTGCGATGAGCTTTACCTACTGAAATTTTCAACGCTAGATTTTCACTATAACATAAATCTTAGAAGATAAGAAAATAATTTTCTTCATATTTGATTTTTTATTTCCGTCAGTCTAAAATTACTACAGCGTAACTACCTACTTAAAACTAAATAAGTTAAATGCTGACTGTTAGACCTATAGGTAATTAGTATTCTTGAGCGTACACCCTATATTTTACCTCTGTTTTGTTAGCACTTGAGTGCCGGTCTGTACCCTGTGTACCCAGTTAGCACTCCTGCGCCGACTAAGTATTCATAATAATCGCGAGCTACAGCGACTGCGCTTGGCAAAAGGTGGCAAGGCCAGTCATCAGCAGCCGGCTGCCCCAAAGAGACGTATTACACGCGGAGCACCTGCCTGATTTAAAACAAACGATCAACGGACTAGCGGAATTTATCAACAGTCCACCGGCCTTTTGGAATCAAAACAACTTTTGTATGTGAGTTTTTCCATTTATCTTTATTGAAGATTTACGTTGAATGATGTTTTGATCACATAATAATGTCCACGGAACGTGTGTATGTGACGAATCAAACCAGTTTAGGATTTACGTGTCTTTGAGATGTATTTTTGTATGCATCGGATGGTTAAACATTAAATTGTATGACAAGGTCGACGCGAAAATTATTGATTGTATTAAATGATTGGGTAACATCACTCACAAAAGTACTTATTTGGATAATTTCTTTGTAACATTAAAACAAACAAACAAACAAAAAAATTGTTAGGAAATAATTTGCTACCCTTACCACAGAATAAATAATAGTAGGTAGTACGAGTACCCTTACCTATGTTATCTACCCTTTTGAACTATGGTTTTTCTAACCCATGAGGCGTAATATTTTATTTTTTTTACTTATTTATTTTAATCTCATTTCTTACTTACAGCAAGTTAAATATGTACTTAGGTAGGAAGGTAGGAAACATAAAATTTTAATGTAAACATATCAATAATTCCTTATTAGATTTCTTGACGAAAAAAAGATAATAGATCTACTTATAGAGCGTTATTAAATTTTCGTAGCGATTAGAGTCGCTTCTGAAACAAATTAAAAAATAAACAACTTGAAAAAATCGAACAGCCTAAGGCGGGAATCGAACCCACGACCTACCTAGTTGAATCATGCCCCATTTGCATTGTCTCCGATGGAATCGTGCATTGCATACCTATTCATTTTCCATTGAAATATCAAAATGTGATTCTATCAAGACTATGGTTATAACCAGAGTTAATAGCCTAACCTAGATAGTTAGATATTTTTCAGCTGTTGTACCTAGTTCCGAGTTTCTATTTGCAAAGACAACATTTAATATTAGGATAAGTTCTGCTCATCTACTGATAAGATTAGTATTGAGTAATACGTATCTCTGCACTCAGTTTGTACCATCGATTTAAACATAAAGAGAACTAGAAATGTTTTGGAGGTATCCAAAGACTATAAATCCGCATTATCCATTTGATTGGCGTACCTAAGTAGGTACGCGCACAGCCTTTGAGTGCGCCCTCCTATCCTAATTGAACCTGAATCCTGCTTTAACTATTTATTTTTATTTATTAGTAAAGGAAAGGTCCACCAACATCAGAACACACAAGACATTCGCAGTATACATTATCAGGATTTCAGTTTAAATATGCCAATTACAGGTGTCAGGTATACACAACAATTTCCATAAAATTATGAACTACTTATTCTTAGATTAATAAAGCGTGGTGTACTAACCTAACACACATCGTGTAAAAACAGACGTAGGTAACTTTTCTTTTTTGTTGCTCAAATCTTTTTGCTACACAACTTTTGATCTTAACCTTGGCAAAAATACATTATACCTACATGTTATTGTTAACTAAGTATCGTTTTGTATTTAATTTCTAAGTAAGTTTTTTACCTCTGTACTTGCCTATATCCTCAGAAAATAAGCATTGTTTACGCCTCAGCTCTTTAGTTAATTTTAATACAATGAAGTTCATCAATTGGAGGTTGAACGCTTACTTTTGTAGTAAGTACGTTATTATTTCTTTTGTTTTGTAGCAATGGCTATCCTAATATCCTTAATAAAGGATATAATTTGGCCTTTACATTGGATAAGCTTAGGCATGATAGGTATCTATGTTTTTTAAATAAATAAGGTACGGTTAAACCAAGAATAGGATTATCATTATTATTTTGTTCCTTAATTTAATCTGTTTAGCGAAGACACGAAAAAATAAGACTTTAGGTAGGTACATAAGTTGTCTAATATTATCTCATATCAGCATAGCATATTGCAGTTTGACATAGGTTACATGTAGTATAAATAATACCTTACTGTATAATGTAAGTCGTAATTACAAGATACTACAACCTCTTTTACAAGGACACAAGGTTGACTGTCCCACATAACCTCTGTCTGTTTGGCTGCGTAAAACATTCCACTGATCGAATATCCTTCGCGTGTTGAAGTTCAATATTTAACCTTCTGTCACGCCTCAGGTAGTTCATTCGATTCTCGACTTGACCACTAATTAACAGTTTGAAGACAATATTAATAAATATTAACTAATTTATCGAAAGCAAACTTAGCACCTAAGTATTTACTTACTTAGTCCTAGTAATTAAATCAAATTGCCTCAGATGGACATTGAACCCACGAAAGACGGTTTTGCTCATGTCTCCGTAGCTTAGTGGTTAGAGTAAGTAGTCTTCTGATAAAACATCGATTAAGTAAGAATTCTTGCTGATTGCTGTTCAAAATTAAAAGTTAATTTTAAATATGCATTTTTTTAAATCCATAATGCACTTTAATATTTTCGCTAATTTTAATGACAATAACTCATAAAACACGGAAAATAATTCACGAAATTGCTACTAAGATTTTATTTAGATTTCCACTAAGGTTTAGGTCAACCAGGAAGTCGCCAATAATGGGTCTAATATCACTTTATAGCAGACATACTATATCATTAATGACTTAACAACTATCAGATTATGGAGAACAATTATGGTGTCACCATAATCATGTATGACTTCAAAGTCACTGTTAATTGCATGCAGTTAAGCGGTGAGTGTGGCGACATGAGGTTAGGCTTAATCGCCGTTAATGTAGCATATTGATGGACTACGAGAATTAGAGATAACTACCTAAGACATTTACCAATAACTATTCATCAATATGTACTTACTTATCAATCAACAGATGGATGTAGAATTGTAGATCCCAAGCAGTCGTATTCAAGATGCAAATGTAGAGTGCTCCTTTCTAGCTATACCTGCTCGTTTATTTAATCATATTTTATATTTCTTTAATTGTTTAGTTAGACTATTAATAGCTAACTTCTTAATGAATCTTCAAAACAAAAATAAAACTTATTGCAGTTAAAAATACTGTCAAACATTTTTTTTCTGCTTAGGTTACTTCAATGCTAACCTAGCAGAGAAATCCTCATTGTACCTAAATATTAATAAATAAATAAATATTTTGCCCTACCAGCGCTTCGAGACAAACATTACAGAGAGTGTAGGGAAGAAGCGCCTTAACAAACTCACTCCCTGTCTGCCGGGTAAAATAAATACATTATTTTTTTAATCACGTCGCAAACAATTCACGTACATGTTAATTACAAGACACGTTTGTATTATTGGCTAACGTCTGACTTTACCTCGCCCTTGCTTTTTAGACAAACACGAAAGGCTTCAGAGGATTGTAGATTGTAATCTGTAGCTGATTATATACCTATTTAGGTACTTCTAGCTGGATAAATATGTACAAGAGTGTAGGTACTAGTAATTTCAGTCGTAACTCGTACGTGACAGAAACTGCAATGTCTTTTACTGGCGTCATATTTATGATTTTACAAATTGGTTATATTACTGTAAAACAGATTTAAAGTTTGATTTGGCTGGTAGGTATGTCTATTGAAATAGCTATTGTTTAAAGCAGGTCTTCCCAAACAGTTTTGTACTGTGTCATGTGGCATCCTTGGGTATTTACCTTTTTTTGGAACGCACAGTTTGGGAAGTTCTGGTTTAGAGCGTTTAATTAGTTACAATTTAAAAAATGAAAACACTCCATGTCAACTAAGAAACAGAAGTCTCCTATTTGTAAAATATAAATATCTACTCGTAGTTAAAACAAAACATGTAGTTAGTTAAGGGTCACTTGTTTATTTTTAAGGTCAGGATCGATTTAAGAATTTTAAAGCAATCCTAAGTGGCTTGAGAATGTGACTTTATAATGCCTGAACTAAAGCACTGGCGGAAATTAGCAATTTATAATGCGCGGGTCGGTCCCGTTTTCGTCCCGCGATTATTATTCGGTACTATGAACAATAAAATCGCAGTGACATTACTTATTTTTAGATATTAAATATCAGAGGTAGGTTCAGTTAGTTTTAATATTTTCCATTTTTGTACCAGCGAAGTAGGAACATTATATTCTGTGATGCAAGTATCAAAAGTTCCGAGTTAGTAATTTTTCTTAAACCCCGATACCATTAGTACCTATTAAACCTCGAATGGTTAGTTATATTAGAAGTAAAGTAGTTTTATGAACCACCCCTTAACTACATTGAAGAATAGAAATTGTATAATGTACCTATTAACTAAAATTGTATTTAAAAAGCATCATCACGTCCAAGTTCTGGAAAATTAGGCTTGTAATTTTTATTAACTTACTTAAATATGTAAAAGTATAATTAATGATAGTCGTTAGCTACAGTTACTGCAACATTAATGCTTGTTCAACTATACCTAACTCTAGTTAGCTCCAAATAGGGACTTTGTATCTAAAACTGGATAAGTCTCTTACTTACTAACTTCCTAGCTCTAATCTCTAGTTACCATAGTCTTAAAAGATTAAACATGTCTCGCATAAGTAATATTTTTATGCAAAAACCTAGTAGTTCACCTTAATCCACTTTTAGAGACAGTATGTTTAATAATAAAGTGTCGTAAACTTCTGACGATCTGGTAAAGGTCGCGGGAAGAGCCTGTATGCGGGCAGCGCAGGACCGTTCATTATGGAAAACCTTGGGGGAGGCCTTTGTCCAGCAGTGGACGTCATTTGGCTGAAACGCACGAAAGTGTCGTAAAACTCGTAAAATGTGTTTTCGCCAATCGCTTTTACAAAATTTCAAGTTATTCACTTGTTACAGTCAATGTCCAAATTAAAAGTTAGTTATTCGTTAGTTATGACTTAGTTATTTGATGACTTAGCAACATTATTATGATGTACAGCTCGGAAGCTATTTTTGTCTAATCATTCATGTATACCCGGTTTTTAATTTAATATCACTGTATCTCCACAAGTCATTCTAGAAAATTGTATTTTTGTATTAATGCCATTCGTTGACCAACGCGTCTTTCCGTTCTATACATGGCCAGAACGCACCCATAGGAAACTGCTCGTGTATATTTCGGAGTGCCTGTTTGTAAATCTGTGACTCCAAACTATACACGAATTTTGCGTACTGATCGTGTATAGTTTGGAGGAGCTTAGTAAAAAAAGTCATCTCCAAACTATACTCGATTAGTTTCTACTACACCACTTACACTTGACTAGAGTGTGTTTAGTTGATATTGATTTAGTAAAATTCAGTAAAATATGGAATTATATTTAAAATTACATTTATTTGATATTATTACATAAAATATTCTTATTTTACTGAATCTATAAAAAATCTAGATTTTTAAAAGTATTGTAAGTGGTTTTTAAAATTAAATTGATTAGGTAGATTTCAAATTAAATAACAATTTAATTAATATGAGAGAGAGTGAGAGAAGAAAGTTCAACGTGCATTAAATACACTTATTATGCGAGACTTTAAATGCTAGGTTTGTATTGTCGGCCGTTTGGTGTAGTGGTTCGAAGTGGTAGCGGGTTCGATTCCCGCACAGTACAAACATTTGTGTGCATGAACATATTTGTTTGTATTGGACTGGGTGTTTTCTATGTATAATAAGTATGTATTTACAAAAAAAAGTATTTAATTATGTTTATATCCGTTGTCTAGTACCCATAGTACAAGCTTTGCTTAGTTTGGGACTAGAAGCGCAGTGTAAAATGTCTAAGGATATTTATTTATTATTTATTTTATTTATTAACTTTTATCTCAAGAACAAAATCATTTTGACATATTTCCATACCTACAATTGGTGAAATATCAGCCCCAAAACAAATTTCTTTTCTATGGCAGAATAAAAAACACCAAAAAATCCTTTATCAAAACAATGACACGTGTCGTAAGATGATTCAATGTTTAAAGTAGACACGCAGATATGAATTAATCTATCTATATAAATAAAAATGAATTGATGTTCGTTAGTCTGATTAAAACTCGAGAACGGCTGGGCCGATTGAGCTGATTTTGGTTTTAAAATGTTTGTCGTAGTCCAGGGTAGGTCTAAACGGTGAGCAAATACGCGCGCGATATTGTTTTTCTGTAACAGACAAAATTCCACGCGAGCAAAGCCGCGGGCGGAAAGCTAGTATGTAATAGAAAGAGAGTGTCAATAAGTCAAAATGACTAGCATGCAACTACTCGCGTATAAATTGTAATCACGCACTTATTACAATACATACATGATTAGTCCGTATGCGTACTGGCGATGTATATTTTGGAGGAAGATAATTGACCTAAGTCACTACAAAGTATACGCGAGCAGTACGCAGCGTATGCGTACTGGTCGTGTATAGTTTGGAGGAGCTTAGTAAAAAAAGTCATATCCAAACTATACTCGATTAGTTTCACACCCTTGCGTTCTGGCTATGTATAGAATGGAAAGACGCTTGACCAACGCATCGTTGATGTACAAACATACTCTACAATTCGTTGTAAAATCGACTCTATATAACAACGTACTAAGATGCCACATATCTTGATATGCCGCCGTCTGTACTCGAATTTTTTAATAAGACGAGGCGTGACCTCGTTCTTTCAAGTGATAATATAAAACCTGTTCTCTAGTACACTTTTGGGTACAATTAAAAAGCTTTTTTTATTTAACCGTTGGACTAGCGTATTTCGACTATGTAATTAGTTAGTTATTATTTATGTAGGAAGTGGATTTTATAACGTCTGTTTGTATGATGTAAGTTATTTACAATGTTCTTTTAAAAACCTTGTGCTGAGTGATTAACGCCCGAATTCAGAAACATTACTATGAGGTCTCACAGTGCGTGTGGACGCACAGGTTGACACACGAACCAATCACAGATCTCTATTCAACGCTGTGCGTTCGATTTGCTGCTTCACTTATGCAAGCATCGTTTGTGAATACGGCCTTAACATGAGTGTCAGTCACGTCCTTAAAAATACGTACATTTACGTGACAACTAGATGTTTTGTCTAGCTACACTGGTGACTTATACAATATGTAGTTCTCTCCTATAAATAAGCTGAGCGAATGCGGGTTCGACCCCTAGGGAAAAAGTTTGTGTTTTAAGTTCGAGTGTGGACCTTTATTTTATTGATACGAAAACTTTCTTTGTTTAGTTGACTTGATACAATATTTTTAATAGTTTTATTTTTAATAGCTTTAGCACGCGGCTTCACCGGCGTGAAATTTACTTTGACACATATCGTCATAAATTATAGCCTATATGTTATTCTGGGTTATAAACAATGATACTGTAAAGTTTCATCAAAATCCGTTCAGTAGTTTTTGCGTGAAAGAGTAACAAACATCCAGACATCCAAACATCCAGACATCATGACATCCAAACCTTCGCATTTATAATATTATATATAGTAGGAAGTAGGATAGGAAGTAGGATTAGTATGATTAGTAAGAAGTAAGATAATTCATACATTCAACCGTAGATACAACCAGTTCCATAGTATACATTTTATATTGTTAATGAATGAATGCTATGCTAATTGCGCTTTATGAATATCTATAAATATAATAAACAATCTTTAATTAATCCCATTTATATCGACGATTATTTTTATTATTTTCCTACGTATTCGTATACAGATCATTAACATACTCGGGGGCTAAGAGGAAAAATAATAATGAAAATAATAATTATCCTGTTATTTCTATATTACCACTTCTGACGTAAATACTAAGGCACAACATAACAATGTCATTATTAAAGTATTGTAACGATTTATTTTTGATTGTGTTAATAATAAGAGTAGGCGCACACCGTTGATTTTTAGTTGGCCGATAGTTGTACCCGATTTTAAATTGTATGAAGACTCGGCCAAATCGAATCGGCGTAGTGTGCGCACTCCCATACTGATCAACTGCCCGACTAAACTATCGGCCGACGAAAAATCAACGGTGTGTGCCTACTCAAAAATAATATTCATAATTTTCAGTCTTTGCTCTTGGCAGTAGGTAAACCTGAAAATATCAAAAGTTTCAGCGATTTATTTGTGAAAATGTGCATACACTTAATGTAGAGTTTCTTTTACGTTTATTTTATGTGTATTATTCGTATTAAAAGTGGATTCGATTCCGTGATGACATAACTGAAAATTTTCATGTTATTTTTGCAGTGTCCCTCTGAAAAATGGCGGAGAAAAGTCATGAAGATGTAGAAAAGTTGATGGCGTCGTTTCGGGAATGGATCAACAGCCAACCACACCTACCAAAGGATCTAGGTAAATGACTGTATTAACATTATTATTTAGTTAACCATAATTTACTAGTTCTGTTTAAATGTTAGTCAGAAGCGATTTAAACACAGGCAGGCATAAAATGCCATAAAAAAGTTCCTTATTTCGCTCCTCTTTCGCTCTCATCTAAAAATGAATTGAAGGAACATAGACTTTGTTTTAGTACCATTTTTGGTACTTTGTAACAACTTTGAAACATGCATTGCAACATGTTGTAGTTTTTATATTTTGTGTGTATTCGATAAGAGTTTATTACTCGATAATCTCGAAACCTTTATGTTCGTTTTACAGTCTCAGAATAAAAAAAATGATTGCATTGTAAAGTCAGTAATCAACTTGAGTTTTCAGAAAATTCTTGTGAATGAAAACTGATTACAGTGTAGGTACCTACTATTACTTATTCGGTGTTACAGTGCAGCATTGTTATGTTTATTGGGTCATTATAATACCTTTTACCTCAATATTTAATTAAATGTTACATCACTAGTAAAAGTGGCTGATTGTAATGAGTATAATCGCTGATGAATCCATTGAGGTTGTTATTTTTGCATAATATTAATATCGCCACCCTGTATGAATTTCAAATCCATTGAGACTATTATTTTTTGTATATTATTTTCTAAACAACTACACTCCGTAACTAATGACCTCTCTGTTGTAAAATATTAAATTTTATTGTTCATAATATTTTGAACCAAGGTTTCTATTGTGCTTGAAAATGATAATAGTGCTATTGTTAAAAAACGTGCACTTATTAACATTACCACACGCGGTTTTGGGTAAATGATGTGGTTTAGAGATATGTATCCGTGGTTATAGTGGTTTGAGAGTTAAACCTCTAAAAGATTAATAAACATTTACAACTTAGTTATAATGATTTCGAGGTATAAACCAACCTAAGTAATTAAATCTGATCAAAGTTTAAGAATTTTTACTATTTGCTTTTATTTATAGCTGTAAAAAACATGCCAATATTTTCTCAAATAGTACCTAAAACATGCGGATTTCCGCTTTTCAAAATTCAAAATACATTAAAAATCTAAATAATTAAGTAATCTAAAGCTTATAGTAAGAAAATACAGGTTAATTATTATGGGTGTTACATTACTGGTGGGATTTTTGTGGGAAACAGTTACTCGATTGGGTGTTGACGCGATGGGAACAAGCGTAGATTTCGCCTAAAATCCACGAGTTCAGTATGAACTGAACTTTCGCGGTACACAGTCTACATCTCACAGTTATCGGCCGGCCATTGTGTGACTCCACAATGCGGGTTCCGATTCCGATGCGAACGATCGACACTCGATTTCGCGATAACGTTATCTAGTTTACAAACGATGAGTGATATAAACGGAACTATTGGAAGTACTTCTAGATGTAAAGATACTAAAGTATGACTAATACGAGTATACTCATACTCATTATTGTTTACTATCAGATTACCCATCGATAAGGAAGAATAATTCTAGAGGCCATTGACTACTAACGCTACAGTCTATTTTGGACGTAACTAATTACAAACCTTTTTTCGCATTTAATTAGAAAAAATGGGAATAGATAATTTCAAAATAACTGAAATAATTCTTACAATAATTCTGAAATAACCTGAAAATTACTCACTGCAATCACCCCGGGAAATTCACATACTCATTCGTATTACTACGAGATTCGATTAAGTAGGTATGTACTATGTAGAGTACAAACTATTCACCTTACCACAAGAAATACCTACCTAACCTAACCTTCTAAGGTTTTAAAAAGCCTTATCAAGAATGATAATTTAACAAAATGGTTGTAAGTCATTTGTCGTGTGCTACCCAGTTCAATGTGCAAATGAGATAGTTAAACACACAAAACACGAAAAGATTTGATTAAAAAAAAAAGGAACTCAACCTCGTTTTCTTAATTCCAGAGGACAGAATGGTGAAGCGTTTCCTACACAGCTGCTACTACGACCTGGAGAAGGCTAAGAGTGCTGCAGAGTTGTTCTTCAGCATCAGGGCAGCGTCACCAGACCTCCTCAACAACAGAGACCCGATGTCTCCGCAGCTGCAGAAGGCCTTGAAAATTGTGTGAGTTTAGGTTAGATTACGATATTTTTAGACAATTTTGAACAGATTTTTCGTCAAAGCGAAGAGTGCTGTAGAACTGTTCTTCACCATCAGAGCCACGTCACCAGATCTCCTCAACAACAGAGACCCGATGTCGCCACAGTTNTTTTGAACACATTTTTCGTCAAAACGAAGAGTGCTGTAGAACTGTTCTTCACCATCAGGGCAGCGTCACCAGACCTGCTCAACAACAGAGACCCAATGTCGCCTCAGCTGCAGAAGGCCTTGAAAATTGTGTGAGTTTAGGTTAGATTATGATGATTTAGACAATTTTGAACAGATTTTTCGTCAAAGGGAAGAGTACCGCAGATGTTCTTCAGCATCAGAGCCACGTCACCAGATCTCCTCAACAACAGAGACCCGATGTCGCCTCAGCTGCAGAAGGCCTTGAAAATTGTGTGAGTTTAGGTTAGATTATGATATTTTAGTCACATTTTGACTGATTCTTAGTCACTCAAAATTCTAACAGAGACTACTATGGTTGGTTACTACACCCACAACGGTTGACATTTAAAAATATCCTACAAACTAAGGCTGAGTTGCACCACCTAATTTTAACTGTAAAAATAACAATAACCGGTGCTTTTTGTATGGAGTTTGACAGATTTTTGACGTTTAGGATAAGATGGTCCAACTCAGCCTGAGGCTGTACGTACGTTACATGGTAACTACAACTTACGTAAGTTGTACCATCTTACTTTAACATCATAACTTACTTTAGGTAACTCAGCATAAACTACGTACAAATTAAAAATATTTGTCAAATGTTTCGAGAAATAGGTACTACTTTTACTTAATTTTAGTTAAGAAAGGCATTTACTTAGGTATTATTATCACAGAATACCTCGACTCTACATAACATTAAATAAACCAAAAAAATTGCTTCACAGTCTTAGATTTAATCTACGTTTATTTATCAATAAAAGCTTGAATATCATCATGCTATTTAGCTATGAGCTGAAGCAGTTACAAAACGCTCCAGCTGACTAATCTAGGTTAAACCAATTAAACCTTGGCTGAATGAGGTTTACGTGCTAGATCTACATGTATATGAATCTCGGCTTGATCTAAGGTGAATACAAACAACTTTTAAACGACATGTTTTAGCTGCATAGATATGCTAGAATGTTGAATGGAAACGAGGTTCTATCAGGGTGACCGTGAGTTTAGGGGGCCCTGGGCTAATACTACTTTGGGGCCTACATAATTACTCAAATTACAGAAAAAAATAGACAGTACATTATTTGACTTGTCTTAGATGGGGCCCCTTGAATCCCCGGGGCCCTGGGCTGAAGCCCAAAAAGCCATTATGGTAGATCCGGCCCTGGGTTCTATTATCTCCTGTCATTGCGACATCGTTAAAAGTTGTGGAACTTGTGGATAAAGTGACATAGCTACTCCACATCACATCAGCCCTTCTTTCTATGGTTCGTTTTTGTTTCAATAGGTACCCATTTAATAAGATCATTTAAAATACTTTTTAATATTGGCCCTCAAATAAAAAAGGTATTTTACTTACACAACACAACAAGTCTTTCTTTGAATCAGTAAAATACCTACCTTCTTTGACCCAAGGATATAAATTGTCACATACAGCACCTTACATCATAAATTATGCAATTTTGAAACGCACGTTTCCGTAATAAAATAATTAGGTTTGAAGTATAGCCCTTGATGACTCTTATTTTTGGAGGTCAGAAACCAAGTCGTAAAACAGATACTAAAACCAGTACCTTAGTGTAGTCGGTCAAGATTTTCGGGTCAAAAAACCAGTATTGTAACTAGGACGGTGCACGGTACAGATCATGGTGCGTACAGAAAAGTCCAAACTGATTGAAGATATGACCATTTTTCAAGGGCACAGCTATAGCAGCTTGCCGGTCTTATTTAGGACTAGGCACTGCGCAAAACTTCATCATTTCAAACACAGGATATACTATCCACTACATAGGCCTCCTACAATGATTTCCACATTGGCCGATTGATAAAAAAAACTCAGCATAAAACTCATTTATTTTTGCAAAAAGGTTTTTAAAAAGCTCTTTTACACGTCCCAGTATTAACCCTACCACTACTTCGCGACAATAAATGGGCCAGTGCTGAGAAAAAGCAGCGCAAGAAACTCAGTCACTATTGTCGATAGCGACCTGCACCCAGCGCCTTCCTGCTACCTTTATGAAGTTGTCTGTCTACCTTGTGGGTGATGTCCAAAAAACTGAACTTAATTTCCTTTCTTCCAGAAACCTAGCACAGCTCCGTATGTCAGGTAACCGGTTCCTCTGGGTGTGGCAACTGAATGACCCAGGGCTAGAAAACTTCGACTACCTGCAAGACGCGAGGCTGTTCTTCCTGACCACAGACGCGTGGCTCCTTAACGAAGAGGCTTTGGAAGAAGAGGATATAGTGATCATGGACGTAAAGGACATCTCGCTGAAGATCCTTACCAAGTTCAACTTGTCGATAGCGAGGACGTTATCGAAATATCAACAGGTAGGGGCTTTAAATATCTGTAGTCTTATATTAGGGTTGCATTTACTATGGATTTTTGTTTGGATAATGCTGATGATGAGATAGTTATAATAGACTCTATTAAATAGAGGAAAGTGATGCTATTTCTTACGACACTGCATGTATCAAGGTAACCTTGATACTCCCCAAAATGTGATTGCTGAGCCTAAAACGAAAATTGAGTAGTATAGCGAGCCTAGATATCCTTCATTTATAATAGGATGTTTTATTTTTTTCACTCTTTACTTCAATAGATCACTGAAAGTAGTTTATATGAAAAAATAAAATGTTCTATTAACATCATCAACATTTAATCCGTAGTAATGCCTAAATTAATAATTTCATGTCATTTATTTCAGGATGCAATACCAATTCGACTGAAGCAAGTTCACGTAGTGAACGCGCCGTCGTTTATAGACAAAGTCTATGGACTCGTCAAACCATTCCTCAAGCAAGGCATGACAGACATGGTAAGTTTCGTCTAGTTGTAGTAGGTAGGTACTTACCCAAATTATTAACCGCCTCTGTGGTCTAGTGGTAAGAAGACCACCTGCTTCAGACGCAGAGGTCCCGGGTTTGATTCCCAGTGGGAGCAGATTTTTCTGTTCGGTTTGGTTGTTGGTAAGTAGGGCTTGTTCTAAGTCCGCCTGGCTAGCTACCACCATCTTACCTAAGTCTGTCGCCATAACAACAATGTTAACAGCATTGTTGTGTTCCGGCAGTTAGAGGTAAGATAGCCAGTTCCTCCGTGGTTGAGGATTCCGGGTGAAGCTCGCTTCCACCTTCGGCCTGATCGTCACTTACCATCAGGTGAGATACAGGCCAAGAGCTTCCTCGTTGTGGATTAAAAAAAAATATTTCGTTGCCAGCGAGCGCCGTAGGAGTAAGGTTGCAAATTAGCTTAACAAACTTCATCATCACTTACCATCAGGTGAGATAATGGCCAAGAGCTTCCTTGTTCCTTAAAAAAAAACAAGAGAAATGAGTTAAAAAAAGCTCTGCTGAGTTCAAGAAGATAATAAGATGATCACGGTCAAAATGCAAGGTGTTGCCAAATCTTAAAGCGAGTAACTACGAAACGATTAAAAAGCAAGATCTCAGGAAATCTTTGATCAACCTGAATAATTTATCGTACTAACTTAACTATCAAAGACAAGCTCTTACAGAAGGGTCTCTTCTTACAAATGACAGTCGCTCCCCTCGACACGAGCAAAAATTATATTCAAAGCCTTGCCCCATATTATTAATATTATTATGTTAAAGCTACGCCAATGTCCACTGCAGGACGTATAAAACTCACTAGGTACTGTATCTGAACTTCGTCTAACTTTTCCACCGCTACTAAAGTTACACAAGTAAGTTTAATAATACGAGTAATGTTCATTCCTAGATCCACTTCCACGCTCCGAAATCAGAGACGCTATACAACTACCTGAGCAAGGAGGACTTGCCTGAAGACTTCGGCGGCACCAACGGAACAATGAATGACCACATGGAGGAGGTCCTCAAAGTTATTTCTGCTAGAAGGTTGGTGGCTTCTTCTTGTAGGATCGTATATATCAGGGTCAAATTCCTGGTGTCAATGACTGACATGGCTCAATCAGACCGACTGCGACTGATGTGTGTCCTTGGAAGCATGAAATCTATACTATCTATACTAATATTATAAAGCTGAAGAGTTTGTTTGTTTGTTTGTTTGTTTGTTTGTTTGTTTGGTTGAACGCGCTAATCTCAGGAACTACTGGACCGATTTGAAAAATTCTTTTTGTGTTGGATAGCCCGTTAGTTCCTGAAGGCTTTAGGCTATATATCATCACGCTAAGACCAATAGGAGCGGAGCACCAATGAAGAATGTTTCAAATCAGTGATTTTTTTCCTTTTGAGAGCTGACGCTGCGTAAACGGTTAAAGTTTCGCAAAAATCATGTATGACAGGATTGTTCCCCTTTAAAAGTTCTAAAAAAAAGTCCGCGATAGTATATGTCTATCTTTTAAGGTTGGCTCATAGTAACCCTTTTTATGCAAAAAGAAATCTGTTTTATATTAATGCATTATTTGCGGAGGTTTTTTCATAAACATGATATTAATGCTTATCCAAATAAATAAGTTATTCATCACAAGTATTTAATTTTAAACATACTTGGCCTTTACACCATTCCATTTCAATAAATATCTTAGGAGATATCGCAGTTTTAAAATATCATCGCAGCAAAATAATGATCAAGTACTGCGCGCGCCACTGATGGATCAATGCACAGCCTAAATCGCTGATCGTAGAGACCTGAAACTTGGACGGTGTGTTCTTTGTAAGACGTAAGCATCTGATAAGAAAGGATTTTCCAAAATTCTACCCCTAAGGAGGTAAAAAGGGGTGGCAAAGTTTGTATGGGATAACGAGATTCCTTCGTTCAATCTACTTCAAATTTCGCATAAGCATTCTATAACAGTAGAAAGTTATTTTAGTGGTGATTTGCTTCAAAGTTGATATTAATTACCTACTCATTAGTGCATTTTTTTTACAATCATGTCATGTTACAGACTATCATACTCTAGGGGCCTCCACTTAACCTCGGAGTGGGTGCCCGCTGCGTGCGCTCGCCTAACAATGCATAGTAATGCATGACGGTCATGCCGCGGGCACCTGCTTGCGCTGTATATACAAAAACTCATTTTCGCGCGAGAGTTTTGGCGGAGGCCCTTGAGGTCGTGGGAGTAGTGTTGAGGAAAAGCTCCTTCTCCCACGGCCAGTGGCATGCTAGAAGCTTGATGATTCTAGCACCCGTAGGAAAATAAAAAAAAAGTTTACCAATAATACTGCGGTAGGTGTAGTTTTCGATTTCGTAGTAGAAAGATAATACCACCGAGTAACTTTCACCGGATCAAAGGCCGAGCTGCATATTCATAAAATATAAGAAAAAATTATTTTCATGTTTATTTAACCTTTAAGATTTTTATATTTTATAAGTAGGTATTCAAACATTTAGATAATAACGTTAAAAACATTTAAAAATCGTATGAGAACGTTTTCGACTTCTCCGCGGACGAAGTCGCGGGCAAAAGCTATTTGTAAAATAATTAGACTAAATTATTAAAAGTGCCTACCCAAAGTCATTATTCCACGCGGACGAAGTCGCGGGCAATCTTACAAACAACTTCATAAAGCTAACATTGACATTGACTTCTATCTCATGTAACTTGGAAAATGTTTTTGTACACACCCTATACAGGGTGGAAACGATAAGTGATCTCACTCGTTTATTTCTAAACTATACAAGTTATCCAAAAACTGGTTACTGATCCTGAAAGTGCTTCATGAGCTCTATCAAACGGTGTCAATAATAGGTTACAAAACAAACTGGATGTATTATAAAATTCAATGGTTCCAGCTTCCATACTAAATGTATGCCAGTCAAATATGGGTAGTTCTACAAATCAGGGAATTTTACGGGGCTCAACTTGCAGCTCCTTAAATTACCAATTAATAGTTTTCGTTTTAGGGTATTAATAAAGTTTAACTCACATAGTACTTGGGGACTGAATTTCAACACGTTTTAATAAAAACATCCCAGACAAAAATGGCTTCAAATAGGAAAAATTCTCATTTCCCTGTGGGGTGACATTCCAGAATTCATGATGTAAATCACAATAAAAAATATATAAAAATATAATTAGTCAAAAATAACATTGTATTGAAAGTAACCATTAGTGTACCTTTCATTTAACCTATATGGATTATGTTTGAATTCCCTATTTACATAATTTTTTGATTGCTGAACAAAGGCGACACGAATTAAGTATCACTTCCCTGCCACCTATAAACACGTTAAAATCTGTAACAAAACAAAGGGAAAGCCACGTTGTCGTTCTTATGTATTTAAGTATGCAGTTAAGTTCGCCTAGTGAAACGTTTATTTCGTCTAAATCGTCAGTCAGTTAGACGCAGCTACGCTGTTATCATCGTCTGTCGTGTCTGGGCCAGACAACTTCTCACTCATCTGTTACGTTTTTATAACAGTATTTTATATTATTTTAGGGCAATTATGAAACAATATTGTCAAACTCGCTTGCGTCCATTGACTGATAATATTAAATTTGATATGAAGTTTATATAATTCATGATTTTGGCAAAATATGATGACGCTTAAACTGAATCTGAAACTGAGACCAGTAATGCCTGCAACACCAGTATTTTGATTCATCAGACTTGGTTGACCTTACGAGTGTACTGGGACTGAATGAACATTGATGATCCTGATGGATTGCTGGAGATGCCGAAAATAGATACTAACGAATTGTTTCCAGTCGAAGAAAAGCGTCGAGGAAAGAAGAGGAAGATAATAGAAGGAGATACGAATAGTAGGGAAAAGTCAAAGAGATCAGGTGACGGAAAAAGAAGCAACCTAAATGAGTTCCATGTTCAATTGATAGTGGACCTTTATGATGCACATAAAAGTATTTTTTATTATTTTTAGAATAAAAACTATAAACTCAAATGCATCTTTCAGTTAAATTTTCACTATCCTGTATATGTTCTCACTTCCCTGTCCATCGAAAATAGAAAAACCGCTATAAAATCAATATTTATCATAATTTTGTCTGGCCCGTTAAAAATTGGATATATTGTAGTATATTATCGGTCTTTAGTCACTGTTTATACTGATTACTAACAAAAACTGGAGATTCATTTTATGGTCCTAAATAATTCCACCGTGAGTAGAACTACCCATATACCAATGTATCATCATCATCTTAACCATAGGACGTCCACTGCTGAACATAGGCCTCCCCCAATGCTTTCCATGTTGCCCGGTTGGTAGCGGCCTGCGTCCGGCGCCTTCCTACTACCTTTACGATGTCGTCGGTTCACCTTGTGGGTGGATAATTGATTAAATTATTATTGTCTGTATTACAGAGAGCAGTTACTCAATGACAACCTGTGGAGAGCCGAAAAGAAGTCAAAGAATAAGGCGCCCAAAGAAACTACTTTCAGATCTCTAGACATCGACTAGTAGCATTAATTTATTACCGTTCCTGCCTATTTTTATTTCTTAGATGTACGTTGTTTGTTTTGTGAATGTTTTACGTTTCTGTAACAAAACGGTTGAAATGCACAAATAGGTTAATGGAAATTATTAATATATTTTTATTTCGTAACACCGTATTTTTCTTTTCTGTGCCTTTTTCCTTCTTTAATTTAGGCACTCCCTTCCTTTGTTCCTTTTCCTTGTTAAGACAGACGGCATGTCCTACGAGTTTATGAACAATATTAATTGAAATAGAGATTTATTTGTTTAATAGAATAGACTGCTTTAGCAAGAGTTCCTATATGAAAAAGAAATATCTAAAATATACAAGAGCCTGTAGCTAAGGTAGAGCCTTAAAGGGACTTTAGAAGCCTTTCTGGATCGAACCGCGTTCCATTTCAACTAAAATAGTAAGACACGGATCTTAACGCGACGTTTATTAATGAGTTACATTATGTACTCACGGCTTGACGTTACTATTTTAGTTGGAAAGTGATATATTGTTCAGGTTTGACATGTATGTAGCACATCCCAACTTTTTACTTACTCCAAAGCTGGTAAGTAGGTATAGTAAGACAAAGTTAGAACCTGACTATACATTTAAACTAATTTACCACTTAAAGTGTACACCATAGGATTAATTATACTTTTACACATTGTAAGTTTCTATGTACTCATTACCTGTAATTACACTTTAATAACTCATAATCATGGCTGACAACTCATCTATTATTGGGATAATATTTTTAATGATACAAAATGATACAATGTTTCAAAAATGTTATGGTTTAGTAAATTATGTATGATGATAGAGATCAAGGTTACATGGCATCCAAGTTTTTTAATAACTTACAAATCTGTAACTACTTATCAAAATTAAAAATTAATTTTAACAAAAAAATAAAACTGACTCCAAAAAACATGCACTAAAAAGTACCCATTTTAAACTGTAAGATGCCAATTCTATGAAATAATATAATTTAAGAACATAAGTTTAGTAGATTAATCACACTATTTTAAAGAAAATAAAGTAACTCTACATACGAGTACATTAAGAGCCTATGCCAAGATTAGGTGTTGCTTACGTGTAACCCATTCTTAATATTATATTGTTTAGTAAAATAAACAAAGAAGAAAAAGGACCATTAATTCGATAGCAATGTTCAAGTTAAATTCATGGAGAGTATTTGGAGAGCAAGTAAATTCGACGAGTAGCAGCCAATTTTGTGTCTAGTAGAATAAAACTAGTAGTAGTCATCACTATTGACATAATACGCCTCTAAAAACAAATATTTTTTATCCTGATCCAAGTAAGGCCGAGTGTACAATAGTGAACAAATAAGACGACACTGATTTAATAATATGAAATTTTGCAATTAGATACGGATACTTAGTTTCGTCATAATTATTTTATTTAATACATTATTACATGTAATGATTACTACTTTGTATAACATCTAATTGCAAAATCTAATAAACAAATACCTATGCGAAAGTAGTTCTGTCGAAAATGTATTAAATATGTTTGAAAGGACTAGGGGATGAATTTTGGCACTGAGACTTCATTAATAGGTACAGAGCCTAATGTAAAGTTAACATAAGCTCTTTTGGTGGTAACAATAAATGACGTTGATCAAAAAGATCGACTTACCGTTACAAACCAAAGTCCATGCAGGCGAAACCACGGGCATTCCATCTTATAAAATTAAGATGATTAACTATAAAGAAGTGTTCATAAAACACTTAATTGATTATTGCAATGTTACATTACTAGTTTTACTACAACAAGTACCACCTACGAAATGAATTAAGTATGTAGATAGACTTAGTAGGTACCAAAGCATACAAAAAAAATACCACCTCTCGTTCCCACCACTGCAACTCCTGTGTAGCCAGGATCTACAGCTTGACCGCTACAAAAACCCAACCAATGAAGGTCAAGTTTGTCCCGGGGGAAAGTTAAACTGTCATTGCATAACAAAGCATACAGTAGGTAGAGATATTTTTCAGCTGAAACCATTCAGGAAAGTCAGTTAATTCGTTTTAAATACAGAATATATCTAGATAGACTGTACCGAAACATATTATCTATTTAGGTAGAGAGATTTTTCAGCTGAAACTACACAGGAAAGTCAAATAATCCGTTTTAAATACAGAAATGTAAAAGAATACTATTTAAGTAGGTACTTAAGATTAAAGAAAAAGGAAAAAAGTTAAAAGACAGATACAGGACCTACGTTACTAATGTAGGTAAGTACTGTCATTTAAGATGTTTTCTGGAAAAAATATTTTTCCATTGTTTTGTATGAGAGACAGCATGACCAAATAAATTCAATATTGATACATTTTATTAAAATGCAAAAATAACTCAGCCTGTTGCATTTTTATGCCTAAACCGCTAACCAATTTTAATGAATATTGATAGGATGTAGTTAACTGACAGGTACAGACATAATCAAATCATTAGGCCTCTACCGATTTAGGCTACTTTCTGTCGGAAAAATTAATATGAAATAGTAGATGTATGTATGGGGCCAACCAATTCCTAGTAAGCTATTAGTTATACGATTTCTATCACCTTTTTTGGAAGCGTTTTTAAAAGGGGACGCGTGAATAATAGAGTTTGCATAATATAACTAAAAGCGCGAAGCCGACGTATTCCACTTTGAGCACCCGCCCAAAAACAAAAAATAAAAATTAATTCCATGTTAAATTTAAGTCCGCAAAAATAGCACCTGGCCTATTCCACTTGAGCACCTATCGATATAAAATACATTTAATTCCATGTATTTTTATATCGATAGGTGCTGCGAAGCCGCGGGCAAAAGCTAGTTCAAATATTTGGACGACACCCACTGACCTTGCGTCGTTGTGCCTGCGACCTTAGGCTGGATCCGTAGGGCGCGCGGTCACAAGCACCGCAGTTGCTGATTCGAGTCTGGCGAGGCGCGCGCGCAAGCCTACTCCGCGAAATTCGATCGGTCCGAAATTGTAACGGAGTGTGAAATTTTATTGCTGAAAAACAAATTTTAAGTGTTACTTCAGGCAAGGTTTGTATTTTATATCGGTGTTTTAAAAGTTTGATTATTTAAAGTTTGCTTTAAATAATTTTGAAAAATATGTTCCCTAAAAATAAAGTTAAATTAGAAAATGTTTTCATGATAATCTACTCACATTTCAGCTCATATTTCAGTGGAAATAAATATAGGAAGTTTCTATTTAAAAATATAATATTTAATACATAATTAGAATAATACTTAATTAATTTGTTGGTTGTTTTTACTTGTTGTGATTAAAATAATTTTCAGTAGTAAATAAATATGGCAAACGGATTTTTTGTGATTTTTAGAGCGTAGCTATATTACTAATTCGATTTTTTGAGAACATACAGAGTTTTACAACTCTCACCAGCTACTTGCTAAATGATTGTGACAATCATCATACGAAATACGACAAATATTCGGTGATACCTACTTACTATATTCTACTTAATATTATTCTGTAGTGATACAACTTAGTCAGTTTAGTACGGCTGGTTCATTTAAAAACCTAAAACCCATTTTTGCATATTTTTGTCCTTAATTTTTAACTGTCACTTCATTTCTCCCTAAAGAATGAGTTCTGAAAAAACCTGAAACACGCGATTAGGTATTCATTCATTTATCGATAGGAGTACTCCTGTGAAGTTTTGAACGTTGGACTCCTGTGGGACCCTCTAGTGCACCCCTAGATCTCGGAACTTAAGTGCCTAATGCACGTTCATCCATCGATCTCTAATTTTTAAGTGTCCCCTGTGTTAACACATAGCAGGAATTTTGCTTTCATAGCTGTCACTTAAAAATTAGTGATTGATGGTGAAAACGGATATTATAAGTCTCTAGGTCTAGACACATGGCTTAGTCAGTCAGTTAGTAGATATGGGAAAATAAAAGTGTTATTTTTAGTACTTTCCACTCAATTTTTAGGCTCTATCTTTCCTTCCTTAAGATATCATAATTTTCCTTTAAAGGCACCTTCCTTGTGCCTTAAGGAAATTGGCCGAATTGGTCGACCCATCTAGAATTTTGAGCTTAGCAACACATAATATGGGTAACTCATTCTTGTTATAAAGATATTCAATTTAAATTAACCTATAATATCTTCGAGATATTTTTCCGTGAAAAACTAAAGGGGTAAAAGGGATGAAACTATACCTAAGTGAAAATTCATTCCTTTGGTTTGATTAGATGAAAGTGTGATCTCCTCCATCACAATTCACTAATTTCGTAAATCTCTATCTTAGCTCGCAAGCAGCTTGAATATCTCTAAAGCAACACTGAATTTAATAAGTAACTACTTAGTTACTTAGTTTTAATTTTACCGCCAAGTTGAACTTGGGTCTCTTGATTTTGAGTCGATGAACTCAGCACCTCTCGACTACCACAGCGTTCACTTGACCACCATTTTTTATCCACGGTGCGCTACCTGTAGCTATCTCCGAATCTGCCCACTTATTATGAGGTTATTGTAGGTTTACCACAGGGTAGACTCGTCACTGGGAAAAGTACTTAATTCATTAATTCGTCAAACTCTATAAAATTATCATGACATACGCGAATCTACATAGGCCTGGATTTCACCAAAGGGGATATAAGAGATTTGTTTGAAAAACCAATCAGATTTCGTTATTTTCGCAACACCCATGTAAGCGTAAAATCTAAACACTTCTCCACTCAGCTTCTCCATATCTCCTTTTCCTCTCCGCTTTGGTATACCGGGTCTTATAGCTGTTTAACAATGTCTGAAAGAAACTTACAAAAGTGTGACGAATGAATCGACTCTGTGACAAATTGAAAATCCCTCAAGTTATCTTCTTTTTCAGATGCCGCAAGATACAAACCACGATTTGGTAGCCATCAGGGATTGGCTAGCCAAGGAGCCGTACTTACCACAAGACCTTGGTGAGTGTGCATGTTGCAACTGATTGCAGACCAACAAACTATCTGACGTGCGTGCAATTTGAATTTGAAACATTCAATTGAGAGTAACGTTGGTGAAATTTAAATAGGCTGTTACGCCCAGATATTGCATTGTCTATCAACTGGCAAGGTTACTTAACTAAAAAAACCAAAGCAACAATCTGTAAGCAAACTTAAAGAAAACTTAACACAAAGAATTGCTGAAATTTTTCATAAATAGATACTCAGCTAAAACTCAGCTAAGTCAAGTACCTATCTACTAAAAGAACCTTTAAGAAATTGCTTGTTTCAAAGTGAGACTTATGAAAAACATCTAATGATTTCTCTAACTTCTACTCTGGTTGGGAAAAAATGTCCTGTGCAATTATTCGCCTTTGTTTCTTTAAGTAAGTAGTTGCGCAGTAGTTATAACAACCAATAAATAAAAGAAAAACTAATATTCAGTGTTGACTTGCTAAATCATTTTTAAAATAACATTCTGTATCAATACAATGACTCAACACGGTAAAAACCGAGATGCGTTTTTACAGGATCCATGAATCGTGAAGAACAAAATAAGGTTAGGAGGTCTTTTGCCCTTGAGGATATGATTATGCTCCGAGTAGAGTTTAATAAAAATAAAAATTAATTCACACAATTAGGCCTGCCGTCAAAAAAATTGAAATCTCGTGGAAGATTATATTATATTATGTCATATCATATTCATATCATGTCTCTACAGTGTCACTACAACAATTACGCTAATATACCTAACACTTGGTTGCGATAATTACCACCATAAAACAAACATACATTGTACTGTGTTATGTAAGTCGGTACTTTCATTATACTTATAGTCGGTTTATGTCTTTAAAATGGTTTAATTTTTTTTTAAGATAATAATATTATGAAGTTTATAAAGTAGAAATGATGACTATTCATTCTTATCTACATCGTTTTAATTCAAAGCATTAATTTCAGTTTCATAACTTTAAATTAGATATTACGCTAAAGTTACTGTAATAAAATTTAATTTGATGATGACTCTTGAAAGTAAGAAGTTTCACCTGAAACTAGACTAGAATCTGACAATAATTGGTGTCGGTGGTCGTCATGGTTGCCCTCTAAGGTCATGGAAAATTATAATTGTTTTATACTTAAGTACAAGGTTTAACAGTAAGTAGCATACGTTTATTACGGCTTCTTAAATCGTTTCCTCATAAGTTGACCACGGTTATGTTAACAGACATCAGTATTCTTGGAAAATTCTTCTACGAATATTCCTATTTCTTCTTAAACTTGTAACTTGTGCCTTGGTTACACTATCTTACTTTAACTTTAACAAACTTAAAAAATCTGTCAACTCCATATAAAAACACCGGTTATCGTTATAGTTACGGTTAAAAATAAGATGGTGCAACTCAGTGTCTCAGTCTTAGTTGTTAGACAATGAGTTTTGTGACTAGAATTAAAAACAAGAACTTAATGTTCACCGAGCATATAACGTAATAGATCCTAGTACAAATAAATTAGTATTCTTCTCTTTGCTTTGCTTCCTTGTTCATTCGTTGTACAAGATTATACAAGCACAGTGTATAATCTTATTGTTTCTCGGATAAATACCAAAATAGGTAGGTACATAGCGATACGTGGCGATACCCTTGACGTAAAAGTGCATGCATGCTTTGCTTCACCTTTGAATTGTTAATAGAATAACATATACCTACATATACAGGGTGTTAGGTAAATGGGTATATGAGCCGACACTAACCCATGTTAACATGGGCATATAAATGGTATGGTGAAGTCAGAAATTTGATATCAAAACTTTAATTTTTTTAATTTTCATACAAAATAAATTTTATAAAATCCGATTTGTATAAAAATTAAAATAATTAAAATGAAGATATTAATTTTCTGACTTCACCATAACCACCATCTATGGATAATATTCTACTATAATGTAGATTATAACAATAAAATTCACTCTAGGTACTGAAGTTCAGGTTCATTTCTAGTCCAAACTTCTGTGGGAGCAGGCGCTGAAAAACTTTCAGCCTTTATAAATGCTCTTAGTCCATACGTTTCTTATTTTTTTTTACACCTATTATGCATAATAAAATAATAACAGATACAATTATGTTGTCAGTGTTATGTAAACATAATTATTTATGCTAATAATCCAACCGTGGTAATAACTGTTTCTGTCCACTTCCTTAGTTTTTAATGGACAAAGTTTATTTTATTTTTAACTATAAAGAATGTCAAGTATATCAAAGGAAATAACGCCTAATTGCCTAAACATAGGTACTTATTAACATAGCTGGGATACGAAAATATTTAAGAAAAATACATATAAGTATTTTACTTTTTTTTATCCATGACAAGGCAGGTATTTGACCACAATCGTACTTGGTGTTAAGTGAGATGCAGTCTAGGGTGGTACATATTTTATCTGCCCTATAGGTGCGTAATACTCATATTCACTCTCGTCTTAAAAAGTCAAAGTAACTAAATGTTTAATTGCTCACTTTCAAAATATTTAAATTAGTTAGGTTAGTTTAGTTAGGTTCTATTTTAAAACCTGGCGATTTTATAATGTACTTTAAGTCTAGTAGAGAACCTCAAACACTCGTAAAAGATGTCAACGACATAATATCTCACGATTAAAAATTATTCGAAAATAGAGTAAGTAGTTACTTGTAAATAATCATTTTATTCTGTTTTATTTTCCAGATGACTTCATGATCAAGAAGTTCCTTCACAGCTGCTACGGGAGCTTGGAGAAGACCAAGAAATGCATCGAAAAGTTCTGCACTACCCGATCCAGTTTGACAGAACTCTACACCAACAGGGACCCTACGTCTGTCAAGATGAAGACTGCATTTTCAATCACGTAAGAACAGAAAAGAAGGCGCTACGTCGACTAGCAACTTTTATCAGCTAGTTGCGGTGGTTGCGGTAACTGGCAACTCGCTAGTAGCGATTTTCATAGAATTTAGAACAGGCGAGTAGGCGTTATGTAGATTAGCAACTTTTATCAGCGAGTTGCGGTCACAAGCAACTCGCTAGAAGAAAATTTCAAAACTTTTTGACGCACAAATGTAGCGACTCTATGCCGCTTCAGTCGAGTAACCGAAAACAGTTGTGTCACGTTTATATGTTTTCCGAAACGATAATCCGTGTCTCTAACAGCGTGGATCGAGCGAGGATCGTGGATCGTGGAGCGAGCGAGCGTATTCGAAACTTTTAGCTGTTTAAAATCATGTCAGCCTGGAACAGCGCTTAATCGTTGCCAGTTGAGACAAGATATTCATTTAGAGCCTTAGGTTAAATTGTTGTGTGCTCACTACCAAATTAATTATATCATTCAAACAACTCTACCTGTTATCATACATCGTTGTTGTCGTAAAAATTAAATGATGCGTAAACACGTGGAAAACTTTACGGAAATATCAGAACGTGAGACGTGTGTGGAATAAAAATGTCAATGGTACAGTATTCCCAGAGTCGGCAAAAGAGCAAGTGTTGAAAAAATACAAAATAAAGTTAAATTATTATTATTATCTGATTCTGACCCGACAGTATGGAACACATCGCATATGAAAAATGTGAACTACCTACCGTCCGAGAATCTCCAAAACACAAATCACCATCTGCTAAGTGCTAGTATTACACGATCATTATGAGACAATAGGTACAATTAACATCAAAATCTAGAGTTAGACCGTTAAATTAAATGCATTCTTGGCATCGTATTATAATTTATTATGTTACGCAGTGCCTTAATTTATTATGACCTTAATTTAGTGTAGTTGCCAAATATAGGCGTTCACTGTCTCTATAAAACTAAAAAATGGGCCTTGAAATATTGTTTAGCAATAATTTTAACCAAGAACCATTTTTGAATAAGCGTTAACGGTTAACAGAGTTGACTGTTGTAACATAAGTTTTGTTGTTCTATTTCGTAAGACCTAAGTTATTCATATAATTTTTATTTCTATAGATAATCAAGATTTAAGCGATACTTGGCCAGAAATAGTAATGGGAAATTTTAAAATTTCCCGGAAATGAAGGCAGTATATTGGTTGCATTTTCGTTAATTTAATATGTCTCTGTTCTTTCCAAGTCAAGGTTTACAAGAGATCTTAAACCTTTTGACATTTGATGCTATTAAACTGTATAGTCTAAGATCCCGCTATACAACGACCTTCATCGAGATGCTTATTTGATGAAACATATTTTATATTCAATTTAACATGTCAATAATTATATTGCTTAAGGGTTGCCTAATAAATTTCAGTCCAGGATATGATTAATTAATCATTTAAAAAAGATTTTTTTTTAAATATTTCATCGGTTTGACTATTAAACAAACTCCATACCAATAGAAAGTATGAAGCCCATAGAAAATGCAAACGTTAGGTTGCCTATTCTTTTCCAGTCATAACTCTCGGGTTGCCAGGTATAAACAGGTAAATTGATAGAGCATTTTGCATCGGTCTGATAATTTAATCAAATTTAAATTAAAATAAATATTATTTCATTATGAACACGGTGGTATAGGGTTGCCTGCGAAAAATCAGTCCTGAATGACGGTTGTCGAATTTTGTAAAGTGAAATTAAAACTGATAGGTAACATTTTTCGAGTAGTTGGCAACATTTGGGAAAGACGAGTTGTATGTCAGTTTTAATTTCACTTTACAAAATTCGACAACCGTCATTCAGGACTGATTTTTCGCAGGCAACCCTATACCACCGTGTTCATAATGAAATAATCTTTATTTTAATTTAAATTTGATTAAATTATCAGACCGATGCAAAATGCTCTATCAATTTACCTGTTTATACCTGGCAACCCGAGAGTTATGACTGGAAAAGAATAGGCAACCTAACGTTTGCATATTCTATGGGCTTCATACTTTCGATTGGTATGGAGTTTGTTTAATAGTCAAACCGATGAAATATTAAAAAAAAAATCTTTTTTAAATGATTAATTAATCATATCCTGGACTGAAATTTATTAGGCAACCCTTAAGCAATATAATTATTGACATGTTAAATTGAATATAAAATATGTTTCATCAAATAAGCATCTCGATGAAGGTCGTTGTATAGCGGGATCTTATACTAGTAGGAAGTCGAAATTCTTTACGCACAGAAAGGTTATTTTGTGATTTTGTTGATTTACAAGATTACCGTTACGAGGCTCGCATGACGTAGCTGGGCGAAACAGGCTCAGTTTTTAAATGTCATGGCGAAAGATTCGGCTACTTCCACACGTGGGATGTCATGTCATCCTACCTCATCCACGTTATAAAGTTTCATCCATCGATAAAATAGGAAAATATTTTGATCAACCGTCGTTATACAGGGTGTAAGGTAAATGGGTATATGAGCCGACACTAGCCCATAGTTAACATGGCCATATAAATGGTATGGTGAAGTCAGAAAATTGATATCTTTATTTTAATTATTTTAATTTTCATACAAATCGGAATTTATATAAATGTCGGCTCATATATGGATATATATCCATTTACCTAACACCCTGTAGAAAGAGATTGGACCTACAAAAGAAGGGCCACGCTATAATGTTTTGCCACTGGCCTATAATTAGTGACCAAGACGTTAAATGGCAATGTACTAAGGTAGTGAGGGTAAAAACATGGACAATAGATGTTTATTCTAAAAAATAATTAATTATAGAGAGTAGAAAATGTGGTCAGATGATCAATATACGAGTAAAATATGTAAGTAATTGCAACACGTACAATAGACGATTATAAAAAAGTAAGCGATTACAACCAAAGTGGCGTAGGTAAGCTTTTAGTTAAAAACAAATAAGCCAGCTCATGTAGAGGCCTTAGAAAACTGGTTCTACGCCTAATACGTTTCGGACAAAATGATGATCACGGTCAAGGTATATATCTATTACGCAATATTTATAGGTGTGACTTAATCTCTATCATGTATTCAATTATTCATGTCCGGCTAATTTGTAGTCATACTAAAATTTTAACTCTTGTAGGAACGTAATACGTAAAGAACTCTCCAAACTACAATGAAATAACTATTCTGAGCTGTGATATATCGGTCTAAAAAGTCAAAACATTACCAAAGCTTTTATACTAAAGCCTTAATTACAGGTTTAGATTAATAAATCCATTACAGATATGTTTACGATTTAATCGATTTACCTAATGATGTGAAATAAGAACATGAAAAAAGAAAATAGGAAATGTGTTTCAACAATTTTCCTTACACTGAAGAATTTTCCAAGATTGAAACAGGTGACAGAAGTTTTTATAATGTCATAATATTTTACAAGGCGACATTATTTGATAAAAAATACTTTTCATCAATCAGTAAAAACACTTTCATAAAATGTTGCGTGATCGCTTCTGACCATGACGCTTTGTATGGGATTGGGAACCGATAAATTGTATCTCCTATGATGATGAATAAAATGATTTGTTTTGATTTGAAAGACACTTTTTATGAATAAGGAGCGAATGTCACATTAATTCAGAATCTCGTTATTGTTATGTAATAGGTAAGATACGTTACAGTTCGGAAAACAATGCGCAATTCATTTTCATTTAGGGCTTGCAAATCACCCTATTGTCATGTATAGCTAGATTACGTCAGCGAACTTTATATGGATTCATTATAATATTTTCTCTATTAGGTATTACATATCTAGGGGTAATCTAACGCCAAAAACTTCAAGTGTTATAAAACCATGAATTAATTATTTTTTAAAAATAGTGCCCTAATAAAGTGCCCATGCATGCTACTCTATTAAAGATTTTGGTGGCAATTTTTTCTATAGTCTAAAATTAACTAAAAAAAAGTTTTTATAAGTTTAATAAAACGTCATGCTTGTCTGTCCCGAATGGTATCCCGAAGTGGCGGTAAGGCAAGATTTATTTGGTACGTGTTTAAGTCCCTGAAAAGAACCTATTACTTACCAAATACAATTTTTGAATCGTGAATAAATGGTTCAAGTTATAATCTGAACCCGAAATACTAAAAATGTAGGTGTGAACTGTACTTTATTTTTATTTTTCAGCTCAGTAGCCACATACAAGGCGGGAGAGGACGAGATCTTGATCCACCAACTGGACGACCCGCCCCTCGACAAATTCTCTTTCTACGACATTCTGAAGGCGTTCACCCTCCAAGCGGACTACTGGTTGAAGGTCCACGACTTCTTCCCTGAGGGACACATCATCGTCCTGGACATAAAGGACTACTCGTTGAGGATCATCCCCAAAGTCAATGTCATGTACTTCAGGGATTTCCTCATTTATTTACTGGTACGTAACATAAGAACGTATTATCTCGTAGCAGCGTAACGTTAACGTAAACAAACATAGTTTTAAAACGTTTTGAATCAGCTGAATCAGAATTTTCTTAAAATTCATCGATTATAGTAAGTTCGTCCACCTACAAGGTGGACTGACGACATTGTAAAGGTAGCAGGGAAGCGCTGGATGCAGGCTGCTACCAATCGATCAACGTGGAAAGCATTAGGGGAGGCCTATGTTTAGCAGTGGACGTCCTATGGCTGAAATGATGATGATGATGATGAGTAAGTTCGGGAGATTCTACAGGAGGGTACGGTTTTATTATCTATGCTGTGTGGATTTGTCGCTCACATGCCCATCCCCTTGTACCCCACCTATATACTATGCATAGTTTGATAACATTCGAGTTGTTACAACCGTACCTACCCTGTTACAATCGTACCCAGTCTATCTGCCCTACTTATTTTGGTGTAAAAACAAATATTTTTTTCTGTTCGTATTATCTTTATGTTATTTTCATATTTTTGTATTATGTGGTTACCTTCAGAGATATAAAACATTTCGATTTTGTATTCCAGGAAGGCATGCCTGTCCGAGTGAAGCAAGTGCACGCGGTGAACTGCCCGTCGTACTACGAAAAGCTTTATGCGCTAGTCAAACCCGCCCTGCCCGCGGAAATTTGCAATATCGTATGTATAAATCGATCATATTTTTAAGGGTGGATTCGACCAAACAAGAGTACCTAAATATTAATCTCATGATAAATCAAGATAGTCAAGTTTTGACATATTATTTCCCATATTAAAACTGTCAATGTGCCAGTTATACCAGGAGTTATTCTGGGATAAAAGTTTAGTCGAATCGGGCCTAAGTAGGGATTATGAAAATACTAAATGTTGTAATTAGCCTCCTCCTCCTAAAAATCAGCCTCCTGGCAAAATTTATCCTACGCTGTGATTTTAGCTGGTCATGGCAGCTGGCATTTCAGGATACCATGAGCTTTTAAGCTTTATTGTTTGTGATATTTTTACCCAAATACTTAAAACATTATTTTATTCAATTTACATAACACCTACTTACTTACCTTTTACAGATAACATTCCACTCCAACGTGCAAAGCCTGCAGAAATCGGTAGACAAGAAATACTTACCAGCCGAGTATGGCGGCGACGCTCAAAGTATGAAGGAACAGCATCAGTTCTGGATCAGCAAGATTGAAGAAGAGAGGTAGGTACTTAGGGTCAGAGTACCTAGGATAAGATGGTCGACAATGAACCACTCTACATTTTTAAGAGCTATAACCCCATTTCTAAGGGCCCACATTTGAAAGAAAGAAAGAAAGAAACATTTATTGCCATGGACATCACAAAAGACAAAAGAGGTAAAATAAAAAAAAGCAAATAAGACAGAGGTGACATAAAACATACAATGAAAGAGCAAGTAAACTAAGCAGTGCCCCCCTGTCGCACAGCGATGTGCTGGTTGCAAAGGGTATGCCGTATGTCCAAATGCGTGGGATTTAACGAAATTATCTTTAGCTAGTCGACGGCAATCGCCCTAGGGCGGTCCTTAAAAAGCCTATGCATCATGGAGGTACGATCTAGGAATAAAACTGCAAATCAAAAAATCTATCGAGAGTCAAGTCATCACTATCACTACCGTACTTGAAAAAGCTGTGTTTTAAGAAACTCTTTCCCGTTTTTCCAGGAAAATGTTCCTAAACGACGGGATGTGGAAAGCTGACCTGAAACTGAAACCGAAAAGCAACGCAGTTGAAAACGTCATGAACGGATCCTTCAGGACTTTGTCCATTGATTAATAAGATTCAATAAGTATTTTACATTTAGTAGGAAATATTTGTACCATTTGTATTTATAACTGACCCGGCGAACTTCGTACCGCCTTAGCGTAGAGATTTTCTTAATATTTTTTTCCATAAGAACCATCCTTGGACTTCCACAAACATTTAAAAAAAAGAATTATCGAAATCGGTTCAGCCGTTCACACGTGATGCCGTGACAACGCGAAACGGGTTTCATTTTTATATATATAGATTTAGCTCATGTTTTTATTGTAAGTTAATCCCAACTAATATTATAAATGCGAAAGTAACTCTGTCTGTCTGTCTGTCTGTCTGTCTGTCTGTTACGCTTTCCCGCTTAAACCTCGCAACCGATTTTGATGAAATTTGGCATAGAGATAGTTTGAGTCCCGGGAAAGAACATAGGATAGTTTTTATCCCGGTTTTTGAAACAGGGACGCGCGCGATAAAGTTTTTCTGTGACAGACAAAATTCCACGCGGGCGAAGCCGCGGGCGGAAAGCTAGTTATTTTATAAAGAGTAGAATATTAAAAGTGGTTGTAAGTGATACCTTCAGTATTATTTTTAAACCTTAGTCTATAGATGACCTTAGTGCTGAACAATGCGATGACTCCTGATGACTCCACACAGCAAAATACAGTGACTGACGTTACTTATTCAGCTTAATTAAAATGTACTCCGTATGCTCTGGTATACAGGGTTCAAGATAGAACAGTACTTTTACGTTAGATGGCGTTGTATTAGTAGTTGCTTTGCTCGTGGAGTTACTGTTGAAGTGTTGATGATAGGTGGCTAAAATGAGCCTTATTCCTCGCAACGTAAGAGCGTAGTGCGTTACCACAATTTCTCAATGAAAATATGTTCCGCCATGGCCGCCGTATTGCCGGCCTCTATTTAATCACATGAACACAATATGCCCTGATTATTTAAACCCGTTCAATCTAAGCCAAGTATATTGAGATTCGCAACCAAAATACAAAATTTCCGTGTCGATTTACAAACACTTTCACTCGCAAGTCTCACGTGACTCATTCACAGTAATCAATGCGGACCTTTAGCGGAAGCGGAACGGTACGAGCTGAGACAAGAAATACGCTGAGGCAATGAGTGCGAGTGAGATGACATGCACGATACTGTTGCGGACTGACCAATAGGAAGCAAGTTTCTTGATTTCGGTCATGCACCTCGCAGTCCGCAGTCGCATGCAACATTTATCGTTGTTATTGTATAATTCATCACAACTTTACAGTTATAGTAATTGATGTTTAGTGTTTTGTTTACTGTGTGCAGTGAGTGTCAGTGAATTACCTAGTAATAAATCAACAATGCCACGAATGAAAAGCATGATTTGGACATTTTTCAAGCGAGACGAACATGACCGCGACAAATCAACGTGTCAAATTTGCAATAATTCATATTCTCGTAAGGGCCGCACTACTTCGTCCTTAAAAAGGCATTTGAAATCAATGCACCCAGAGCAGTTCATTGTGCTACAAAGTTTGATGCACAAAAAATTGCTAAAGATAAATGACGGTGCAGGTAAGATTTAATTAACTTTACTATTGAATTTGATAATAATAATTTAGTTAAACTTGCAGTCAAGTTACCTTTTCAAAAGGCGGGGTTTTCAATTTGTTTACTTACCTCGATTTAATTGGTTGGTTCCCAAAGATATTTCAAAATTAAAAGTTAACCTTGATAAATGATTCTGTTGGATTGTTTACAAAACAAACTTTAGGTTAGTTTCGCCTGTCTGACGTTGCGTTTTGTTACACCAAAGATGTGAACATTTTTAACGAAGAAGTAATGATTTTGCACTGTTATTGTTGTTAAATTATCAGTAAGTGATTCCATGGTTTTAAAGTTCAGGTCTGAAAACAGAATCAGGTGAATCAGGAGGTAGTTAATACTTCCAAATCCTATCTAAAATATTATTATTCTATTACTTCGGGTATACCTACTTACCTATCTAATGTTTATATCGTTTATTTTTCAGCTCAGAACAGAACCCAAGACGATGATGATGACGATGAAGACCTCGATTATGATGGCTCTAATGTGGCAGGATCTATGGAAACTAATGGTGAGCTTTCAAAAATATTACAGTAAATATAAAGATCAATCAATAAATACATCTTTGAGCCATATGCCTACTTCTGTTACATTAACTCGCAACTGAACACAGTACTGCACACTGAAATAATGTACTGTACTGTGATCAGTTGTGTAATATAATGTGCGTGAATAAATATCGTTCTCGTTATGGTAAGTGTTGTAATTGTATTTTTTTTATTAAAACCAAAACAGCGCTGTTACAGTTGTTTAAGGAATACAATTACTATCCATTAGGAAAATTATTCGTGCTCAGGGTACTGTATAGTCTCAAGTTCACAACACGTCTTCCGAAAGCTCGGAACTGTTCGGACAATAACATAATTATGTATAAGGTTGATATAATCTTACAATATATTTAATGTTGTTTCAGCTGACAATAATAGAACCTTGTATCTGGAAATTGAAGGCGGAAAAGTACATAATCCTCAATCCTCTACAGCTGACGGTAGGTTTTATTTGAAAATATCCCTGAAAATGGCCTTATAAGCCATCTGAAACTTGTTTATTTAATTCCCCAATGCAGAAGTGTTCGTTGCAGTCTAACGAATATTCATTTCTTCAAAAAATGCCAAATAATTTTAGAACTTTACTTCTGTGTGTTGGTTCTTAGGCCACTACTGACAATGTCCTTTATTTCAGACCCAAAGGAAGAAAGGAAAACAGATAGAAGAAAGCTGACTCAAGCTATAACTAGGTACTACGAACTAAAGGCACAAAAAGTGGAGCTTGAAATTCAATTGCTAAAGAAAAAAGTGGAAAACCCAGATTAGGCGCACGCTGGAAGACATTGGTGGAAACTCATAAAATCGCAAGCTATCTGTCAGTGCGTTACGATTCATCTCTAAAGGACTGAAATGGGTCCATATTGATTTTTTTTTTTTGTAGACACGTTTATTTTTTACACGAAGATTGATTATAAAACAGATCTTTTGGAAGAATTGACTAAATTATACTAACACGTTTTTGATTACTAAAGTTGACTTTAACTAGGAGGTGTTAAAGTCTTTCTTACAGACTGAATTTCTTTCTGAACACGAGGATTATAATGAAGCTTGCAGAAAAAACGGCCTAGGACCTTCAAAAAGCTCTTTTGGTACCTATGTAGAGCGCGAGAGAGTGCCTTAAAATATTCATGTTCATTTATTACATCTTATTGTTAGCAGTGATAATGATTGATAAAATAAATAATATTTTTGAACGATTTGATCCCTTTTATTGAAATCACTCTCACACTAACAGCCCCATAACCTACGAGTATCTAAGGTCCACGTAGGCAATATTACGAAAATTTTATGCATTTTCCTGACATATGTTTAATCTGAAATAAGTAGGACAGTTTTTATAAAGGGAAATTTAATTTTTTTACATAAAAACTTAGATTTATAATCGATAATTAAAATTTAATAGGGTTCAAAATAATTATTAAGCCCTACTAAATAACCTTTAACTTAACATCCTTTTAAAATACATTCATCAAAATCCTAAATATTTCGTTAACAATTTGGTAACAGTAATGAATCTTTATGTCTGTAACGAGATACCTAACTACATTTATATTATAATTATTGATAAAAATTACATTGGCTCACCTCTTGATTATGTACACCTACAAAGTGGTGATGTGACTTTTATACTACTTACGCGCCAATATAAAATGGCAATCTTACAAAAAACGTAATATTTTCTCACAGATTCATTCGTCGTTTCCGAGTCTGAAATTGTTCGTCCACAATCGTTTGATCCATGAAAGGTTCATCCAAAGAATTTTTGGGCTAAACGATAAAAAACCAGTGTTGCAAAGATCTCTCCTTACAACGTAGACTGAGCCAGGTCCAATTGCCTTCGGTGTACTTCATATTATTATAGTTGTAAGTCTAACTACCTGTACCTGTCTAATGGTTCGAAGGCAATAAATACATTTTTTTTTAATTTTTTTTTTTAAATTCAGCGGGCAAAAAAAAAAACGTTATTAGGCGAAACGTTCTTCGGGCTAAGGGATAGTGGGTGAAAAAGTGGATGAACCCATGGATCAAACGATTGTGTTTCAGACTCGTCATTTTCGTTCATTTTACGTACACACTTAAAAGTATTGTGACAAACTCTGTAAAAATGAAGTTATAATGCCACCTATGCTCATCGTATCATTAATACTAGACAGCAGGTATTACAATTGCTTAATCAAGAGCGAGCGAGCGGAAAGAGCCGGGGCAGTCGCGGACTTTATCAGCGCGTTCGTCCTGGCAGCTGCTCGGCCGGAGCGACTCGTCCACCACCCAGCGCTGGTCGTGTGTTAGGAACCACTCCCTGGAAACAAGTCATCATCATCAATGGTTGCGTTTAGTAGAAAAAAGCGCTTGGAAGCAAAATAGCGATCGCTACAGCAGTTTTCGGTGAGGACACATTTGCTAACTTTTAATAGTGACGTGTAATTTTTTATCAGTTACAGCGCTTTCCGCTTAACGATTGCCCTTTTACTTAAAAGCGCTTTCAAGTGCTAATTTCCGCCAAACGCACCCTTTTTTTATCAGGTTATTAAGTCTCTAATGCAGCAGGACGACCTCTCTAAAATAACAGAAACAAACACAGGATTTGGCCTACTCTCCCCTCGCCAGATGGTTGGGTTGGGATGGTCTGATGACCGTAGTCGCGTCTTAACTGTGGCGCAGTACTATTCTACTCTGCAAGAACCGGAAGGTTTAGCAGGCACTTTAGGTGTGCCTTAGGGCTTAGTTAGGATATCCGTGAAGGGATATTGGATACTAACGCTAAGGTCACGTTCCCTCAGATAATGCTCTGTCCTTTCCGTGAATGTTGTAAGAGGCGGCTAAGGGACATAATATGCAAACATCAAGCCTCCCCAACCCGTTGGGCCAGCATGGAGAGACAGCCAAATCTTATATTTACCTCTGGTAAAGTAGAGAGTATCGCGTGCTCTTGCAACTTATGACGTACACAAAGTAAAGAAGAGCAATAACAAGCAAGTATCACGCGAAACCGTGACAACGAAACTAATTAACACACACAGCTTTACGTATTCTCATTAGCAACGCGGTAGAATGAACATAGACAGACAGTTCTGTTCTTGTCTTTTAGCTATCATATCATGCATGGTTTCGCTTGCGATGCTATGTAGGATTCCAAGACATAAGAGTACTCTTCAGAATGCTGCAACGAGTTACTTATCAATTTAAACTCGCTTCACTGTGGTGTTTTGTTTCTTTATGCCTAAGCCTAGCCTAGGTGCAGATCACCGATTTTTTGTCGGTCGTTATTTGGGTCGGGCTGGTTAATTAGTTAGTATGGACATTTATGGAAGTGCGCACATTACACCGATTTGATTTTCATACAAATTAAAATCGGGCCCAACTATCGGCCGACTAAACGTCGGTGGTCTGCGCCTAGGCTAACAAACATTTTGAATTTTTTGGGTGGTTAACTTGTCTGTTTGGGGTATGTCTGAAATCAAATCGACCCAATACTAACCTCTTGGCCTCAATGCGTTTGATCCAGTATTTTTTGAGCTGATCGATAGAGCCAGCCTTGCCACCGTACTCTTCTGGCAAGAGGTCCTGGGGGATGTCTTTATACAGGGTGTCCGTATTCGGTTCGTGGAACTTTATCTGTAAAGAAAAAAAATACCTACTATAATAACGTTATTGGGAACTGCAATGTAAGATTTAGGGATATACAGGGTGGAATTTTGTAATGCCACCTGGAGGGAAAGTACTCTTAAAACTATAGATTGAAATTTTACTCAACGAAAACATTCCTTTCAGTACTTTCCCTCCAGGTGGTATTATACAATTCCAGCCTGTATGGTTTTATCTAGCGTTTTCTGAGCTAACAGATACTTGTGTCGCAGTTGTCTGAAAGAGTCTTCTGAAAAATATGTAGAGTCGCAGTAACAAGGAAATTCTACGACCTTGTTCTACGGTGGGGGAGTAACTTCTCTAAACATGTACGAAATATGCATAGGACACAAAACAAACACAAATCGTCTACATTATTGCATGTTTTAGACGATTATCATTCGACTAATAGATAGCTATCTATGATAGGTAATTAAAAGAAAAAACCGAATTTGATGATGGTTGCTAATGAACCATGGCTGTTTAATATTAATTTATTCATTAATTATTGCGGCAATAGGCTTACAATCGATTCGTTAGTCAAATTGGAGACAGATATGTTACGTCACATTACTTTCGGTTTAAAATTTAAATTAATTCAAGCGCAACTCTTGCGTTTAAGGATGACAATACACTGTGGTGCTTATTATACACTGCACGCAGAGTCATATAGTAAGTATAATGGGGCATGAGTTCGTTGAATTTAAAATTTAAACCTTGCTTAGTTCTGTAGTGGGTGAATGCACTTGTGAACGGCTGTACCGATTAGGTTATACTTTTTTAAATTTAAAAGCGATAGCAAATCAAAGTAGGAACCTTTTTATAAAGTAGCACCTATTAACCTGTTCCTAAGAACAGTAACAAAAAATGTGTTGTCCTTTCGACTCTACATTTAAGTTCAAGAAGTTTTTTTTAATTTCCCAGAAACATGCGCTTATTTTCAAACTAAAGATTTCTTCTAGTTTAGAGAGTATTTATTGCAACCAGATTAATAAACGGTTAATAAGTTTTAACTAAAACTAATACCTAAAGGCCTAGATACCAACTCCGAAAGTGAAGGGAAATAGATAAACTAGCTCGTTAACATGTAAACAGGAAAATTTGTAGAGTCGTAAAATTGTAAAAGTAAGCAACAAATGTTTATGACATGTCCGTGTTCTTAGATTTATTGTTTGTAACAAAGTAATTGAACAAGGAATTAATATTACAATAAATACATCATACATAAATAACTTCTCCTAAATACGATTAACTTTTATTTTTGATGGTGTGTACCTAGGTAGGTAGTACCTACCTGGAACATAATTGAGTAAGGTCATCTACGAAAGCCATTTCTATTACGTTTGGGTTAATTATCTACCTATTAGTACTGGCTTGCTAAGACTCGAAAAGGGCTGGAATTAATTATATTTTTCAATTTCCTCACTGTTAAAGTTAATTTGTTTTACATCATGTAAGTACGTAGGTACTACCTAAGTAGTAATTTAGTAGAGATTGTGTTCAGTTTGTTTTTATTGGTGTACCTACCTACAATTTGTCATATTAATTATTAGTAGATTTCTAGATAAGTAAACTAAGTTATGTCATGTTTTGTACCAACTGGCGCGCAGATATAAAAATAACACTTGTACAGTTGTACACCTCATAAAAGCAAATAATTGAATAGATTGCTACCACAAGCGATAATCACTTTGATAAATTAATCATTGTGTGATCTACCTACACGCACGCAATGCAAAGTTAATTAAACCGCACTTTACGACCGCGTAATCGGTAGGACCAATTACGATAGATTAAAAATCATGCGTAATTATTAAACAGATTATTTTTATTCTTATCCCTAAAAGATGAAATGTTTTCTACCAAAAAACTAAGGGCCGCCTATTTAATTCACCTCCTACGACTCTACTTGAGGTTACATGCCGAAGTAGGTTACATTATTTTATTCTGTGGTACTGCTACAAAAGCTACCTAAAATATTGGTAAACTTTTACGTCTAAATTAATTTATTGACGTAACTAATTACCTATCGAATTATCGGACACGACGTACGATTAAGGAAAACTTATGATCGTTTATTTTTATTTATTTTACGGTTAAACGGAGTCAAGTAGCAATGAACTCCATTGCAATCCGCCGCAATACTTTCCATTACCAGTTTGTTTACTTTGGACTGCAATCTTTGATCAGGTTAGTTAGTTTTTGCTTTTAAACTTGTAAGTTATGAAGATGCGATTCCCAGGATTTATCTTATTTATGAATTGAATAATGTAGCCGTCACCGAATGTAATTGTGTACTATCACAGATAATATAATACTAGGTACTATTATTATATTATCTGTGGTAATACTGAAAAGGTACTTTTTGGATTGGTTACTTTCGTTGTCGTACTGATAAACGTTAACGCTGAGTTGCACCGACTTCAATTTAATCGTAACTTAACATTAAACGGTGTTTCTGTAGGTATGGAGAATAATAAATGTACTAGATGTACAGAAAGTTTTCTTCGCGAAGGTATTTAAAAAATGTATGCTCAAAGTCGTCAATAATATGGTGTAATTTAAGTTTGTCTCGAGAGTGATCGCACACCGTTTCGTTGACGTCAGTTCGGCATTGTTCCGATGCCATAGGGCTAACTTCAGAATTAAAAAAAAAGTGCCAAACAGCGGAAAATTGCGGATGAAATACATGAATTATCATTAATACCTACATAATATTAACCACTTACTTACCTCTCAGTGTCTTCAGGCAGCTTAAAAAAATATATTTTGTGTTTTTATTTTTCAGGCACTAAAAAATTTATTTACAATGCAAATTGGTGAAAATTACGCGTGCGTGCGTCAATGCTCGCCTTGTCGATTAAAAAATATCCCGGATAGTGTACGCCGCGCCGCGCGTATTTTGATTTCGATGCAAAATCGCGGAGATGAAGTATAAAGTTTGACAGATTGTTGACGTTTAAAGTAAACAAGTTAAAGTAACTAAGATGGTGCAACTCAGCCTGTATTCTTAAGTTGGATAACTCGTTCGGCAAACGAACCAAATATACGAACGCAGATATGCTAAAAGAAAAACCGTTATCGGGTTTGGCCAACGGTGAACTGAAGTTAATAAAATTATGTTAACTAACACTGAATAATATTATTTATTAAGCAACATAATTAAGGTTAATTAAATAAGTCCCAGCATGTTTACTGAAAGATTTGCGGTTCAAAAAATCGTAGATAATGATGAATTTCAAATACATTTTTTGTCATTTCCACGCTGATGCTACTTACTTGTGGATGACAAAGAAATTCAAAGAACCTTTGAGGTCCAAAATTCCAAATAGACCCACCCCCAAGATGATCTTAAAATCCAATCTAAAACCAATTCTCTGCATTAACATGACATAATTTTGGGCTTTAGCAGGAAGGCGCTGGATGCAGTCCGCGACCAACTTAGTTACTTAGTTATTAAGGGAATCATTTCAGCAGTGGACGTCCTATGACCAAAATGGTATGATGACGATGGACGATGACGATGGTGATGATTTTGGGCTTCTCCTATTCACGATAGTTAGCTAAAAATATTCATACTTAAAAAAATAAGAAAATACTGACCAGTTTAGCGACTTCTGCCTTGATGAAGGGTTTGCAGATGGCGTGGATCTTGCTGATGTATGCTGGCGCGTTGATCACGTGCACTTGCTTCAGTCTTATAGGTATGGCTTCCTGAAAGATAAAATTGATTGCATAATATATTGATGTGCTAGTTAGAGAAAGAAATTTCCCTTTTTGATGACATGCCTCTTCCCAAACCCGTCTGGTCAGAGAGGTAGGCTAAATCCTCCATTTTCCTTTGATAAAGGGTAGGGAGGTAAGGGTAGGTAGGGTCGTGCTCCTGCAGTGGCGACTAATGACTAATGATGATGAAATGACAAGGAGTGGAACTTTTTGTCAGCTTCTGTGTTCTGGACACAAACAAACCTTAGCTCTTTTCAGGGATAGCAACTGCCACAAGCCCGATAATTATGGTATTTTGATTACTAGTACTTATTTGGCCATAGCTTAATGATTCGCGAAATTCAGACAGTTCATGTAAATACTTTTGACACTGTTTTGACCACAATTAAGTAAGTATTGTATCTTTCAGTTTGATGTTGATCATGCAGTGTAAAGTAACTGTTATTCTGCTAAAAGCATGGAAGTAGAACAAGTTAAAGGTGTGTCGCACCTTAAGTACTTAAGACGCAAAGTCCATAAATTCTTTAGGAACCGGTTCCTCATTTCAGGTTAAAGTTGGCTTCAAAGGTCTCAATTTGTGTAACTACAAAATCGGAAATGAAGCAAACTTTAACTTGTAACCCACTTTAGGCTGTTTGGTTGTTTTCATAAACAATCTTTTTGGTTATTGGTCCCAAAAGTTACGCCATGATGGAACAGGATTTGTGGCGCAAGCGCAGCCGGCCTTGCCTTCAGTGATATGTTACATGCATACAACACACCTACAATATACCTACAACGAAGTCTCGCACCAGTAAACTTGAAACCCGTCCTCACCGGACATTTGCAAATGCCTGAATTACCACTACCTCCTGACTCTCTTGATAAGCAAAAACATCCTTTATTAACAAGTGGCAAAGGGATAATGATAGTGTAAGAGCACTTTAGCTTATTAACCTGCAAATAACATGTATTTACTTTTGTTGCTTAGCGAAAACCTTCTCTGTGTGGAAAAAGTAAGAGCCAATATAGGATGTGCTGGAAAGTTTTGTGCCACCAAAATTATTCCTGGCGATTTTAACGAAAAAATGTGTGTTAACCTGTCAGTTAAACATCATTGCAATACAATGATGTGTAATCACAAGTCACAATATTGAGGGTTCTTTTTGTGTACTTAGGCCCAGAACAGACCGGCTGAACCATTTAAGAACCTAGTAAGTGCAGCGGAGAAAATTTTACAGGAGAGCGAGAAAAAGCATTTTCATTTGCCCTGCTAAGATGCTTAAAGATTTGGATAACTTCTGATGTTTATATTAAAGATTAGTTACTAAAGTATACTTTATGGAATAAAAGAATATATTTAGTTAAAAACTGCAAGTTTTATGCTCTTTACTAACACTAAAAATTATTTTTTTGACAAAAGTGCCTCGTAAAATTCAAAATCAAAATCGAATATGAATCAGTACTCATGTAGTCCCCAGATTTTGATATGGTTATCGAGTGTCAGCCAACAGAACTCGAAATAATATTTAAATTACAGTAGCATTTTACCTCTAGTAAGTCACATTGACCATTTTGAAACCTAGTAAGTCCGTGCCCTTACTAGGTTTTAAATGGTCATTGTAACTTGCTAGGTTTTTATAATGGTTTTTGCAGATTTGAATTGCACTTACTAGGTTTTTAGCAACGCGTTTCTCCGGTGTTAAGTGTAATAGAGCGATTTCTGTCTTCACATCCTGTGGAGACCTTAATTCTAAGGTGATTTATGACAAAAAACGAAAATCTGAAAAAGTGTCCCTTACTAGGTTCTTAAATGGTTCAGCCGAGACGGTGAAACGCAACTGCAACGAAACTGCAACTTACTTTTGAGTTGCATCTAAGTTTCTGCCATAGGCCATAGCGTCCGTCGAGAGACCACACATGGGCTTTAGGTTTAATTAGTTTACAAGTTCACAGAATTATTCGCAGCAATAATAAACAACCAGTAGGTACAATGACATAAAATAAATATCTAATAAGCATAATTCAGTTTTATTCTACCACTTAGGCAAACACTAATTAGTTGAAAATTGATTTTAGTGGCGATTTCACTAAATGTTAGACATCAAATTAATAGTTACGAGTAGTTAGAATTGCTTCATTCCTTTTTTTTCAGACGCTAATTTCTGCTTTCTTTTATTTCATTTTGGGTAATTAATAGTAACTATCTATTGAAATAATAGAGTATTCTGGGGGTAAACATCAAGGAAACTAATTAGAACTCTAGAGTTAGGTGCTCTAGGTTCGATTGCCATTCAGTACTAAGTTATCAGTGCCCATACTGTAGAGTCTAAAGCCAGTTAAAAAGACAGAGGTTAATGAGGCTGTTGATAGTAATTATAAGTAATAAACTGGAGTTAACTGGATGCGTGTGGCCAGGGACAGAAGTCGGTGGAGGGTTGAAGAGGTCTATGTTCGAAGGGAAACCCCCTAAAGGCTGCTATAGATTGATACATAGAGGAGAAATAAAAGTCTTTAAACCTAAACCTAATGAGAAATTGAAAGAAAACTAACCTGCGTATACAGCATGTATTTCCTCAAAACCGATAGGTTGATCTTCGAGATAAACTTCAGCGAAACATTAGAGGAATCGAAAATCGGTATTTCTCCAGCCGGCACATCCTCTTCCTCCGTCAGCCTGGTGTCTGCCAGCATGAAGAATGTCTTCACAGCGTCTATGAAGTTGAACATGTCCAGGTCAGGGTTGTTCAGCCGGTAGATGAATACTTTGTAGTTCTCTTTCGTCTTCTTTGGAAGCGGGATCAGATCGCTGGAAGAGAAAAAATTTAGTTCAAGATATGTTTAGGAGTTTTGAGACAGGAGGCAGTGAGACATCTTGTGTAAGTAGTTGCTAGAGGCTATTTTGCAACATTTAAAATATGTAGAGTGTACAGACAGTACCTACTAGTGTACATATTCAGTCAGTTGCCTGCAAGCTAGAAAGGCTGATCAGGTTTCTACAATGATGAATTTCCCCGAATACAAAATCAATTAAGAAAAGCAATTAAAAACTCTCCTGTTGTGGTCTCCTGTGGGGTTGGTAATGTATACGGTACAAGCTATACTGTACCTACTACTCAAGTAATTGGGTTATTAAGAAATACGCAAGTAGGTAGGCTACACCAGGATCTAAGTAAAAACATTTGATTGTTAAAGTAGAATGGTAATTAAAATCATCATAACAAAGGCTCTACATCAATTTAGTATGCAAATTAAAGTAAGCGTGAGGGTCTAACATAGTATAGAAATCATACAATGACATTATAAATAACTAAGAAATCTAGACTAGTGGGAAGTATGGCAAAACCAGCCAATCATGTAGAGAACTGAACATAATAACTACATTTGAATGATATCTTGCACGTGAGAGATATTACATTAGTGTCATAATTATCTCTGTCTAACCGGACAAATTTTGCGCAAGGGAGAATGCATTCAGTAGGGCCGCAATCTCCTTCCTGGTGATCCTCAGGATAGACACTGAATAAACTTTACCTATAGGGCTCTATGAGCTTATTTCGAAAGAGATTAGCTGTGGATACTTATGCTAAAATTATTAATTTTTATAGTTGTTGCAATTCACGAAGGCGAGTGAGCTTTACTTGTGTGGTGGCTCCCGTGGCTCGCTACTGTTCGTTTTTCAACACTGAGTTTTCTATCGTTATGTACACGTACACACACAAGTAAAGTTCACTCGCCTTCGTGAGTTGCAAGAATATATACCCTTGTACAATATAGGTACATAAAATGTTCATATTTGTCATAATTTGTTCTCAACTGTTTTAGAGCAAACAACAGTGGCTCTACCGCCCGCTACTGTAGAATCGGTATCATAATTATACGATAACTATCCATAACACTACACTCAATCGCAATGCGATGCATGTGCAATCAATTCCTTTCACCGAGGTGACTGGAACCGACACACGATCAATAAATATTTACTATCAAAATTAGCGCATCGCAGAATTACGTCAGTTGAGTCCTGCAATGCCTAGGAAATAAATATTTACTCGTAGGTATGTATCACTCAACGAATATGAGAAGGTTATTCAAATCATCTTAAAATAGAATGCAGTTCAGCCTTGTATCATAATAATTCACAAAGATTACATAGTTAGGTAACTATAATGTGAAGCCAGTGAGCTTATAGTTCGGTGCAGGACGAAGGTCTCGTAGACAGCAAACAATCATCTTTTGGGCTTATCAGTTTTAGAAGGTTCCAATAAATCTATATCTATAATTAAATCGAAAGGTCACTGACTGACTCACTCACTCACTCATCACGAAATCTCAGAAACTACAAGTGCTAGGTGTCTCTATTTTTTCTTGGGGGTTCCTTTTAGAACGTAGGTGCTCAATAAGACGGGATTTTACAAAACTCCACCCCAAAGGGAGTAAAACGGAATCCACGAATACGAAATCGCGGGCGGCTGCTAGTAACTACCTACCTAAGTTATAAAGATTACAGATTGGCTGCTTCTAACCAGTTAATCTGGAATCATAAAGAAAGGTAGGAAGGCCTTTGCTCTGCAGTGGACGTCCTGAGACTAAAATTAGGAGGATGAAATAAACAGTTTAAACTCACGTGATTTGAAATACTCGCTGTATCTCTGGCGACCATGGATCCCGTTTGAAGAACACCTCAGGCGCGTTGGACCTGATGGTGAAGAACAGGTCGATGGTGCGCTTGGTGCGCTCCAGGCTGTGGCCGCAGCTCGCCAGGAACCGCCGGAGGAGCAGCTCGTCTGGAAGAGACATTCTAGATTAGTACTCGATACTTTTAAGAATCAGTACCTCTAGTACGAAAAACTTTCGAGTTCGTTTCGTTGCGTATTCAAAGTGTCATCGAAAAATTTTGTATGAAAAATTAAACAGAGCCCCCTATATTATAGCCGCCCTAGGGGGCGCTGTTTAATTTTTCATACAAAATTTTTCGATGACACTTTGAATACGCAACGAAACGAACTCGAAAGTTTTTCGTACTAGAGGTACAGTACAATCAGGTGTAACTGGCTTATTTGATTTTAGAGATGTTCATCAGGAAAAAGCATTCAGTTGGAACTGGAAGGTTTGGAATCAGTTGTTGCAACTGCGTTTGCATTTGATAAGATGTTTCGCTGGTTAGTGATTTGAGATAGTTTTTGATTTGAGATAGTGATCGTTACACGTAGAATAGGTACAGCAAGCAATATACCGATGTATGCGACTCTACCGAATTGAAACCTATAAAGAAGAATGTTACGTTACGTTTTATAGAGGAATAGTGGTTTTTATATCCGTTTGATCTTACAAGATTTCGGGATTATCTTCTCCTGTTTTTGGATTATCTCAAAAATGAATAAGAATAAGAATAATCTCAAAAATGAGATAGCTATCACCGTTACTTAACCGAATAAGTTTTAAAACACTCAAATTGTTCACGTAATGACTGCGACCTTCTCTTCCAGTTACTTTCGAAAAGAAATGATTACAAATTATGTGCAATTGTAATAATTCTTGCGAATAATAATGTTTCCAAGAAGCTTTTCGTAATCCTATATGTAAGCTGTTTGAGTCAATGTCTTTTCAGTTAGCAGGTATTTTTACTGCTATGTGATAGAATGGAATAGAAAAAGTTTATTTTGCTGCAAATATGAATTATTTCTACGATCTAATTAGCAATAGTCTTTAGGTATACATTTTAACATTTCCGGTCATGTCGTCTCGTTCTATCGCAAATAATCATCATTTGATGAGAGCGAGAGAAAAAACGGAAATGGGTAGCTGGAACTGTGGCCTATTGTACCTATTTTTTAATAGTTTGCTACCTAATTTGCACTTCCTGCGTAGGTGGTACTGCCAATTTAGGGCCATTATCGGCAAACCTCACCTTTAGTCTCATTAACACCGATGTTGAAGTAGTTATTATTTATTTCTGAAATAATTAGGTAACTACTGTCGCCTTAGGATGAATTCAGTGTCTACCTAACAATGTCCTAAACGAGTAGTTTTATAAAAAACTAGCGGCCGCCCGCGACTTCGTACGCGTGGACCCCGTTTTACCCTTAGAGGTGAAGTTTCGAGTTTTTTAGGGTTTACCCGGAAATTATTCAAACTTTTCTCGCTGTAAAAACCATCCTTGGACTTCAACAAACATTAAAAAAAAAGAATTGGTAAAATTGGTCCAGGCGTTGTTGAGTTATGCGCTTACCAACACATTTTGCGATTCATTTTTATATTAGATAGGCTTGACAAAAATCTGTGGTGTGAAGTTGTGAACCATGTTGAACTTTGTGCCTTATAAAATATGCTTATTCTCAAGGCCACTAAAATAATCGACGTTAAGCAAGAGCTAAAAATAGCATAACTCACTAACGGTCCATCGATTCACACAACAATTTGTATCGACCTTGTTTTGAAACATCTAACGAATCGTTGACCCCCAGATACATCAACCTTTGCTTCGACGAAAGAATTGCAACACACAGCAGACACTACAAACAGGATTTAAAGATTAGAAAGGTAGCCACAAAAAAAGATAAATAACAACAGAAAGTTGCCTCCCTAAAGACACGCACTTGACTATAGTATACAGGATGTTAGGTAAATGGGTAGGTATATGAGCCGACACTAGCCCATGTTAACATGGGCATATAAATGGTATGGTGAAGTCAGAAAATTAATATCTTCATTTCAATTATTTAAATTTTCATACAAATCGGATTTTATAAAATTTATTTCGTATGAAAATTAAAAAAATTAAAGTGATGATATCAAATTTCTGACTTCACCATACCATTNTATGGTGAAGTCAGAAAATTAATATCTTCATTTCAATTATTTAAATTTTCATACAAATCGGATTTTATAAAATTTATTTCGTATGAAAATTAAAAAAATTAAAGTGATGATATCAAATTTCTGACTTCACCATACCATTTATATGCCCATGTTAACATGGGTTAGTGTCGGCTCATATACCCATTTACCTAACACCCTGTAGATTTTAAATATTATTTAATTTTTTCTACTTAAATAAATAGGTTTAAGAAAGCTCTACTATGCGACTGAGCTTTTAGAGCTAATCAGACCATTTGTATTTTGGCCATATGACCATAATACGGTAGGTATTTGGGTCATTCCACAGGCCAAGAAAATCACGTGTCCGGGGCCAAAAAGTACCCGAACATCATAATATTTTAGTAACAAATATTTTTATCTAATAGTATAACTTTGGTTCTTGTTGTTAAACCACAGAGATAGTTAATAATAGTTAATTAAGTAATTTAAAAAAAAACGTAAGTCGTCAAAAATTGATTACCACGACGTGTCCGCGCTCCCGATTTCAGAACAAATTTGCTCGTATAAATTAATCCGTTATTATTACCGCTTTCAATGCTTATGTAATCGATTACTAATTAAATAAACATTGATAAATTAAATACGATATAACTATATGACTAAAAGGTTTTGTAAAATAACTATTTGAAGTTGTGTCCGGGCGTTAACCGTGATTACCCCGACACGTCACTAATGTGCGCCTACGTCCCTAGCTACGCAATTTAGAAACGAGCTCTATCCTCCCCCGTGAACCTTTAGTGGTGGCCTGCGTGCCGAGGTGCCAAGCAGGCTCTAGATTGGAACCCCCAGGGAAAATGCAAACGTGGTCGCGCCAAGAAAACATAACGGCGCACTGTTAAGACTTGGAGCGAGATCAAACACGAAGCTCAAGACCGAATGCCGAATGTCGGCCGTTTGGTGTAGAGGTTCAGAACGGACTACTATGCCGAGAGGTCCCGGGTTCGATTCCCGGCCGGGCTGAAATTGAAATGATGAATTTTAATTTCTGTGACGTGTCTGGGTGTGACTATGTATAATATTTATGTATTGAAAAAAAAAAATTTTTAAGTAGTATATCCGTTAAGCTAGCACCCATAACACAAGCATTAAGTTGCTTACTTTGGGGCTAGCTGGCGCTTTGTGAAATTGTCTAAAAACAAAAATGCGATGGAGGACTGTTGTGGACGCCTTCTGTCCCATATAGGAGACATAGGACATTGAGTCACTAATATTATATGTATAATGTACATGTATGTTTTTTACTCTTTTACGCACCAACTACTTAACAGATTTTGTTGAAACTTTACAATATTGTCGTTTATACATCAAAATAACAAATGGCTAGTTATAATAACATTTATTTAACCATAACTTAAAAAAAACCTTAGAAAATAAAATATTTTGTTTTATTTTTGATTACTCTGACTCCCAACTTTGATTACCCCGACCATGAAAATTTTGATGTCGCTTAACTTTTTATTCCTGCTTGCTACAGATGGGCCAATATTAAAAATATGCTCGTAATAATGTCTATTTTGAAATGTTTTACCTAAACTTTCTCTAAATTCAAAAATAAAAAAGGTCGGGGTAATCAACAAAATAATCCAGATCCGGAGAATGACCGATTTTCACCACGAATAAAGTTTAGCAATAATGCAAACATATTTTATGGCTTTCTTTTAGTATGCCTTTATGCTGTGAATTGCTGAGCTCAGCTTTCTTTATGGATATGGAAAAGCAAACCCTTTTCACCTAAACACTAGCATTCAAGTCGGATCAGGTCCCCAAACTTTATATTTGAATGTGGACTAGCGCATTTTCAGTCTGTTTGACCTAGATGTTGATTAGTTGGACATCTGAGGGTCAACCGGGATCGACCGGGTTCCATCATTATATGCTTCAAGAGCAAGGTTCTATGTAGATACCTGTTGTATTGTACCTCGTTACTATTTTTTACACAACAATGGCAATAAATTATGCAGGCATTGTTTACAAACACCGGTTTTGTTTACCAATCGCGCGACTATTGCGAAAGCGAGTTTTCTCAGTCACGGAAAACCGTGGAGAACTATGAAGGTTTAGGCATTGACATGTCGTGATGAGAATGAAGGTTAGCATCCTAATATATATAATAAGTTAAATAAGATCAAGTGGATCTTGACCACAGCGGCGGGTATGCAACTCAATGCAGTTTTACCACCTAAAAAAAAGGTAGGCTTAATAAATCGAACTTAGTTCTGAAATTTTCTGGTTTCCATAGAGCCAACTTTCGCTGTAACTTTTCTCAAAATTTATTTTCCATCAAAATTAGTTTTTAGACAGTTTTTTATGTTTTACCAGCGTTTTTCAACCTGTGGGTTGCGACCCCCTGGGGGGTCACGAAGCCTCTATAGGAGGGTCGCGAGAGGTCGTAAAAACTACCTCAGTAAAAAAAATCTTATAAAGACAGATTAATCCGAAATCTAATTATGCAAAATGTTGTGTGGATAGAAGTATTCGGGCCCTAGAAACATCTTTGCAACATTATAAAATGCATGAAAAAAAAAGCGAACGGTCGGGGGGTCGTCTAAATTTTTTTCATACTAGGGGGGTCCCTACACTAGACTGGTTTTCATAAGCGAACAAGCTTTGGATCCTAGGTGTTAACAGTTGCAATGATAGGAACGAGAGGTGGAAGTGGTCTAGAAATTTACAATTAAAGAGATATCCTTTAACTACGAGTACTTAAGTATGCATAAGGCAAATAACCTCACATGAGAGTAGGCAATAATTATAGCATGTTAGAATCAAATTAAATTCATTGAATACTAGCACAAAGCAGGCAACGGAATACATTAGATTCCAGATAAATTGCACCATTCGCTTTAAATACATGGGAATGGGGCTAGCTCAGGCAAATCTGCTTCGTATTGCCTAAGCACAGATCTAGATAATGCTTGTACACACTTCTGTCATTGATTCGATGTACTTAAATGAAACAATAAAGTGCATTTGCCAATCGTTAGTGCGTCGTGATATTTTATAGCTCGAAAATGATATGGTTTAAGATAGGTTAATTAGGTTTCTTGAATAGAATATTGATAATTGAAGTCTGTAAAAGTTACCGGATTAACATCACTTCACTGCACTTCAAACACAGAATAAAGATTCTGTGAAATTGAGAGCTTAGAGCGTTTTTTGTAGGAAATAAGTAATATTTATTACTTTGTCTAGTGGAGTTGGTAGTTCATCATCATCATTATTATCATTTTTACACCCTCTCTAAGTTCTAGAGGCAAATGGAGGAATTGGCTTACCCTCCCCACGCTTTGGCTAGAAGTACGAGTAGGTATGTATTTGGTGGTTAGTTGGTGTTTATTATGAATAAATTATTGTCACTTACCAACATCATGCGGCAAGTGTGGTTGCTTACAAAGCCAATTCTTGATGTTGACGAGGTCTCGGTTGTTCTCCACTTCCTGGTCAGGCATGTTTCTGTAAATAAACAATTTTGACTAATAAAGTTTATCCGCCTACTCGTAAATAGTCAAACTGAGACTTGATTATCACAACAACAAACATGCTTTATTAAATCAAATTAAAAATAATCACTACGAGAAACGAGAATTTTTGGGCAAAATATTTGAAGTCTGAGTAAAGTATACCTGTGAGCAGTTGTTATTGTTGTACCTTAAGTAAAACACAAACAAAACTGAGCTTCGGAGAAACCCAATGACGGACAAATTGTTGATTATTTGTGTATGTATTGTCCTATAGGTACAGGTCTACTTCCGTCGCTTGTCTTCAAGTATGGAATTTGTATTGTTTGCAATGCTCTACATGTAAGGCCGGACTCTACAATACCGGACGGAATTTGTGTACTGTACTAAAGTATTTGACTGTTATATAAGTTTGATTTTGTATTTTGGACCTTTTGAAGGTGTTAAAATTAAGGAATCGTTGTTGATGCGATGCACAGAATAATTTATTTTTAAATCAATCGCTGATTCACGCCCGCCAAACAGAATAATTACACAAATTAGTTCTGCGGTAAGTTTAAGTAGTCTACATACTCCTACACGAGAATCGAACCCAGAACCTCTGCGATCTGAGATTCTCTAAATAGCTCACTACTGACTGGACCAAGTTAACCACTTGACCTTTTCATCGCTTAGAAAATTAGATAGATCAAATTGAAATTCAACGTTATTTTGAAATTGATTGTTAATGAGGTACATACATGCGTGGAAATGTCTATATTGTTGTTACTAACTAGTTATTTACTTTTTGTTAGTTTGTTTATTAAAATAATAAACGAAGGACAAGCAGGGAAATTAGGTTCGCAACAGGAAAACGTAACAACATGTTAAAGAACTCGATTGCACGCACAGCATAGGTACGGACGACGCACATCAAGCCATTACAATGTTGTCGCAAAATAGCCCCTAACACGACTACATAAAAGACACAGTGCTTAGCTTGTTATGCCTGTACCTGAGTACGTTGAAAACGCAAATTGGCTGTTAATTGTTTGTAGTCGTATGTTTCATTCATGATTAAAAACAATAAAGAAAAAATTTCGTTAACGTTGAAGCGTATTTGTGAAAGTATTTCGATTTTTGTGGCAGTTGACAGACTTGTGAAATGAAATCCAGCCTTAGCTAAAGGATTTGCCCTTTATTAACCCACTTCATGGATTGTAGAGTCGATTGGTTTACCAATTAGAGTAAATAATATAAATGTAAACTAATTTTGGATAAATCTAACTGGTTTCATAATGTTATCTTTACAAATATCATGTTAATCGGCTCATATTTTGTTAAATACTTACATATAAAATAATAACAAGGAAGTTATTCGTTTTAATGTTGTTTGCTTCATTTTGGGTACATTATACCTACTTGTAGTATAATGTAATGTATTGTTGTAAGGAAACCTAGACTGATGGTAGCCCTATTGAGGGTCTCATTCTCATCACGTAGGTAAGTAGGTACTTGACAGATTCTGTAAACGCGTGCGTGAGACCTCGCCTTTTCCACTCCGCTGGAATGATTAGTTTATTTGAAGATACTGTCATCACAGATAATGTAATAGTAGTATCTCATGAAATTTTCTGGTACTTAGTACCTAACTAACCCTATGATCTTTAATAAGGTTTCCTTAGAAAAAGAAAAAACTTCACAAACACATTCGTCCATTTGCGACGACAGTGTGACTTCTCCAATTAGCTCAGAATACGGAACAATTCTGAGCCAATTAGATAGGAGGAGATGTCACGATTCCCGATTCTTGAAGCTAAGTAAATGACTTTTCCTTAACTTTCAAAAATGACTGTTTTTGAAGTGTTTTCACAGAAAAGGTAAAGTTTATTCTTATGTCGCTATGCGAAAGAAATTATAGATCTGTAAATAAATAAGGCAAAATTTATTTAGAGATCTGTGCCCGATTGTACCAGTAAAGGCCGACCAGTGATTGCACCCATCGGGTCATACCTTAGCAGCTTTGACATAGTTAGGTCCATAATCAACAAGATTCATTTACCGTTACTGTATAAGCAATGTACCTACTGTGACATCTTATTCAGTTGTGGTAAGAACGATTTTGCAACAAAAATATATTTAATTTGATGCACTGTCGACTCTACCTGTTTAAAAGTGAAAATAAGTAATGTCTACCTTAAATAGGAATAATGTTGTTCAATTTATTCATTAGTAGAGGATATACGTCGAAGAAGGATGTTGTATGCTGCTATTAAGGTTTAAAAAAACTCGGTCTTACTAAGTAAGGTATATCTAATCCAACACTTCAATTAATAACAACTCTTGGGTTTTCTTCTACTTTTTGCTCTTATTATTGACGTCAGCATAATACTGGTTAATGTTTTCGATCTAATGGCAATGCTACGGAAAGTTTTAATTTTTTGTGCCTACTCAATCTCAATCACAATGACCCTGGAAGAATCCGATGCAATCTTGATATTAGGAGTGCGAATTGCTTTGTAAAAAAATATTTTAACCGAATGTTTAGACCACAGTCATACGAGTAAACTTTACTTTTACTGTCTCCAGTAAAAGTTTCCTCCCTCCCTACTCCCTTAAAACGTTAAAACAGCCATATTGAAGAAACAGCAAAGTTGTGGGTGTACCTACCACGAACACGAGACCGAACGGTGAGGGTTCGAACCCCGGTACTGCTAGCTAGACTATTGGTATTTAGCTTTAATGAGGGCCTAAAGGGACTAATAGTAATTTGTGCAACACAGCACAGGGTTGGATTTGCTTATGGCATCAAGTAGTCATAATCCGGCACTGCATAGAAACTAAACTAATGAACGATGAGGGTGAGGTCTGCGGTTGCACCACTGCGGTCACAAAACTGCTGATTGCGGTCAGTTTAGAACCAATTATACAGGTAATTAACTTAGCAGTTGCACAATAATACCGACCAATTAACATAACTTGTCTTTAGGTGCCAATGCAGTGATTTGGTCTAGCGAGTGCTAGATTGATCTATAATCAAGTAAGTACCTAGGTAAACATAGATTCTACAACCTGCGGCAAGGATCTGGAGCTCTCGGCAAAAGAGTTATGCCCGTTCAAAATTCCTGTTATGTGTTACCATAGACCCCTATACACTTAAAAATTAGGGATTGATGGTGAAAATGGTCATTAGAGTTACTAGGTAATTGACTAGCCTACCTAATATCTAAAATGTTAATTCTTGTATTCTTTTTAACGTATTGCGGTTCTGTTTCCTGGACTCGCCATTTAACGTTAGTGAAAGTCTGAATTATTACAATACTATTCATGAGTCAATGCGACGTCTAGACGGGTGCTGTAATAGATGCTTGTGAGTTGTGACTTTGAAAGCATCTTCACTTCGCAGTTCACACTAAGGTTGACTGGTAGAAAATAATCCTGTTAACCCCTCGTTTTAATAAATATTATTATGCTTGTGTACGAGGAGGTTCACTACAAATACCTACCACAATATAACTACTTAGTGCGCGCGGCGCCGGCGCACCGGATTGTTTTCTACCAGTCAATGGCGGCGCGGGGATCGAACCCGCGTTCCTCGGATCTCGATTAGGGGGTAACGAAACTGACACCTTGGGTTATCATAATGGATGGATTTTATTTTCTCCACTCGATCCCTCAAATAGGTACTTACTACTGAACTGAATCGGATGAAACTTTTCAGTATAAGTAAATTATTAAACTCTTAAAAAACCTAATAGGAACTACTAAACACATTGTAACACCTATATTACTACGAGTATTATGGAAGCAATAAACTTATTGAGTATTGAAACATTTTTGGAACATTGGAATATTCCGCTGATAATAATGATAATGTTTACACGTAAATTAACTTATTTAGATAAAAGTTAGTTACATTCAAGTTAATTTTTTTTGGTAATAAAAAGTACTCACTCAGTTATTTATGGAAAATCACTGACAAAATCACAAACAAGTCACGCGGCTTACTTTAAAAGTTGAAGTAAAAGTAGCGGAACAAATTCGACTGCGCGCGCGCTTGGCCGACGACCAAGACACACTGGCGGGAAGCGTCCGTCCTACAACTTTGCAGTATTCCCAATCAACTGTTTAGATTAGTTCAATTAAAAGATACCGATTCGGCTATAAACTTCGATTCGTTTGACGGCAGGTTTGATAATTGATTATTAATAAATTGTATTTGCATTAATTAATCGTAGTTTTATTGCCCCTCTCGTCTCCTTCTCAAACTGGAATAAGTCCTGTAGGTTCAACTTCAGACAGAGTCAGTAATTAATTTCGTCGGAGTTGGACTGGTCGTTGTGGACGTCCTTGGGGAGGGAGGCCCACAGGGAGGCCTTTGTCCAGCAGTGGACATCATTTGGCTGAAACGAACGAACGAATTGATTAAGGTTCAGCAGCAACATCAATTAAATAATTATTTGAACAGTATCAAAAATTTGAAAGAAAATAAATTAAAATTATTTTTGTCAATACTGAATATAAAAAAAAATACATACAGCCGAAAATATAACCTCCTTCTTTTTTGAAGTCGGTTCAAAATAAACAACAATTCATTATACAGGGTGGAAACGATAAGTGATCTCATTCGATTATTTCTAAACTATACAAGATATCGAAAAACTGGTCACTGATCCTGAAAGTGCTTAACGAACTCTATCCAACAGTACCAATAATAGGTTACGGAATTAACTGGATCTATCCGAAAATTAAATGTTTTCAGCCTCCATACTAAATGTATGCCATGCCAGCCAAACAAAATTAGAAGTTTTTTTTTTAAACAATAAACACTTTAAACGAACTCGTAAATTGCATTGTTATTTAAAATTATTTATGGAAAACATTGGTTTTAGGCTTTACTTGCTATAATATTATCTAGATATCAGTGCCATGACTGTGGCTGTACTAAATGTATGGATGCTGGAAACATTGAATTTTGGTATGGACCCAGTTAATTTTGTAACCTAGTTGGTATCGTTGGATAGAGCTCGTGAATCACTTTCAGGATCAGTAACCAGTTTTTGAATATCTTGTATAGTTTTTAATATTATGTGGTTTTACTAAATGTATGGAGGCTGGAAACATTGAATTTTTGGATAGATCCAGTTTATTATGTAACCTATTATTGGTACCGTTTGAAAGAGCTTGTGAAGCACTTTCAGAATCAGTAATCAGTTTTTCGATATCTTGTATAGTTTAGAAATAATCGAGTGAGATCACTTAACGTTTCCACCCTGTATTTGATAACCACCGTGAACTTTGTAGAAACAAAACGTGTTTAAAAAACTAAACTGTCATTTTGCTGTCATTGTCAGTTTTGTCCAAAATAGTTGGATCGGTGAAAAAATCAAAAAGTTCAAAAAACCTTTATAGATTACAAACCAGTTCATCAGGATCTGAATTTTGATTCAAAAATGTTCATAGCCAGATTGAAGCCCTTATATTACATCAGCGACAAGATTGTCGTCAGAAATTTGAGGAATAGCAGGATAGTTAGTCCACCAGCCAACCCTGGCTTGAGTAGAAGAATCAAAGCATTTAAAGAGGACGGTCTCAAGATAGAAGATGATGATCCTGAAGAATTCATTGAACGATCAGACAGTGACTTTAAAAACGTTAGTATCTTATGTTGCATTTAACATAAACACCTGATTTTATAACCTAACTTTTATTCATGCATCAGCTTTGTTATTTTTATTTTGTGGGAAAACAAAAATCTTTAAGGTTTGTCACTTTTGGCATGATTTATTGTCACTTTACAGGTTGGAGAGGCGTATAACGAGCACATGAATGAAACACTGATTGGCAAATATGAGCTACGCCATCAAATCGTCAAGGATAAGTACTTCAAGGAGAATATGCCCAACCTTTTGACTTGGAGTGAGAAAGAACAAATACGACATTTGGCCAATACAGAGCCAGATGAGTGGACCCCTGAGAGACTTGCAGAAAGTTTTCCTGTTACTGCAAGTACTGTCAAGGTAACTACTTCAAGTGTACCTACCTAGTTGAACTAAAAAAATATACTACAAATATTGATTATATAACTTATTATAATTTGTCAATTAATTTGCTATTTTGTTTTACAGAAAATATTAAAGTATCCCTGGAAACCTGCGACAGAAGAACGCATAGCTCGCCATGATGCTTCAGTGATGAGAAATTGGAGGGAACTCAAAGAAGGTTCTTTATCAATATCTGAAGAGATCAGACAGCATTTCCTTAAATTCTCTGACAGAACTATCCCACCACTAAATGCAAAATCTATCAAAATTGATGTAACCCAAGACGAAAAAATGGGAGAATTTGAACAAATAATAAGGAGATGTGCAAACAAGGAGACTGCAGATAACACAGAAGAAGATACCACCAACCAAGAAACAGAAGTTGAAGAATTTAAACACAAAAAACAATTTAAAGACAAAAAGCTTATGACACTAGATCAACTCAAGGACAAAATAAAAAATCGCCTAGATAGTGGCAATGAAGTAGATATCAATGATGAAATTATTGCAAACACTGTTTCTAGCAAATCTGTTCAAACTAAGTCCGATTTAAATAATGAAATTGAACTCCCTGATGTAAAAAATGAATCTAAAGCAGTAACAGGGTACAAAGAAAACACACAAAATGAAAAGAATATTATGGATTATCCAGAGAGGATAAGAATTCCTAAAAAGGCTTATAAAAAAGGTGCTACATATAAAGTTAATGATTGCTACTATGATCATGATGGTAGATTCTTGTACAGAGTTCTAGGAATGTCAAATAATTAGTATTAAGAATAAATGAGAAATAAAGATAGAAAATAAAACAAATTTTATTTGAAGCCTTATATTTTTTATAAAAATTATATGCATTTCATTATACTTGTCCATCAAAATAAAATAACTAAAATTTTAATACAACACATATACACCCATTTGGTATGCAAACATTATTTGCAAGTCTTTTACTTTGTAATCGTAATTTTGATCAGAACCCCTTAATTAAATATTGCAGTTTTCATAGACCTTTACAAAAATACTCTTGAGTGACTATCACCATTGTACATGTTGTAGAACAAAAAATATGGCTTGAAACAATCACTATAGGGCAGCTAAAATTATTAAATTAATAATATCACTAAAAGCTACTGGATACAGAAAATGAAATAAATAAATTGTAATGAATGGCAATGCTTTTACTCAAAAATGACTACAGTTATAAGACATAGTTGCCTCTGTTATGTATACCTAAGGTTGAGTTAGTTGCATAAATAATGTTTTTTGCCTTTACACTGAATGTTAGTACAATATGAGTATTGTTTCGCGTTGAGGTTGTGAAGAAACCCATACATTTTCTGTTTACTTGTTTTTCATTCTTTCAGAACTTTTGTTCACAAAATGATTAATGCTAGGTATTCACTAGGGCAGATTTAATTAAAGACACTCATGTCTTTAGATATTACGTCGTTTTCTTCATACACAGTCGTTGCTAGAAATATCGCATTAATCAATATTTTGCATGCCACTTTTAGCGACACGTGTAGCGGGAAATTGGTTCCGTAGTGAATACTAAGCCTTATGGAAAGGACAATGGCTTTCTCCTAGATCTTCATCATTTACAACATGTTTGCATCATTATTTCAGATAAAGTATTAGTAAGAAAAAACGAAGTATTGTAACTTCACGTTTCAAGTAAAGATGCATAGAGATGCATAATATGCTAATACAAATTTTAAAAAACATAGGCCAGTTCTCACTAACAGTTACGACCATCGATGGCCTTACGTATTAGATAATATTTAAAAAATAACACAAAATAATGTTTTACAACGGTTGATAACCATAAATAATAAAAATTGATTTTATTTGATTATGATTTTATCATATTCTATAGTTACATGATAGTGTTGACACATCTACTAAATACTTTTGAATTTTGGCAGTCACATTATTATTTGTCTTACAAAAGGTTAATTTAAAATTGCAAAATTTTGATCACAAAACATGATTTTAGAGTAGAAAAACAAAATAAATAATATGTATTGGAATGGACTCAAATAACTGACATACACGACATAAATAATGTGACTTTGTGAAGAACACAATCATAAACGCTAAGTAACATTCGTTTACGAATTCAAACGTGTACTAAGATCACACAAAACCTATATAATTCTGAACATTGCCATCGGTGGCGCTTATCCTATTCTATACAACATTAATATGTACACTCGCGTCGTTACAATCCACACTAAATAGCGTTTAGCACCCACATTCCTAATCTAATGGATATGCAAAAATGTGAATGTCGATCTTAAAAAGCCTATTTTTTGGGGCATAATTAATTAGAATTAGGCCATGCCATGGGTTATGAATTACGTTTACAATAATGGCGCCGTTACATTATGTGGGAAATTGATCGAATCGTAAAGTGTAAACATGCACATCAGTTAGTTTCGCCGTATCGTCGCCCATACTTCGGGGTGCGTGCTAGCGCTTCTGTTCAATTAATTTCCCGCACAGTGTAACTGCGCCATAAGGACAACCTCCAATATAATCAAAGATAAAATTTGCACACATACAGTTGATCTTACAATCTAATTTATTAAACACCAAAAGAGGTGGTTTGATACATGAGATATTGCAATTTATTAATTAAAATAAGTATAGCCGTTTAAATGTTCAACTCTCATGATAGACCGTCTTGCTGGTATTTTAAAATAAACACGCATAAATACTGCAGTTGTTACAGTCAGCGTCGAATAGTTTGTGACACCCAAAGAGGCCAAAAAGTTGACAACACAACCTTATTCCAATAGTAACAAAGACGTGTTGCGGACTTATTTGCTACTTTAGGTGTCACGATCTATTTGTCGCTGACTGTAAATAATGTCCCCGGGTTGGACGGGCGTGAAATTCGACTGATTTTTGCATTGGACTATAGACGTGGACGGTGGTAATTTATTTCCAAAATGCAAACATTTTCTAAGCTAATAGTTAAATACTGTTCGAGAAATTTAAATCACATTGCACCTAACATTATAGTCATCGAAGTAGTAATTCGTCCATTATTGTATGCACTCTAGGATATAAAACGTGCTTGTCTTACATTATTGAATAAATATTTATAAATGGATATTATTAGATACATTACATTCTCTAGATATAACAGTACATATAGATTGAAATAGTGATTTATTGCTAAGTATTGTATTTTATTATATAAAAAGATTTTATACATCCAATATTATTCAAAATAACATATTTAAGTCCGCGAGAACAGAATTGGGATCAGGTCCTTGAAGTGATTTTTTATTTCGTGCAAATGTTGTTCTTTATATTAGGCAACTAAATCGATCACAATAGTGGTAATTAAATTTAGTATAACTATTTATGGACAAATAGAATACAGTTTTCAGAGAAAATTATTAAGACTATAGACATTTTTATGTTCGTAAAGTTTCAGAGAAATGTATTCAAGAACTTATATTGACTTGCAAATTGAAGTGGGACAAATCAGGGCAGATTAGGAACAATCGTAATGCTTACGAGTTTTTGTCTTCATTTCCACTTGATAAGTGAAATGAGACTTCCTAAGAACATTTCTCTAGAAGAAAATAACTATGTAATTACAATCAAACCAAGTGTTAGTTGCCATTGACATTACATCATTCCGTAAACAGAGAATGACTATACGCTGCTCGAAATAACAAATATTGGGTTTGGTACCGAAGAATAGACGTGTAGTAGTGCCCAAAGGTCTCACTATTGATGGCGGTAACACACTTCTACCACGAAATCTTGGCAGCGAGTTTCGCTGTCATGATTTAACAACGAAGATGTGCTATATAGAGAATTTGAATTATCAATATGTGGCCGAAGAAGTTCAATACATCGTTGTCTTGTTCTAAAGCGTAGGTGTTAAGTTTTATAAGCCAGAGGATGAAATTGCTTTTCTCAACCTTAAGACTAGTCAGTAAGTGTCAAAGTCGCTACCGCAGGTGATGCTTAGTCTAGTCCTTTCTTCCAGCTGTTATAGAGCGCGAATGTTGTCTTATAAGCCAGAGGATGAAATTGCCTTTTCAACCTTAGGGGCCGTTCAAGTATTACGTAAGCAGATTTCTTACCATTTTTTACCCCCCCGCCCCCCTTGTCATCAAAAGTAAGCAAAGCACTTACCCCCTCCCCCTAGGCTTACGTAAACATTTTTAGTTATAAATGTTTTTTATATTGTCATTTTTAAAATAGGAAAATTCATGAAAATTTTAGGTTTAACTGATACACATAGAGTAAGGGACAAAAAAATATAAAGAACTAAATCAGAAATAAAGAACATAACAAACATAATTGCATCAATTATGCATCAACATAAACACAAATGATAACTTTCAATGCTTACAATACGTTTAGTATCCAAACAAAACACGCGCGCGGGAGGCCGGCCTCGCGTATAATAATATGCGGACTACGACTCTCTTTCAATGGGCAGTGTCGGCACGAGAGTTAATTAATTATTAGACAAGTGAATAGCGCACGGTAATTTCCCTAATGTGCGGTAAGTCCCCTAATCAGTTCTCAAAGCGAGTGCCTACGCATATGTATTTTATTTGCGGGAATCCCCGAAAAAACGTAAATAACTAACGATTACGTAATCATCATCTAGACCCCCCTACCCCCTATGTCATCCAAAATAAGCAAAACAGAGACCCCCCCACCCCCCCTTGGTGCTTACGTAATACTTGAACGGCCCCTTAAGACTAGTCAGTAAGTGTCAAAATTGATCCGCAGGTGATGCTTAGTCCTCAGTCTAGCCTCAGCCGCTTGAAGTAGTGACGACAACAGACGGCCGTAGGAGAGGGCGGGAGGNCGGCCCCTTAAGACTAGTCAGTAAGTGTCAAAATTGATCCGCAGGTGATGCTTAGTCCTCAGTCTAGCCTCAGCCGCTTGAAGTAGTGACGACAACAGACGGCCGTAGGAGAGGGCGGGAGGTCGCCTCCCGACTGTTCTGTATTATTTTCAACCTTAAGACTAGTCAGTAAGTGTCAAAGTTGCTCCGCAGGTGTAATTTAGTTTTCGAAGTCTAGCCTCAGCCGCTTGAAGTAGTGACGACAGCAGACGGCCGTGGGAGAGGATGGGAGGTCGCTTCCCAACTGTTCTGTATTATTTTCAACCTTAAGACTAGTCAGTAAGTGTCAAAATTGCTCCGCAGGTGATACTTAGTTCTCGAAGTCCAGCCTCAACCGTAGTGAGGCGACAGCAGACGGCCGTATGAGGGTGGGAAGTCGCCTCCCAACTGTTCTGTGTTATTTTCAACCTTAAGACTAGTCAATAAGTGTCAAAATTGCTACCGCAGGTGTAATTTAGTCTTCGAAGTCTAGCCTCAGCCGCTTGAAGTAGTGATGACAACAGACGGCCGTGGGAGAGGATGGGAGGTCGCTTCCCAACTGTTCTGTATTATTTTCAACCTTAAGACTAGTCGGTAAGTGTCAAAGTTGCTCGGCAGGTGATTAGTCCTCGAAGTCTAGCCTCAACCGCTTGAAGTAGTGACGACAACAGACGGCCGTAGGAGAGGGCGGGAGGTCGCCTCCCGACTGTTCTGTATTATTTTCAACCTTAAGACTAGTCAGTAAGTGTCAAAGTTGCTCCGCAGGTGTAATTTAGTCTTCGAAGTCTAGCCTCAGCCGCTTGAAGTAGTGATGACAACAGACGGCCGTGGGAGAGGGCGGGAGGTCGCTTCCCAACTGTTCGAGGGTTTGGGCGTATTCTTTTCAACCTTAAGACTAGTCAATAAGTGTCAAAGTTGCCTCGCAGATGATGCTTAGTCCTCAAAGTCTAGCCTCAGCCGCTTGAAGTAGTGACGACAACAGACGGCCGTGGGAGGGCGGGAGGTAGTGAGGTCATTTTCGCCTCCCAACTGTTTTTCAACCTTAAGACTAGTCAATAAGTGTCAAAGTTGCTCCGCAGGTGATGCTTAGTCCTCGAAGTCTAGCCTCAGCCGCTTGAAGTAGTGACGACAGTAGACTGCCATATGCGGGCTAAGTCGCTTCCCAACTGTTATGTATTATTTTCAACCTTAAGACTAGTCAGTAAGTGTCAAAGTTGCACCGCAAATGATGCTTAGTCCTCGAAGTCTAGCCTCAGCCGCTTGAAGTAGTGACGACAACAGACGGCCGTAGGGGACGGAGGGAGGTCGTGAGGACGAGCTTCTCCTCCCAACTGTTTTTCAACCTTAAGACTAGTCAGTAAGAGTCAAAATTGCTCCGCAGGTGATGCTTAGTCCTCGAAGTCTAGCCTCAGCCGCTTGAAGTAGTGACGACAACAGACGGCCATATGAGAGGGCGGGAAGTCGCCTCCCAACTGTTCTGTATTATTTTCAACCTTAAGACTAGTCAATAAGTGTCAAAGTTGCTCGGCAGGTGATTAGTCTTCCAAGGCTAGCCTCAACCGCTTGAAGTAGTGACGACAACAGACGGCCGTAGGTATTATTTTCAATCTTAAGACTAGTCAATAAGTGTCAAAATTGCTCCGTAGGTGATTTAATCCTCAAAGTCTAGCCTCAACCGCTTGAAGTAGTGACGACAACAGACGGCCGTAGGGGACGGAGGGAGGTCGTGAGGACGAGCTTCTCCTCCCAACTGTTTTTCAACCTTAAGACTAGCTCGTAAGTGTCAAAGTTGCTCCGCAGGTGATGTTTAGTCCTCAAAGTCTAGCCTCAGCCGCTTGAAGTAGTGACGACAACAGACGGCCGTAGGTATTATTTTCAATCTTAAGACTAGTCAGTAAGTGTCAAAATCGCTCCGTAGGTGATGCTTAGTCCTCGAAGTCTAGCCTCAGCCGCTTGAAGTAGTGACGACAGCAGACGGCCGTAGGGGACGGTGGGAGGTCGTGAGGACGCGCCTCTCCTCCCAACTGTTCAAGTGCTCGTGTGTATTCCTTCTGGAGAGCTATGAGGTCGATGTTATTCTCGCCGAGAGCTGCCATCGCGAGGAATAGGATGTCTCTGTGAATGGAAAATTATGTGTGAGTACCTATGTGGTGTATTTTTACGCAATAAATATTCTAATTCTAACGCAGCGTAGGACGTCCACCTACAAGGTGGACCGACAACCTTATAAAGATAGCCGCTACCAACCGCACGATATGGAAAGCATTGGGGGAGGCCTATGTTTAGCAGTGGACGTCCTGTGGCTGAAATAATGATTCTGATTATAAACGCCAACGGCCGTTTACATCGTGAGACTACACTGCGTCACGTTTCTTATGTACTGCTGTGGTCTCGTCAGTGCAAGCACTATGTTCAAATGTTGATCAGAACGTTTAATCAGTGCAAAGTTCCTAGGCGAAGCAACAGGGGTATGGTTGTCAACTAATACTGTTATTATAAACATTATTTATTAATAAGTTATTACTACGTTATACATGGAACATAACGAAATTAAGTTCAAACCTGTAATAAGAATGGAAGCGTTTGTTGCCCGATGTATTCTCCCGCCACGTCGCTAGCTTCTGTAGCGCCTCCGTCAAGTCGTTGCTCAGCAGACCGTCCAGTAATGCTAATATCACACTGCAAAGAGAAGAATAATTATAATTAATTAATCTTATCGATTTCAGTGTCCAAAAGAGTAGTATAACGCTCTGTAGCGTGTCGTGTCAGCTCACACGCTATTAAGGTATCAAGTACTTGACACGTTTATGTGAAATAGTTTTTGAGTTATGAGGGGGTCAAAAGTGGTTCCAAATCTTTTGTGTAAACACACGGTGCTGCTCGCTAGTTCGGTTACTAGAACTTGGCTTGACACGCTACCGAGTGTCTAGATTGAGGAATTTATTGAGCTGGCGCGCTAGCTAGAGAGACTACTGACGATACGATTGCTGACGTGCTAGAATCGGAAAATTAAGCATTTATGAGTAGGAAGCGGAGTTGTAGCCAGCTAGAGTTACGAAAAGTTACGAGTTGGCGGCGAAGTATCACGCTCTGTAGCTCGTGCGCTAGAGTCAGAGTTAGGTTACGCGCTATACACATAAACACTCAGGAGTTGAAGGCAGAGGTGACTCGCTCTGTAGCTTGCGCGCTACACATACGAATGGGTACACTCAGCAGAATCAGAATTAGAATCATCATTTATTTGCTTTATATGTGAAGCAGTTTTATTGCAGCTGAATAGATTCGATCTGTAGCTCGCACGCTATACAAGTGGCTATACTCACGAGTTGGCAGCGGAGGTGTCTCGCTCAGTAAGTAGTAGCGCTTGCAGCGCTCGCGAGCGCTGATGGTCAGCGCGGCGCGCTCGCCACGCGTGGTGCAGCGCCGCTCCCGCTTCACCGTGAAGACGAGCCACATCGCAGCTACAATGCACTACATGACCTATACACAGATACTTACGAGATGGCCTGTAGTCCCACGCGCTGACACAAGCTAGTATAATGGTCGCGCTACTTGTTAGCTCGCGCGCTATAAACAAACACTGAGTTGGCAGCGGAGGTGTCTCGCTCAGTAAGCAGTAGCGCTTGCAGCGCTCGCGAGCGCTGATGGTCAGCGCGGCGCGCTCGCCACGCGCGGTGCAGCGCTGTGGCCGTTTCACCATTTAGACGAGCTATAATGCACTGCACAACCTATACACAGATACTTACGAGATGGAGGCAGTTTTTTTCTCTCTGTACACACATGAGTAGGGACACTCAGCCGCGGAATAGCCTCCATCTGTATCTAGCTACTTGTTAGCTTGCGCGTTAAACAAGTAGCTATACTTACGAGTTGGTGGCGCGTATGTCACGCGGTACAGTCAGAATGTAACGCTATGTATGTAACACACGCTGTGGATACAACACTTACGAGTTGGCTACGGGCGTGTCGCGCTCTATAGCGCGCGGAGCTAACGTTAGCATGAGTGACTATACTCACGAGTTGGCAGCGGAGGTGTCTCGCTCAGTAAGCAGTAGCGCCTGCAGCGCTCGCGAGCGCTGATGGTCAGCGCGGCGCGCTCGCCACGCGCGGTGCAGCGCCGCTCCCGCCTCACCATGCAGACGGGCTACGTCCCAGCTACAACGCACTGCACAACCTATACACAGATACTTACGAGATGCCCGCGGAGTTATCACGCTGTAGTCCCACGCGCTAGAGACACAAGCTACTATAATGGTCGCGCTACTTGTTAGCTCGCGCGCTATAAACAAACACTCACGAGTTGGCAGCGGAGGTGTCTCGCTCAGTAAGCAGTAGCGCTTGCAGCGCTCGCGAGCGCTGGTGGTCAGCGCGACGTGCCCTCCACGCCTATATGCAGATACTTACGAGATGGCCGCGGAGTTATCACGCTGTAGTCCCACGCGCTGACACAAGCTAGTATAATGGTCGCGCTACTTGTTAGCTCGCGCGCTATATACATAAACACTTACGAGTTGGCAGCGGAGGTGTCTCGCTCAGTAAGCAGTAGCGCTTGCAGCGCTCGCGAGCGCTGATGGTCAGCGCGACGTGCCCTCCAAGCCTATATACAGATACTTACGAGATGGCCGTGGAGTTATCACGCTGTAGTCCCACTCGCTAGAGACACAAGCTAGTATAATGGTCGCGCTACTTGTTAGCTCGCGCGCTATAAACACAAACACTTACGAGTTGGCAGCGGAGGTGTCTCGCTCGGTAAGCAGTAGCGCTTGCAGCGCTCGCGAGCGCTGATGGTCAGCGCGGCGCGCTCGCCACGCGCGGTGCAGCGCCGCTCCCGCTTCACCGTGCAGACGAGCCACGTCCCACAACGCACTGCACAACCTAATACACAGATACTTACGAGATGCCCGCGGAGTTGTCACGCTGTAGTCCCACGCGCTGACACAAGCTAGTATAATGGTCGCGCTACTCGTTAGCTCGCACGCTATAAACAAACACTTACGAGTTGGCAGCGGAGGTGTCTCGCTCGGTAAGCAGTAGCGCTTGCAGCGCTCGCGAGCGCTGATGGTCAGCGCGGCGCGCTCGCCACGCGCGGTGCAGCGCCGCGCCCGCTTCACCGTGAAGACGAGCCACATCCCAGCTACAATGCACTGCACAACCTATACATAGATACTTACGAGATGGTCGGCTAAGTTATCACGCTGTAGTCCCACGCGCTAGAGACACAAGCTAGTAAAATGGTCGCGCTACTTGTTAGCTCGCGCGCTACATAAGTAACTACTTACGAGTTGGCAGCGGAGGTGTCTCGCTCAGTGAGCAGTAGCGCTTGCAGCGCTCGCAAGCGCTGATGATCAGCGTGACGCGCTCGCCACGCGCGGTGCAGCGCCGCTCCCGCCTCGCCGTGAAGACGAGCTACGTCCCAGCTACAACGCACTGCACAACCTATGCAGAGACACTTACGAGATGGCCGCGGAGTTATCACGCTGTAACCCCACGCGCTAGAGACACAAGCTAGTACATTGGTCGCGCTCTGTTGCGCGCTATAATCACAAAAACGAGTTGGCAGTGGAGGTGTCTCGCTTAGTAAGTAGCAGCACCTATAGTGCGCGCGAGCTCTGGTCACGCAGTAGCCCCACGCGCTATACTGACGAGTGGTCGCGCCCTGTAGTGCGCTACTTGTTAGCTCGCGCGCTACAAACACAATCACTTACGAGTTGGCAGCGGAGGTGTCTCGCTCAGTCAGCAGTAGCGCTTGCAGCGCTCGCGAGCGCTGATGGTCAGCGCGGCGCGCTCGCCACGCGCGGTGCAGCGCCGCTCCCGCCTCACCGTGAAGACGAGCCACGTCCCAGCTACAATGCACTGCACAACCTATACACAGATACTTACGAGATGGCGGCCGAGTTAGCACACTGTAACCTCACGCGCTAGAGACACAAGCTAGTATAATGGTCGCGCTACTTGTTAGCTCGCGCGCTACAAACACAATCACTTACGAGTTGGCAGCGGAGGTGTCTCGCTCAGTAAGCAGTAGCGCTTGCAGCGCTCGCGAGCGCTGATGGTCAGCGCGGCGAGCTCGCCACGCGCGGTGCAGCGCCGCTCCCGCTTCACCGTGAAGACGAGCTACATCCCAGCTACAACGCACTACACCACCTATACAAAGACACTTACGAGATGGAGGCAGAGATTTTTCTCTCTGTAGATGGCGCGTTACACACATGAGTAGGGACACTCAGCCGCGGAATAGCCTCGATCTGTATCGAGCTACTTGTTAGCTTGCGCGTTATACAAGTAGCTATACTTACGAGTTGGTGGCGCGTATGTCTCGCGGTACAGTCAGAATGTAACGCTATGTATGTAACACACGCTGTGGATACAATACTTACGAGTTGGCCACGGGCTTGTCGCGCTCTATAGCGCGTGGAGCTAACGTTAGCATGAGTGACTATACTCACGAGTTGGCAGCGGAGGTGTCTCGCTCGGTAAGCAGTAGCGCTTGCAGCGCTCGCGAGCGCTGATGGTCAGCGCGGCGCGCTCGCCACGCGCGGTGCAGCGCCGCTCCCGCTTCACCGTGAAGACGAGCCACGTCCCAGCTACAACGGACTGCACAACCTGCAAATATTATACTAGTGTTAAAGTTGACAGGCAGCAATAAACTACCAACCTCGACGACCTTTTGCCCTGTAGCCTCATTCACGTAACAAAACTTCAACGACAACAAATCGCTGAATGCGATCCTATCGAGTAATCGTTCTATCGAAATGTCCCTTATTAATACGGATTTAGAACTGTTTTTCAATGGGACGACGAAATAAAACGTCAATGATAACAAATCGCTGAGTTGCGATCCTATCGAGTAATCGTTCTATAAAAATGACCCTTGTGAATACGGATTTAGAACTTTTCAATGGGACGACTTCTGAACGTCAGCGAGATCTTGTTTGTCAAAATACGTGATTAAGGCCACTGGTAATATACAACACGCGCAAAAGAAAACCTCGCTTAGCTTGAGAAAGAATTGGGCAGGTTGAAGAGGAGGATATGATCCTCAATGGGGCCTGTAAGACCTCCGGTTTAGAAAAAAGTATAACGCATGTCACACTGTAGCTTGCGCGCTATACTAAAGCTCGCGTGCAAAAGTTCAACACTAATTTTGCACTTGGCCGGTGCCTTTCTATTGTGTTATTTTTAAATGATACGATTCAAGTAAAAAAAATCACACCTCAACTCGTGATAAGTTTACACTCCACATCCGATCATACATTACAGTTTCTATCACTTACCAACTTTATCAGTCTCCGTAAGAGCGTCCAAGCTCAAATATTTGGCCTGGAAATCTGGACATAGGAGGTCAGGCAGGTGGTTTTCGATGTTGGCACGATCCAAGAACCACACCAGATTCCAATACACAATCGGATGCGATTCTACGAACTCTGGCTCCGCTAGACACGTATCTCCTTCTCTACCTAGAAATAATATTGGAAATTAGATTATTAAAAGCCATTATGAACTGTAAATTGCAGGAGTTAAAGCTGAATATACATACTTAATATTGATTCGAACTCTTTCCGCAACACCAAGGGGTTTAGATAAGGCACGCTAAGTATTTCTGCTTGTGTTTGATTTGTTCGGACGATCTGTAAAGAAAATATTTTTAGTTAGTGCACAAATGACTAATATTTCCGCTATCCCCTCGAGTTAAAGTAATAGATGATTTTTAAAAGAGGGTTCACCACAATAGTCCAGCTGCCGAGGAAGATCGATATAGCGTAAATTCTCGAATCTACAGTCCAACAGCGAGAGGGGGAGCTATTGAGGTCACAGCAGTGAGACAGGGGATAGTGACGTCACAGCAACCAGTAGGGAGATGATAACGTCACAGAAGCGGACATATTGTGACGTCACAGCACTCACAGCATTAGTTTACCTGTACAGACAGCAGCGGCACCGTATGACGCCCGCACGCAGTACAACGCGTATTGAGATTGGAGTCGTCGGCCGCCCAGCCCGCCATGATGTCTTCGTCGTATAACAGCGAGATAGTGACGTAATAACAGCTAGAGAGGGAGATAATGACGTCACAGTAGCATCAGCTTACCTGTACAGACAGCAGCGGCACCGTATGACGCCCGCACGCAGTACAACGTGTATTGATATTGGAGTCGTCTGCCGCCCAGCCCGCCATGATGTCTTCGTCGTATAACAGCGAGATAGTGACGTCACAGTAGCGAGGTAGTTACGTCATAGCAGCTAGAGAGGGAGACAATGACGTCACAGCATCAGCTTACCTGTACAGACAGCAGCGGCACCGTATGACGCCCGCACGCAGTACAACGCGTGTTGAGATTGGAGTCGTCGGCCGCCCAGCCCGCCATAATGTCTTCGTCGTATAACAGCGAGATAGTGACGTCACAGAAGCTAGAGGAAGATAATGACGTCACAGTAGCATCAGCTTACCTGTACAGACAGCAGCGGCACCGTATGACGCCCGCACGCAGTACAACGCGTGTTGAGATTGGAGTCGTCGGCCGCCCAGCCCGCCATAATGTCTTCGTCGTATAACAGCGAGATAGTGACGTCACAGAAGCTAGAGGAAGATAATGACGTCACAGTAGCATCAGCTTACCTGTACAGACAGCAGCGGCACCGTATGACGCCCGCACGCAGTACAACGCGTGTTGAGATTGGAGTCGTCGGCCGCCCAGCCCGCCATAATGTCTTCGTCGTATAACAGCGAGATAGTGACGTCACAGAAGCTAGAGGAAGATAATGACGTCACAGTAGCATCAGCTTACCTGTACAGACAGCAGCGGCACCGTATGACGCCCGCACGCAGTACAACGCGTGTTGAGATTGGAGTCGTCGGCCGCCCAGCCCGCCATAATGTCTTCGTCGTATAACAGCGAGATAGTGACGTCACAGAAGCTAGAGGAAGATAATGACGTCACAGTAGCATCAGCTTACCTGTACAGACAGCAGCGGCACCGTATGACGCCCGCACGCAGTACAACGCGTGTTGAGATTGGAGTCGTCGGCCGCCCAGCCCGCCATAATGTCTTCGTCGTATAACAGCGAGATAGTGACGTCACAGAAGCTAGAGGAAGATAATGACGTCACAGTAGCATTAGCTTACCTGTACAGACAGCAGCGGCACCGTATGACGCCCGCACGCAGTACAACGCGTATTGAGATTGGAGTCGTCGGCCGCCCAGCCCGCCATAATGTCTTCGTCGTATAACAGCGAGATAGTGACGTCACAGCAGCGAGGTAGCGACATCATAGCAGTTAGAGAGGGAGACAGTGACGTCACAGTAGTATCAGCTTACCTGTACAGACAGCAGTGGCACCGTATGACGCCCGCACGCAGTACAACGCGTGTTGAGATTGGAGTCGTCGGCCGCCCAGCCCGCCATAATGTCTTCGTCGTATAACAGCGAGATAGTGACGTCACAGAAGCTAGAGGAAGATAATGACGTCACAGTAGCATTAGCTTACCTGTACAGACAGCAGCGGCACCGTATGACGCCCGCACGCAGTACAGCGCGTATTGAGATTGGAGTCGTCAGCCGCCCAGCCCGCCATGATGTCCTCGTCGTATAACAGCGAGATAGTGACGTCACAGTAGCGAGGTAGTTACGTCATAGCAGCTAGAGAGGGAGACAATGACGTCACAGCATTAGCTCACCTGTACAGACAGCAGCGGCACCGTATGTCGCCCGCACGCAGTACAACGCGTATTGAGATTGGAGTCGTCGGCCGCCCAGCCCGCCATGATGTCTTCGTCGTATAACAGCGAGATAGTGACGTCACAGTAGCGAGGTAGTGACGTGATAACAGCTAGAGAGGGAGATAATGACGTCACAGTAGCATCAGCTTACCTGTACAGACAGCAGCGGCACCGTATGACGCCCATTTAAAATTATTTTTTTAATTAAATAAAAATGCAAGCATTAATTTTTATATGATAAAACGAGATTTATTTATAATAGAAACTAAAAATAAACTGTTCTATGTTAAGTTCATTGAGTATATTTCCATAAAAGACAATACATAACCAAACGATGCTGCGTGTAATGGATAAAAGACGTAAAGTTATCATTTGTGTAAATGAAAACATACTTTTTTTGGTAAATGTTGCCATTATGTAAACATTTGAGAGCTGCTTAGCTGATCACGGCTTCAAATCCGTTGAGTAGCGTTTGAGAATACCATTTAAAATTGAAGGATACTTAAATTTAGGAGCCCGTCAGCTGAGTGACAGATTTGAGTAGTGTTTCAGTATTCGGCCGTTATATGTTTCCATGTCAACAAGTGCGAGTCTTTGTGTCAAAGTCAAAACTAAGACTAGTTAAAAAATAAAGTTTTGCTCTTATGGAGTCTTTTACATGTCTCATAATCTTTTTGCCCTACCAACATTTGGCAAGTCCTACGAAGAAGCGCCGCAACATAGTGTGTGGTAGAATACTCACGTTATTAGGTGGATAGAGGTTGTCGGGCAGATGCGACAGCAGCGTGGCGAGCGAGCCTCTCTCCATAGAGCACGCTAGCTCGGCGTCGCTGGACGCGCGTCGGAACCCGATACCTCCGACCCACTCTGAAATAGACAAGGCTTTGGTTATTTTTCATGTGATAAACCAAGTTGGTGTACCAAATAAATAAGTAAAATTAGCACTAAACGCAACAAGAAGGGGAGAAGACAACTTGTGACCTTGAAGAGGTAACCATAAGTGGCTTATTGTGAGGCGGCGTTAAATAGTCCAAACAGCAAATTAATGATTACATGTCACTTATACGTTTATTGCTTCCAAAATAGTATATAAGTAGATGTTACAGTGCATTAAACGGACCCTGTTAGCATTATGGACACTGTGAGTGATTAAAACAGTTTTTGATTGTAACTGACGATTGATGTCCTCATCAAGCAAAAATTGACATAAGAAGCCATCATAATTTTAATTAGACCGTTTATAAAACCCATCAATAGCACATTTTTGGTAACAAACCCCAGTAAATGGTGGATTTTTGAGCTTCACATGGTTGTTATCAAATTATTAGGGTTTTGCATTTATGTTACTTGTGGTCTACTCACCATCAGGATTAATCTCCGAAGAGCCGTCAGTCGAGTCCTCCTCCGCTATTAGACTGCTCAGAGCGCTAGTAGCGTTGCCAATAGCGCCCTTAACTGGCGTCGAGTTGGCCGATATTACTTCTTTCATCTCATCAAACTTTTTGGCCATACTCGTTGCGGCGGATTTGAGACTGCTGAGGCCGCTTTGAAGAAGCTCGTTTGACTTCTTACCAGCTATACTTGTCGGGCTAAAAGGTAAGTAGGTTATACAGTCAACAACACATTTTGTAGTAAAATAACTCCTGTTACAACTTCATAAGAAACCGTTTAGCTTGACGTTCCGTTGTCTACATAAACAGCGGTGCCTTAATGTTTTTGTAAGAGGAGCTATTTTACTGTAAAAATGTGTACAGACGACGGCACGTCAAGATGGCATGTGGCATCTTATTTATCGGCCGTTTGGTGTAGTGGTTCGAAACGGACTACTATTCCGGAGGTAGCGGGTTCGATTCCCGCACAATACAAACATTTGTGTGCATGAACATATTTGTTTGTATTGGACTGGGTGTTTTCTATGTATAATAAGTATGTATTTAAAAAAAAAAGTATTTAAGTATGTTTATATCCGTTGTCTAGTACCCATAGTACAAGCTTTGCTTAGTTTGGGACTAGAAGCGCAGTGTAAAATGTCTAAGGATATTTATTTATTTATTATTTATTTACTTGTAACACAGGCGATTTTGCAGCCAAAATGTATATAGTCTATAGTCTGATATGCTGTCATCTGTACAAAAAAACTGTTAGCACAATGTAGATTTTTTATCAATAGTGTTTGGGGTCAAAATACTATGTAGTTTGAATGTATGGGGATTGTTAATCCTAAAAAGCTAAAATAAAAGAGTTTCATGCAAAAATCAATAACACAGACTAGTTTATTACTAATCAACAACAGTGATAAATGAAACCATGCTATAGAGTAAATAAAAAAAACAACACAAACTTATTTTGTACTGTTAACTGTAATGAAATTACAACTTTGATTCGCGAACAACCGGGTCGAGTTAACTGCACACGTGGCAGCCGTGACGTCACATCGACGCACTGGTACAACTGGTAAAAGTCGGAGAGTCGCATTCCAAAGAGGTACGCAGTTAGCTCGACCGGGTTGTATTTTCGTGTTTTCTGTAATCTTGAGTACATAACAAGTTTGTGTCAAGCGTGAATCATGCTCACCTGAAGTACGTCTCGATAGCCTTGCCGATTTTCATGTTATCCTTGCGCAACGAGAGGCGGGCAGGCGAATAGCGTCTAAGAAACAAACAGGCTAACGGATGTGATGTGCGCTCAAATAAAAAGTGAACANAGTACAACGCGTATTGAGATTGGAGTCGTCGGCCGCCCAGCCCGCCATGATGTCTTCGTCGTATAACAGCGAGATAGTGACGTCACAGTAGCGAGGTAGTGACGTGATAACAGCTAGAGAGGGAGATAATGACGTCACAGTAGCATCAGCTTACCTGTACAGACAGCAGCGGCACCGTATGACGCCCGCACGCAGTACAACGCGTGTTGAGATTGGAGTCGTCGGCCGCCCAGCCCGCCATAATGTCTACGTCGTATAACAGCGAAATAGTGACGTCACAGTAGCGAGGTAGAGACGTCATAACAGCTAGAGAGGGAGACAATGACGTCACAGCATCAGCTTACCTGTACAGACAGCAGTGGCACTGTATGACGCCCGCACGCAGTACAACGCGTATTGAGATTGGAGTCGTCGGCCGCCCAGCCCGCCATAATGTCCTCGTCGTATAAGAGCGCCAGGCACTGGTGGCATTGCGAGCACGACGACATGTGAACGATGACTGGCGGCGGCGAGGACTTCGGGTCATCCTGTATAAAAAATTATACGTTAACGGTTTAGCATACGCTATACGGTACGGCAACAGTCAGTTTTTTTATATACACGTAACGTGATAAAGGCAGAAGAAGATTACTTAGTGTCATTATTACACAGAAATGGCCAAATATAAGCCGGTGCAGATAAACACAGGTCTGTACTCATACAAATATCACGTATCACGCTGCAAGTAGAAAAAGCTTCTGAGACCGGGGAGTTACGTTAACTTTTGGTTGACTTACGGCCGAATACTGAAACGCCATTTAAATATTTGACGGCTTCTCAAATAGTTAAGCAGCTCCTAAACTTACATTTCGCATACTCAAAACAATATCTGAGCAGTTCTCAATTTTTAAGCACCTCTCAAATTAAGTTGCACTCAAACTCCACTTAAATGAATTTTCGCATNCAGTTTGATTTGAAATAATAATTATATTGTATTAAACCAGCTTTTCCCCACGACTTCATCCGCCTGAAATTAAAGTAACAGGTCATTATGATTAGTAGATTCAAAATTATTAAAGTATATTTTTTTAAATTAAATCTACTAACACAAAACAACACGCATTTTTATCCTATTCCATTCACAAAGTATTTTGTTTGTCTAAATAAAAATAAATTACAATCACAAAACTTGATAGAAATTCTAAGTAGACAGTACTGTAGGTGGGCAGCCCTATCGCATGTTGTCATACCGTGACGTACCACGGGACTGTTGACATTTATTTCAAAAATATGACCGAGTTGGAATACTGTATAGATAGTATTACCGTGCTGCAGTTAAATGCACGAAATTCGAAATTTTAAAAAGAAATTCTCGAGCATAGAAGGTTAATTTTAGTGTTTTATTGTGTATTTTTCGTACATTTATCTTATAATACCAATTCTAAAGTCCGGTCGCCGAGCTGATAGTAATTCGTTCAATGACCCCAAACTACCGCTCGTGGGTAATTATATTGCTGTCGCGCTCGCACACTCACTGCGGCCGCCCGTCGTCGCACAGTCGCCAGTCATTGGACGAAATTATATCTGCTCGTCAACCGGACTTTATAAAACTACTCTTATTATTCAACCTTAAAATGCTCGTGAATAGAACTGGTATTGTTATTTATGACATGAATGTACACTACACTCATTTCCCATTTTGTTTCTGGATTCTAGACCATGGTTAATTCAGTAGATTCAATGGAAATGAATGTGATGCAATGATAAAAAATAAAAGAAAATGAAAATAATTTGCTAAAGTAGCTAATAAACAAACATGGCAATGTTAAATTAGAAAAAGAAAACTAGCAGTTGAATATTTACAACGATTTCACAGTTATTAAATTTTTACACACCTGACATCTAATAAAATTTACTATTCACACGGTAATTAATATCAAAAGATTCATGAAAACATTAGTCTTCGATTGCATGCTAAATCGTGGCGTATGTACCCAAAATGTTCCAAACATTTTATTATAACTATAGCGCCATATTATAGGGATCGCATTTGCATTAACCAGTTGGCGCTACTGGCAACAGTGGCAACAAATTAAGACCAGCCAATAGCTTGCCAACGTTTGTGCCAATACTATTCTAGATCCGCACGTTGGACGAGTGGCTATGGAACCAACGTTGGGGCCAACGTATGGAGCAGTCAGTTGACAGTGACACCACTGGTAAAGCCTGATCCGTGAGCACGTGGAATTTTGTCCAATGACCCCAAGCTACCCATCCTTATCGCTCGCGCGTAATTATGTTGCTGTCGCGCTCGCACACTCACTGCGGGCGTCCGTCGCACAGTCGCGACAGCAATATAATTATTACGCGCGAGCGATAAGGATGGGTAGCTTGGGGTCATTGGACAAAATTCTACGTGCTCACGGACCAGGCTTTAGGCGCATATACGATTGTTTTTATTCCCTGCTGATACATATCTAACTATTCAATACTCACCCGAAACTAATCTTCAAAGTGTTCCCTAAGCTTGCAAGACTAGAAGACACCGTCCCGCCTGGCGCCGTCTCACTTCTGTGCAGTTTCCTATCAGGAGGAAACTATCGAGGTTATCTTGTTTCACAAAGGGGCAGCACTAGCGCTACTGAATCGTGGGGAGGGTAGGAAGGGATCTAGGGTGGGGGCGGGACAATTTTGAATTTTATCGATATGTCGCGTTGAGATAAGCGAGTGTGGTGATACTTTATGACGTTCAGCAGTGAAGTGGCGATTCAAGTTTAAAACAAATTAAAAACGTTTTTTAAATCATACTAATTAACAGAATAGATAATTTTACTGAAATGTATAAAATTTTGTAATGTTGACTTTTCCGGGCTATTTTAGTTACTCAGACAGAAATGGCTTTAAACTCCATGTGATAATGGAAAAAATATAAAGTAACAGTTTTTGAAAATGGCCCTTGGACTGTCTGTCACAAGTTACAAGACAAATAAATAAGTAAAACAGGTATTTTTCGGTAATAATAACTTAACAAATTGCTTTTTTATAATAACTTTTACCCGCTCACAATCGCATCCCAAATTCTCAATTAACCAAATATGACTGCCAATAACCAAGCATGCAAGACCAAAGACAAATAAACAATGAGGGTTTTCGCGAATGAAAAATCCGCAAGATACGTACGTATAAAATACGTAGATGCGAGGTCCAAATGCTGCATGATTGGTTATTTTTGACATGATAGCGGATCTTTCATTCGCGAAAACCCTCATTGAACATCAATGGAAGCTGTGTACCCTTGATGGTCCTCAGGCGGGTCGTCCTGGAACGAGTTGCTTCTGCGATGGAACAGCTTCGGGCTGACGCTGAACTCGTGGCGAGGGGCTTGAGGTTCTTCTGAAGGGGGCGGGGGGATGGGCTCGAGAACTGGCTCGGCGAGCGCGCCAAGTGGGTCGTCTGATAGCACTGGAGTTCTAGGCGATAGTCTGTAATAGAAGGCGTGATTAGTGTTGATGTTGAGAAAATTTCTGTTTTTGTGTCAGACACCAGCATTAACATTTTTATTTGCAAAACAAATGTCGGCCGTTTGGTGTAGTGGTTTCGATACGGACTACTATGCCGAGAGGTCCCAGGTTGGATTCCCGGCCGGGCAGAAATTGAAATGATGAATTTTAATTTCTGTGTTTGGTCTGGGTGTTACTATGTATACTATGTATGTATTTAAAAAAAAATATTTAAGTAGTATATCCGTTAAGCTAGCACCCATAACACAAGCATATTAATTGCTTACTTTGGGGCTAGATGGCGCTGTGTGAGATTGTCCAAAGATATTTATTTATTTATTTATATATAACTAGCTTTTGCCCGCGGTTTCACCCGCGTGAAATTTAGTTTGTCACAGATCGTCATAAATTATAGCCTATATGTTAATCTGGGTTATAAACAATAATTCAATGCTTGGTGTTTCTTTACGAGATCGAATCAGAAATGAGGAGATCCGTAAAAGAACTAAAGTGGCTGACATAGCCCGACAGATTAGCAAGCTAAAGTGGCAATGGGCAGGGCACATAGTACGCAGAACTGACGGCCGATGGGGCAGCAAGGTTCTGGAGTGGAGGCCGCGTACCGGAAAACGCAGCATGGGACGTCCACCCACAAGGTGGACCGACGACATTATAAAGGTAGCAGGAAGGCGCTGGACGCAGGCCGCTACCAACCGGACAGCATGGAAAGCATTGGGGGAGGTTTTCCAATTTTTACTTTACTTTCGTTCGTTTCAGCGAAATAACGTTCACGGCTGGACAAAGGTCTCCCCCAAGAATTTCCATAACGACGGGCCGTGGTCGCCACTCGAGAAATTTTCTGCCCCAACGGTCATCAGTGAAAAACTTATGTCCACGCCCATTTTATTGGCCTTACAAAATCTTATGGGACACAGTCATTTGAGTCTTCCTAGCATCACACAAGTGTTTTAAATATCGAAGCGCTGTAAAAAAATACTAACAGAATAAATTCCTTACTTCAATGGTGATGTCTTCGCTTCTAATGACTCAGTCGCAGCTGCCTCTTTGTCGGGCTCCTCGGGGAAACTGAGGGCTCGCGTGCACCGCGATTTTGGATTTGACACTAAAAATAAAATCATAGATAATGATTAATCCAAGTACCTATTAAATACGGTCATTTAATTCATCTGTGGTAGTATTAAAACAGTTTCAAGGATTTACACGAAAAGTAAGTTATTATAATAGTCATATTAGAAATCAAATTAAACGTATTGTAGAATTATAGTGACTGAATTTCTTGCGCTGATTCTTCTCAGCACTGGCCCATTTATTGTCCCGAAGCAGTTGTAGGGTTAATACTGTAAAAGTGCTTTTTAAAAGCCCACTAGCAAAAATAAATGAGCTTTTTTATGAGTTTTATACATTATCAATAACGTACCTCCACCGAATGATAGCCTCTGTAGATTCTGTATAATCTGTGCATCGCCAGCGAAACTCTCTGACCTTGTTAGGATTCTCAAATCTGACGGACTGTCCGGACTAACGTGTATGGTCTAAAAATAGTACAAATAATTATATTAAAACATGGGAAACAAATTAAACAATATCAGAGTGAAGTGAGCAAGAGTTTCTTTACCTGTCTCTTTTCAGAAATAGTTAACGGTGTACTGCTAGTGTCTTCGTTGCCTAAAGAGTTACTTCGGGGTCTTGCTGTTTCAGTCAAGTCGGGGTTTGAGGGCATTCCTGTGAAAAGATAACCATAATTTATTACTAGTCTTACTCTTAATAAATGTTAAGCACTATCTTTACTACAAAACTAATAACCTGTATTTTATTGTTTTAAACAAATAAACGGACGAGTTGACAAAAAGTATATTCATTGTGCAATTTGAGAGTGATGAAATTTCCTAACAGTTAATTGGTTAATTAAAGGAAAGTGTCTTTACATTTTTTTATTTAACTTGTATTATTTATGAGTATTTGTGAAACTTAATTTCGAACCCGTTCCTCGTTCAAACAGGCTGAAACTTGCTATTCTCAACTCTTCAGTCTCAATTGGGACTATAGTCTGGTCTGCGAGCACGTAGAATTTTGTCCAATGACCCCAAGCTACTCATCTTTATCGCTCGCGCGTAATTATGTTGCTGTCGCGCTCGCACATTCACTGCGGGGCGTCCGTCGCACAGTCGCGACAGCAATACAATTACGCGCGAGCGATAAGGAAGGGTAGGTTGGGGTCATTGGACAAAATTCTACGTGCTCGGAGACCGGGCTTTAGTATTTGTGATCACGGACCCCTGTCCCTGCCGGGAGGAAAATCATGCCCCCTGATATACCGGTTTGACCGGGACAGGCCTCGTCCTGGCTGGGTCGGCACTATCGTATTGTATCGGACCGCTGTCCCTGCCGGGAGTCGTACCTGTGATGAGGATCCCTGCCGCGGTGGACATAGCTGGCACGTGCGGTCGGGCCGGCGTGGCGCGCACGATGTTCCCGCGACGGATCAGCGCTTCGAACGCAGTGGAACGCGCCTCCTGTTCCCGCCCTGTGGGACAGAAGTCGAGTAAAGTGACTATTTATATTTAAAAGTGAGCCGAAAGTAGATGTATTGCTATGAAAAATACTGTCTACTTTTCCAGTTATAATAATATCATCTCAATTTGGTTAAGGCAAGATAATGTGATTAAAGCCTGGTCCGTGAGCACGTAGAATCCCGTCCAATGACCCCAAGCTACCCATCCCTATCGCTCGCGCGTAATTATGTTGCTGTCGCGCTCGCACACTCACTGCGGGCGCCCGTCGCACAGTCGCGACACGATGACGGGATTCTACGTGCTCACGGACCAGGCTTTAGTTAGTACATAATTTACAAATTATTTTTTAATATTTTTAAGGGTTTAACAAGAAATGTACAGTTTTTTTACTGCTCCATCCTTGTTGTTCTAAATGAGTATTTTTTTATTTTTTCGAATAAAAAGTTATTTCAGTCACATTACACCATTATTGGCTGCATACATGTTTAATTTTTACCAAGAATAATTATTTCAACTCTCATCATTATTACGATCGGCCAATCTATGTCTCTCTCTAATATACCATAGTCAAATGAAGGATTAGGCCTTCCCCTTAAAACACAATTAAGAAAGAAGAAAGCAATAAACCTGTAACCAACTCACCCGAGTCCAAGCTAGTCCGACTGAGAGCGGGCTCGCACGCTGCCAGTCCCGCCAGAGCGGACAATTCGCCGCCCTCGCCTACTGCCGCTGCCGAACGTACGCGAGGTAACGTGCCACTGCCTGTGAGAAAACAATCGATAGGTAATCCAATAATCTGTTGATCATACAGCTTACAATAAGCCACAGATTCCCAAACAATTAAATCACTACATAAATTGAATTAGGTATTTGTGATATTAACATTTCCACGCCCTGTGTTGTGTGTAGAATAATCCCTTCATTGATGTAAAGGTAGTGTTTGTTGTCAGGCTGCACACACGGGGGCGGCGCGTGCGCTGTGAGTAGTAGGTACCTACTCAAAAATTATAAAATCTTATTTGAGTGTAAATACTGCGCCCGCGCGCGTTTATTAGTTTGCGTTCAATCTGGTGTTCAGCCTGGCCAAGCACTTAAACACGTGTTTTATTTTTACATAAATAGACCCCTAACAGATTGCAATATACCACTAGAAATAAATTAGACCACTATATCATATTTACCAGCGATATAGTTCAACTTACTGCCAGCAGAGGTCGTGCTAAGTCCGGCACTGGCGGCGCGACTGGCCCGTTGCGCGCCCGCTTTGCGGAACAACGCCGCGCCCATCACTGCTATACGAATCTTTTTCAGAGCAATATACGGGACTATTCCCACCTCTCGTTCACATCGTTGCAACTCCTGTGTAGCCAGGATCTACAGTTTGACCGCCAATAAAAACCACCACCCTTTCAGTACAGTAATACTTACTGCCAGCAGAGGTCGTGCTAAGTCCGGCACTGGCGGCGTGGCTGGCTCGTTGCGCGCTCGCTTTGCGGAACAACGCCGCACCCATCACTGCTATACGAATCTTTTTCAGAGCAATATTCGGGACTATTCCCACCGCTGCAACTGCTGTGTAGTCAGGATCTGCAGCTTGACCGCCAATAAAAACCACCACCCTTTCAGTACAGTAATACTTACTGCCAGCAGAGGTCGTGCTAAGTCCGGCACTGGCGGCGCGACTGGCCCGTTGCGCGTCCGCTTTGCGGAACAACGCCGCGCCCATCACCGCTATACGAATCTTTTTCCAGAGCAATATACGGGACTATTGCCACCGCTGCAACTGCTGTGTAGTCAGGATCTGCAGCTTGGCCGCCAATAATAATCACCAGCCAGCAGTACAGTAATACTTACTGCCTGCAGACGTCGTGCTAAGCCCGGCACTGGCAGCGCGGCTGGCCCGTTGCGCGCCCGCTTTGCGGAACAACGCCGCGCCCATCACTGCTATACGAATCTTTTTCAGAGCAATATACGGGACTATTGCCACCGCTGCAACTGCTGTGTAGTCAGGATCTGCAGCTTGGCCGCCAATAATAATCACCAGCCAGCAGTACAGTAATACTTACTGCCTGCAGACGTCGTGCTAAGCCCGGCACTGGCAGCGCGGCTGGCCCGTTGCGCGCCCGCTTTGCGGAACAACGCCGCGCCCATCACTGCTATACGAATCTTTTTCAGAGCAATATACGGGACTATTGCCACCGCTGCAACTGCTGTGTAGTCAGGATCTGCAGCTTGGCCGCCAATAATAATCACCAGCCAGCAGTACAGTAATACTTACTGCCTGCAGACGTCGTGCTAAGCCCGGCACTGGCAGCGCGGCTGGCCCGTTGCGCGCCCGCTTTGCGGAACAACGCCGCGCCCATCACTGCTATACGAATCTTTTTCAGAGCAATATACGGGACTATTGCCACCGCTGCAACTGCTGTGTAGTCAGGATCTGCAGCTTGGCCGCCAATAATAATCACCAGCCAGCAGTACAGTAATACTTACTGCCTGCAGACGTCGTGCTAAGCCCGGCACTGGCAGCGCGGCTGGCCCGTTGCGCGCCCGCTTTGCGGAACAACGCCGCGCCCATCACTGCTATACGAATCTTTTTCAGAGCAATATACGGGACTATTGCCACCGCTGCAACTGCTGTGTAGTCAGGATCTGCAGCTTGGCCGCCAATAATAATCACCAGCCAGCAGTACAGTAATACTTACTGCCTGCAGACGTCGTGCTAAGCCCGGCACTGGCAGCGCGGCTGGCCCGTTGCGCGCCCGCTTTGCGGAACAACGCCGCTCCCATCACTGCTATACGAAGCTTGTTCCAGAGTAGCTGAGAACCGCTGGAACAATCACATTTATGAAAAATGTACCTTCTCTATGAAAGTCTGCAAGCTGTAGTATTACAATTTGCTGGGAGCGAACAGGAGATGTGTCACATTTTAACTAACGGGACAAGAATGTTGTTCTTTTCCTTCCCGAAACACAGCGTCATTTATTTCTTACTTATTGCTCACAAATGGTGTAAACATATTCATGTTTTCCTACGAAAATGAGCAGATCAAAGAATATTTATTTTTTAAGAATAGATAGGTATATGCATTTAGACTTACTAATAATTTATAACTCTTGAAATAACACGTGCTTTAATTGGAATAGCAAAGCGAAAGAGAGAGACATTATTTTTCATCATTTTGAATAACATACCTGGGCATATCCTTAGGCCACGTAGCCTCTAACACACAGCGGTTGTAGTATCCATAGGTGAGCGCGTTAGGTTGTAATCCAGCGCGCTTCATTAGAAACAGGAGTTGTACAGCCAACACTGGTAGCGAGTGAATACCGCACAGCTGCATCATCACGCGGTAGCAGACCTGGATGGAAAACAATTTCTGATGTTAATAGACTGAATAAAAATTAGAGGAAGAACAAAGATTTCTTTTTTGCAATATTGTTCAACCATAAAGGTTCGGCCAAACCAACGCGATCAGCCAGCGTGCAGCGATGGCGACCAGACTTAAATGCATTGATTGCCATCGCTGCACGCCGGATGATCGCGTTGGTTTGGCCGAACCTTAACTAAGGTGAGAGGTCATATTAAGTTGATATTTTCAAAAAAAAGTTTCATTCTCGTACCTTTATTCAAAACATATCACGGGACTGGCCCTGATTTTGAGTTGTTTTACTTAATTTGAACAACGATAAAATAAAACTAAGATCAATAATAAATTAACTAAACGTATTGCCTGAAACCTAATGCTGTCCTTTATAGTAACTGTAGTATCATTTGTATGAATGATTACACACTGTTCAAGACCGACTGCTCTAAAGTACACTTAGCTTGACAGCTTGTGTAAAGGAGTTCAATCAAGAATCAAATGTTCTTATTCTTATTTTATTTATTTATAGAATAGATATGTAACTATGTGTACTCACCTCGTCACAAGGCACCCTCAGTTTCGTAGCCCGCTCCAGTAGTTCGAAGGCGGCCCGCAAAGTCGCGTGCTCCTTCCCACGGCTCAGTTGTAGACGACACGGTAACGCTAGGAAGTAAAGCGAGTAGCAAGCGCCTAGGAGACACTTAGCCCACGCCTCGGGTGATAAACTTGCTTTGCGGGCCAACCTAGAAAGGAAAGGATCCTTCAATATACGGTATTTTCTATAATGTTTTTTTTATATTTTACAAGAAAACATAAAATATACAGAGAATCTGATGAAGGTAGCGGAAAGCACCTGAATGCGGGCAGTACAATACGCCCCGCCCCCTGAAACAAAGTATGGCAATTCTGTAGGCTAAGTTGTTCGTTACTTTGAATCTCCTATGGAACTCCTCATTTCTGATTTAGGGTGATTTCTGTTTTAGGGATTCCGAGCTCCGAGCAAAGCAATAGCAGCATAGCTCCATTGCGGTTTAGGTGACCATGAGCGAAAATATTCAAGCCCTTAGTCGCCTCTTACGATACCCACCAGAAAAGCCGAATTTCTAGTATACTTCGTCTGAAATAAGATCTACGAGAAACGGCAATATTAACCTCTATGCATTCACAATTCATGTTTCGTCCACCTCGCCATGGGAGAGGCATCTACCAGCGAATCGGCCGAAGCATCTAATTTAGCCATACTATACAATTCTAGGCGAGCTTTCGTCTACTTAAATTTTACAGCAATGGCATGGACGAAAGATTCGACCAGTATTTACCTCTGTGCAGCAGCTATTTCGTGTTTCGTCCGCCTCGCCATAGGTGAAGCGTCCGCCAGACACTCGGCCGAAGCGAGCGCGGCCGCGGGTAAGCTTTGTACCGCACCGCTTCTGGTTCGACTCCGGCATTTAGTCCGAGAGCGTAAAAGTCGAACTTCTTGCAGGTCTAGGAAAAATGGCAATATTTACCTCTGTGCAGCAGCTATTTCGTGTTTCGTCCGCCTCGCCATAGGTGAAGCGTCCGCTAACGACTCGGCCGAAGCGAGCGCGGCCGCTGGTAAGCTTTGCACCGCACCGCTCCTGGTCCGACTCCTACATTTGGCCACGAGAGCGTTGTCCAATTCGAATTTCTCGTAAGTGTATACTTCGTCTGAAAGGTACATAAAATATTAATGGTCAATAATACCCTATTAAAGAAAATACTGTGCATCTCATGTAATATTCTGAAGTAAAAGAGCAACGCCCCACACTTAATACGTATTGACGTTACAAAAACTTGCTTCCGCAACGCTCTAATATCGTAGGAACATAATCAGTAATAAGGTATACCTGTAAGTACACAGTATTATGTAGTATACGAGTATCATACCTACCACTTTCTGAAACAAAATCTTGATATTGCTAACATAACACATCTGGGGGATCGAGCGATCGATGCACTTCTCAAAGAACGTCAATTTTAAATCTATGTTTGGAACGTGAACAGTATTATACCACTTTCTGAAACTTGTATAACTTACCAGGGTCAGGCGGATCAGGCGGTAACACAAACACGGTCCGTTCAGACGTATTCGTATTGTCCATTCCTAGTAAAGGCTCGTCTCCTGCCGCCACGCGTTCGATGCACTCGTCGAAGAACGTTAGACCTTGATCGACGTCGCAAACGAACGAACGTTCTTCGATGAAACGCGTGAACATTTGCGTTCGCATCATTAGCGCGAAGAAACGTTGGTGTGTCTGGAAAATTAGAAGTAAGTATTTATTTATTTTAATTCAAGATGCAAAAGAGATATCAAAGCTTGTGTGTGTGGACAGCTAATATCAATCGAGTTAAATAATTGTTTCATTTTCGCACTATACATACTGAGCAAATGCTAATGCTAAAAGATATATTCATGCACATAAATGTTTGTATTATGCAGAAATCGAACCCGCGACCTCATTGAAGTCCGACACATAACCAATCAGCTGTTATAGATGTAGTTTAAATAAATTAATCGTTAGCGGTTAGGGAAATATGCACTAAAGCAGATTTTTTCTTCCCTCAATCTTTTTACTGGAATTGATATTGCATAACTTGTGACTTTATGGTTATGGCCGCATGTAAAGAATAGTGTATTTTCACCCCTAATCCAGTTTTTATTAAAACTGACAGGAGCTGCGACGAGGAAATAACGAAACCCTATTGGTTTCTTATACACGTATACCGCTTTGGTGGAAAACGGACCTAAATGTGTAATGAATAGATCACAACATTACCTTATCCCTCGATCTAAGGAACGCGTCCATATGAAACAGCGCGTGGGGGTCCGTAGTGCCCACAGTCGGTGCCTTCGTGATGGGGATGAGGTAGCTGCGGTACCCTTGTAGCGTTACCGCCATAAACCGAAGAAACGCTTCTTGGATTTTCAACTCTAATGCTTGCTGCAATAAGAGTACTGTTTAAAAAATGTACGGTCAACAGCCCATACAAGACATTTTTGTGCCAAAATCGCACGTATTGCAACTGCCTAAAAGTGTTGTTCCGTTGTCTTTATAAGGTTCATATGTGATGAGATTTTTCATTTAATAAATTAGACACTCATGCACGGCATATTATTTGCCAGACAATTTCGAGTATTATGTCAGTAACGAGTCAGTTCAGAATCAGAATTAAGCCGAACCTAGGGTTCTAATCACTAATGATATTATGATACATCTAGATTACTATGATTCTCTACTGTTTTAAAGATAAGGTAAGGAAGCTTACCTCTTTTTTCCTTCTTTGGAAGTCTCTATCTAAACTTGTAGTGGGTTCTCCATTGAATTTACTATCACTAGAATGGTGTATAGGTGATGCTAGAACAAGAATAAATATATTGAACACAAATTATTGCAAACTTAAGTCTAGTATATTGATCCATATTTTATTCGGTGGCTAATTCTAATATTTATCTAATGCTTTTTAGTTTTAGAGATTATTTTACTTACCCGGTCGTATGCTGCCATATAAAACTTCTAATGTTTGTCTTAGAAATCTCGCTTGCCGTTTCGGTAATAATTTTATCGATATATGCCGTTGTGATTCGCAAATCTGAAATAATAAGCCAATTTAGTTACGATAAATGGTAAAGGCATCGCAGTTTTCAGTATCGAGTGGATCGAATTTATGTCATCGAATCGAGCGTAATAATCAACTATATGCTAATAATTTTATATGTAAGTACATAAGTAACTTACTGTGATGTTATTTGTGTCTAAATCGACACACGTCACATCTGGCGGGGGTTCGTAAAGGTCGAAAAACCTTGAGTCGACGCCTATTAAATATGGCAGAGGTGCATGCAACACTTCTGCCAGACCTGAAAGAATTATTTTATTAAAAATCATAATACTATAAAAAATAGCTAGAAAGGTCAAATTATGTATAATTAATTACCTAATGGACATAACGGTATGTATGGGCACTGCCATTTGAAGGGAAACAATAAACTTGACACCGCTTCCGATACAGCTGTTAATGTGTCTGGCCTGAAACAAACATTAGATAACATTAAAAACTTTCTTGTGTTAGATATGAAACACATACTGGATGCATAATGGAACAGGTACTAAGTGTAATGTATTGATTACAATTAACTACTGTAAATCCAAATTTATTGTGGGTCAGTGAAATGGCATCGAAACTAAACCGAACATATCTTTTTTTAAAGTCTGAATTTCTTTAAAAAAAGATATGTTCGGTTGGTATTATAATATCGATTTTGTTCAAAGATAGGCGAAATCAAAGAGAACACGGTAAAAGGTCATAGGTGTGAGTGCTACATCCCATAGATAAATATGCTTGCATGAGCATCTTATAACTGCCATAAAGATTATTTTTGATAAATACTTTATGAAACATGTCACATATTTGCGACATACCGCAGCGAGTGTATCAATATCTTCTGCTCCGTGATGGCCAACGCTAGTAGCAGCAGGCAGTTGTCCGGCCCCAAGTTGAGAAGCAGTTGCCTGAAGCCCGCGCCGCTCCTCACTAGCGGTTGGTCGTCCCTTCGCGTCACTATGACTCGGTCGTGGGCGTTTGTTGGCGACAGCTGTGGATAATGAAGAGTGATTATGAGAACTATAGTCTGGTCTGTGAGCACGTACAATTTTGTCCAATGACCCCAAGCTACCCATCCCTATCGCTCGCGCGTAATTATGTTGCTGTCGCGCTCACACACTCACTGCGGGCGCCCGTCGCACAGTCGCGACAGCAATATAATGAGGGCTATCGTATTTATACTTAACAGTTGGCACCACTGACGATTGACAGGACCTTATTCTACAGTGGCGCCATCTTGATGAGTCCAAATGCGATAGTCCTCCTACCACTTTAGCGCTCACCAGTTGGTGCCACTGTCTTCGCTACTAGCAAGTGACAGGACCTTACTCTACAGTGGCGCTAACTGGTGAGCGCTAAAACGATAGCCCTCATTATTAGAACTAGTGTTGTGAAGACATTGTGACGCAATATTGTAGAATCGGCTCAGTTTTGCAAATCTGGATGTGATTGCTACTGGTCATGAGTATTAAATCGAGACAAGGGCGAGTCATTTAAAAGCACGTAGCCTTTATAATAACTCAGAGTACTCCTTAGCCCCCCACTAGATGAACCAACGATCTGGTGAAGGTAGCGGGAGGAACTTGGATGCGGGAAGCGCAGAATCGGTGGTTATGAAAATCCTTGGGTGAGGCTTTTGTCCATCAGTGGATGCCATTTGGCTGAAACGAACGAACGATAAGGAAAAGAGGCATGTATTATGTTTACCTGTAGTAAAATCCTAGGCTCAGGGAATGGCACCTCTTCTAATAAATGTGTGATATACCGCTCGATTGGTATCGTTAGCGGTTGTTTACTCCATGACATTTCCTGTAACAAACGTTTTAGATTTTATTGTAATTATTATAAATAAGATTTTATATGATAGGTTACACTTTTGTGAAAAAAGTGGAATACATTACAGTACGCTAAAGTACAGTACAGTATGCTAAAAATACAGTACTGTACCGCAAACTATAAAATATGAACTATTGTGTAATGGCTCTGCCTTTACACAATAGTACAGTCAGGCCTGTTCATCTCCGCGAGTTTAAATCGAAAACAAAACACGCACGATGGCCCACCTACAGGATACTATTCGACAAGGCCTCACATACGAGCGAAGTTTGACTCACGCACGCGTATTCTTGTGTATAATGGAAGAAAATAAAGAAAATGGTGTACTAAATACTGTGCAGTATTTAACTGCCTAAATAATAATAAAAACACAGAATGTACTTTTTTAAGTTGCCTCAAGACACTGAGATGAGAGGTAAATAAGTAGTTAATATTATTCATGACTAGCTTTCCGCCCGCGGCTTCGCCCGCGTGGAATTTTGTCTGTCACAGAAAAACTTTATCGCGCGCGTCCCTGTTTCAAAAACCGGGATAAAAACTATCCTATATTCTTTCCCGGGACTCAAACTATCTCTATGCCAAATTTCATCAAAATCGGTTGCGAGGTTTAAGCGGGAAAGCGTAACAGACAGACAGACAGACAGACAGACAGACAGACAGACAGACAGAGTTACTTTCGCATTTATAATATTAGTTGGGATAATTCATGCTAAATCATGTATTTCCTCCGCCATTTTCCGCAGTTTGGCACCTCACGTCACACATCATTTTACCGAAGTCAGCCCTATCGCTTCGGCGTAGTGCCGATCACTGACGTTTGTCAACAAAATGGTGCTCGATTCTTGAGACAAGCTAAATTACACCATATTGTTAACGACATTGAGCATACATTTTTTTAAATACCTTCGCGAAGTAAAACTTCTGTACGTAGTACTTATTATTATTCTGTGGTACAGTACGGTACAGTACTGTACGGAATACTTACGAGTATGTACAGCAGCCACCGCTCGAATGTATCGCTGAAGGGCCATCGCGAGAGCAGGCAGACGCACTTGTTGATATGCGTCGAATGTGTACTACGAAATACATTAGCGCGCCATCCCTGCATCTCTATCTGTGCTTCGTACAGTACAGTACAGTAAAGAACAGTACGGAAACACTCACGAGTATGTACAGCAGCCACCGCTCGAACGTATAGCTGAAGGGCCATCGCGACAGCAGGCAGACGCACTTGTTGATATGCGTCGAGTGTGTGCTATGAGACACATTCGCGCGCCATCCCAGCATCTCCATTTGTGCTACGTACAGTACAGTAAAGGACAGTACGGAACCACTCACGAGTATGTACAGCAGCCACCGCTCGAAAGTGTCACTGAAGGGCCATCGCGACAGCAAACAGACGCATTTGTTGATATGCGTCGAATGTGTACTATGAGACACATTAGCGCGCCATCCTAGCATCTCCATTTGTGATTCGGTAAGCTGCGTGTGAGGGTAGCTTTCGTAGAATGTCACTGCTGAACCGTACACCTGGAAATAATGAAATAAATGTATCTAGAATATGAGTCATATTCATTTATACTTACTAATATTATAAAGCTGAATTATTGTTTGTTTGCTTAAACACGCTAATCTCAGGAACTACTGGTCCGATTTGGATTTGTTAGACAGCCCATTTATCGAGGAAGGAAAATAGAACTCACTTTGGGCTCACCTCTGGGATCAATTAGACCAATTTTTATGGTTATAAAACCAAATAAAGATCTCACGTGTCCTCTTTAACAGATGGATTGCGATTAATCCCAACTTAACAGTTTTATAGTCATAAAAAATGGCTATATCGTAACTACCTATTTTTTGAAGAAGTGACTCTGGATCCTTGTAAAGACACATTTTTGGGGTAAAAACCTTTCCTTTAATGAAATAAAGTTTAGAACTAGGCTTTCAAATGGTACCAATGTTGGTGGGAAGTGGGGATGCATACGTTTGATAAGTGCTTGTCGCGGGAGGTGCGATTTATTTGATGCCGAGTGTATAATACTTTCTGTCGTAAAGCCTATCGAAGAAATAATTGAAAGTAATTAAATCACAAGTATCATCATCGAAAGTTTAAATTATCACAGCACCAAATATGAATAGAGTAACTTGCGATTCAACCCGCATGAACAAAGGATCGATAATAATACGACTAGATCATAAATAATTTTGACATAATAGAGGATCAATGGTTCAATTCATACACTGTAGCTGTTGATCATATTTAACTGGTGTATTGTTGTTCGGGTACTGGATGAGATTCAACAATCTGTATAAAGTTATGCTTTTGATTACAAATGATAGATAAAATGATAATATGTTTCAGCCAATAGTCTACTGGGCGAAACGAACGCCACAAAACATGATACTCTGGTTTTTCATCCAGGCTGCCAGATATCGTCTTGAGATCGTTTGTCCATAGAACAGTGGCCTAATTCACGTATTTTGACAGTCAAGATCTCGCTGACGTTCAGAAGTCGTCCCATTGAAAAACAGTTCTGAATCCGTATTCACAAGGGTCATTTTTGATAGAACGATTACTCGATAGGATTTAAACTCAGTGTTTTATTTTCGTTGAAGTTTTGTTACGTGAATAAGGCTACAGGACGTCTTACGCTAAATTTGCCAAGACGTGATTTTCATTTGAGTACCAGCAATCTACTCCTAGTGGGAGGCCTGCCCACGCTACGTCTTCCAGCTCGTGGTCGCCACTCAAGAACTTTCCTGCCCCAGCGGCCATCAGCTCTTCGAGCTATGTGCCCCGCCCACTGCCACTTGATTTTAGCGATTCTGCGGGCTATGTCAGTCACTCTGGTTCTCCTACGGATCTCCTCATTTCTGATTCGATCACGCAGGGAAACTCCGAACATAGCACGCTCCATCGCTAGGTGAACCGACGATCTGGTGAAGGTTGCGGGAAGTACCTGGATGCAAGCGGCGCAGGACCGGTCTTTGTGGAAATCCTTGGGGGAGGCCTTTGTCCAGCAGTGGACGTCTTTTGGCTGAAACGACGACGACGACGACGAATCTACTCCACTTTCTTCTTTCTTTTTTTCACGTTTCTTTCGTTTTCTTCTCCGACAGATATATCGTTTTATTTTATTGCTGAAAAAAAGCTAAGCCTACCTTGTCTGTAGCATCAGCAACCGTCAACACGAAGGTTGAGAACACAGGCTTAGGCGTGGCAGCGTTGTTGGGCCACAGTTCCAGGGTCGCTCCCATGGGGAGGCAGAAAAGCGGCACCGAGGTGGGGAAAGCTAGACTGCGGCGGTCTATTGTTGGATACCTGCAATAATAATGCGGATAAGCTATTTTAGACCTAATGCCGTTTATTTGAACGGTGATAATTGATACTTGACACCACCAATCAGTCAAACAACAAAATTTACGAGAAGCGAGTTTTGGTAGCTTATAAAAAGTATATCAATAAGCTATTTTAGACCTAATGCCGTTTATTTGAAGGGTGATAATTGGATACTTGACACCACTAATCAGTCAAACAACAAAATCTACGAGAAGCGAGTTTTGGTAGCTTACAAAAAGTATATCAATAAGCTATTTTAGACCTAATGCCGTTTATTTGAACGGTGATAATTGATACTTGACACCACCAATCAGTCAAACAACAAAATCTACGAGAAGCGAGTTTTGGTAGTTTATAAAAAGTATATCAAAACAAGATTTGTCCATAGATATTGTATTAGTAATAGAGCCTATGACGTTAAAAGGTTACCGACCCCTAGACTAGACGATGTTAATAAATAATAAGTGTTTTATTCATGAAATTTATAAACGCTTATATCATAACTCAAATCTTATTTATATCTGTTGGTTGAGTCACCCGCCGACTGGGTCTAGATTTTAGTATGTGACAAAAATAATACACAATCTTCAGTCTGTTTTTGCCAGGTGAAAGAAGACTAAAAGTAGATTCGACAACCGCCTGGCAACCGAACTACAATGCTAGAACCAGGATTTGATACTAAATTAAATGATAAAGGATAAAAACAACTTTCTTTAGGAAAATGAATTTCAAAACTATAAAATATTATTGTGCTACCAGAGGAAATCCTGTGTATAAAAATGAAATGCAATTCAGAACAGGCTTTTGAAAATAAATTAGCAATTAAGATTGCCAAATGAAGCTACGAGAGGTATGATGCATATTAATGCAGATGCAGTCTACGAGCTAATAACGTTTAAATAATGTAAATAATCTGCAACTGATTAGAGATATCGCGTCTAGTTTGCTGACAGCACTGAACTACTGTCATTGTTTAGGAATTTCAGATTCCGACCTATTCATAGCATAATGCTTTCATGGAGGTCCGGAAACGCGTTAGCGTATCTAAACGTATAGGTAAGCACACTAAATAAAGTTTTGGGTCTGTCTTCTCAGAACTGGATTCAGTCTTGAGATGGGTTGAATTTTAAATTTAGCCTAGGCGCAGTACAGACTTTAAGTTGGCCGATAGTTGGGCCCGATTCTAATTTGTATGAATAATCGGGCGATCCAATGTGCGCACTTCCATATATCTCCATACTGATTAACAGTGCGATTCAACTATCGGCCAACTAAAAGTAAGTGGTCTGCGTCTAGGCTTAGAGCAATTAAGACCAAACATTATGATTGAGATTCAATCGAGTTTGGAGCCTCTAATTCTAATATGTACCTTAATCAATTTATGAAAAATGTTCTCGACGTTCTTGCCCGCTACATACGGCAAACTCGAAAATACATTGCACAAAATTGACATTCGCAATGACAAATTGATACTTTCATAACATGTTCAACCAGGCCACAAATCTTATTTAATAAATAACCAAACTAAAGCGGCGTTAGAAAGGAAAACAGCCGTTGCTGAAATAAAAGATAAGGCTGATACATAATGGCTTTAAAAACGGTTTTATCTTGCCGCTACCATATTAGCGCCATTAGTAAAATGATCAATTGAATAGAGTGCGAAACACACGCCTGCTAATATACAGCATTGAGCGTTGTGTAACACTTCATTGAGTGTCAGTGTACTCATTTTAGGTCTAATTAGAGCTGACACGGGAAGTGCGTTCAAGTTTACACTTTCACAGTCGAAATGAGAACGTTTGTTGTATTCTACTCCTGTGTATGGCCACGATAATTCTGGGAAAAGGTAACAGTCGTTCTCATTGGATAAATAAATTAATCAGAAGAAAAAAAAACTGACGTGAAGGATTGTTGACTCCAAACAGATATTGATGACAAACAAAAGGAGTGATATACACTTAAAAGGAGACAAATAGGCCTAGGATGCGCGCCGCGATAAGCGTTTATCACGTAATTTTATTCCTTTTACGCGATAAGCCCATACGACAAATGTAAAAAATCATCGATAAATTTTTATCACGGCGCGCATACTAGCCCGGCTGTAGGCGTTTTACTACGGGGTCACGTGAGCTGTTATTTGATAACAACAACCCACTTCTACCTCCAATATTTTCGAAACCCTTGCTAGTTGGGGTTTATTTCCGGTAAAATAATAAGACCCTGAATCTGAAGTGGAAGAAAAGAGAGGAGGAATTGTCCTGTTGTCTCGTATTATAATAATGAAAATAAGAAAAATATACACAATTTAATTCAGACTGCGTACGATTGATTGCGATTTTATACGGACGATTAAACACAAATTGTGTAATACAATCGTTAAAAATAATTGCAAGAGTTTACGCACATTTAAACCGTGAGTGAACACTTATGTTAATGTAATTTGCAATACCAATAATTGCAAAATAAATGTATGTTTTTTTACAGGAAGCGTATTTTTAAAGCGTTAGAATTACAAACTCGTATACAAATTTACACCAATCACAAATTATGTGATTTCGCATGCGAATCTGAATTCGAATGCTTTCGCAATACTACTCCAGATACTCATCAAGCCACTATGTGAAAGGTGCACAAATTAGCATTAATTCTGTAAATTAACTAACTACTAAGTTTGAAACTATCGCTAATATTCGAAGTTACGTTCGTAGAATCATTTTTTAAATAGGTTGTGTTATACTCACCTAAATAAAACTTCTGGCTTGTATGATATTAGAGGAGGACGGTTCATCGACTTCTTATAACACAGAAAAACATCGCTGCCCATTAAACCTGCAATTTAAAAAAAAATTGTGATACCCACAGATATCAACATATTTTAACAAGTCATAAATTAGTAAATTAACGAAGATATTGTCAGAGACATGCTGAAATAAGAGAAAGTTAAACTATTTTCAATTTTAATAAAAAATAACTGTGCTTAATCTATGACAACTTTTCCTCACTAGATGTTGTAAACATTAGACGCTAAACTACTTCGGATATAAACTGTGACATTACCTTCAGGCTATTTGTTCAGATTTTTTAAGATAAGTTATCTGTTTTAGGCCTCATTAGGATTATAATGATATAACATTATATTGCATAATCTCAGATTGTTATAAATAATGTTACAAAGAGTTTCTATAGCCTCGTCAAGTTTGGTTGAGGATTCCGGGTGAAGCTCGCTTCCACCTTCGGCCTGATCGTCACTTACCATCAGGTGAGATACAGGCCAAGAGCTTCCTCGTTGTGGATAAAAAAAACATCGATAGGTCATGTTATTAAACTAGTATACAGGGAGAGTTAAAATATTTTTGGAACAAACTTATGAAGAAGATAGGCGTCCAGTCTCGTGCGTTACATCCTATAAAACCTTATCTCCTCTTTGACCGTGGTCCTCGACATTAACTCAAGAAAAAACCAATCTCATCAACAGTGAACACTAACCTTTATTCAGATTCTTGGCGATCATGCAAAAAGCATGCGGTGGACACTCTCCTTTACTTGCCACGATGACGCACACATCGACAACCACGAGTGCGTTACACGGCGCTGTAGGGTGCGCCCGGCGGTAGGTTATGAAGGTTTTGGCGGTCGAATTGTTCACGTTGGCCAGGCGACCGCCAACCGACACCAGAACCATTTCGGCGTCCGCCATTAGGCGTTCTTTGCCGTCGTACATGACGCCTGTTGGGGAGAAGAACAGCTTTTTCGTAATGCCAATAAAGTTAAATGAGCAATTTAAAGGGGGTATAAACGCCAGTCTTGTAGCGGAGTTTTGGGCTGACACTGGCAGGGGGTATCATCATCAGTCTATATGTATAGCAGTCCAGTTCTGGACATAGGCCAACCCAAATACACGCCCTTTTACACTGTCTTGGATTGTCGCATACAACTTTTACCTACTGAAAGTCATCATTCCACCTAGTTAGAGGGCGTCCTACACTACCCTTGCCGAGTAGCGGTTCGCTATATTATCTACTAGCTGACCCGGCGAACTTTGTTCCGCCTTAATGGCAATAAATAACGGGATAAAAAGTATCCTATGTCCTTCTCCTGGCTCTAAACTACCTCCCTGACAATTTTCAGCTAAATCGGTTCAGCCGTTCTTGAGTTATAAGCGAAGTAACTAACACGACTTTCTTTTATATATACAGGGTGACTGGAACTGAACCCGCCATAGCTAATAGGCGTATAGAGGAGGTCATTTGCTAATTATTGAACTATACTTTCTATGGCTAAAGTTTTATAGTTTAGGAGATATGTCAATTTTTATACTTTTTTCAGATTTTTCCGAAATTTGACCTAAAAACTGCTTCAATTTTTTTTCTCGCGTGATTTCAACAGTTTTTTTTATTTGATATTAACATCGAATATGTCTTTATTCAAATAAAATAAATTTCTGATCCAGAAAATGATTGAATAGCTAGTTACGAGCCGCCAAAGTCTAACAAAAGTACAAACCACGATAAAAAATTCTACTTCGAATTCGATTGAAACAAAAATTAATGGTGATAATTGATTGCCAATAATCTTAAAAATATCTCCAGCTTCTCTTCTTTCCAATGATATATCACACGTTGTAATTAGATATTGAAATTTATCAAAAATTCAAAGTTTATGGAAGAAAATGAAGTAATAATACAAAAATTATCCATACAAAGTTGATTTTGAATTTTTTCAATTTTTTTTTCTTTATAATGTGATTATTATTTTTAAATTTATTTTTCAAAAAAACACGAAAATAGTTATGAAAAGGAGTAAAGCAGAAAATATGAGTTGTTTGAAGAAACTTTGTATGGATAATTTTCGTAAATTACTCCATTTTCTTCCATAAACTTTGAATTTTTAATAAATTTCAATATCTAACTACTACGTGTGATATATCATTGGAAAGAAGAGAAGGTAGAGATATTTTTAAGATCATTGGCAATCCATTATCACCATTAGTTTTTTCTTAAATCGAAATCGAATTTGAATTTTTTATCGTGGTTTGTACTTTTGTTGAACTTTGGCGGCTCGTAACTAGTTATTGAATCATTATCTAGATCTGAAATTTATTTTATTTGACTATAGGTTTATTCGATATTAGTATCAAATAAAAAAATCGGTTAAAATCATGCGAGAAAAAAAAATTAAGCAGTTTTTAGGTCAAATTTCGGGAAAATCTGAAACAAGTATAAAAATTGTCATATCTCCTAAACTATAAAACTTTAGTCATAGAAAGTAATGTTCAATAATTAGCAAATGACCTCCTCTATACGCGTATTAGCTATGGCGGGTTCAGTTCCAGTCACCCTGTATAGAAGATTAAGTTACAGAATTTCACTGCTGTCGTCATCATCATCATCTCAGCCATAGGACGTCCACTGCTGAACATAGGCCTCCCCCAATGCTTTCCATGTTGCCCGGTTGGTAGCGGCCTGCGTCCAGCGCCTTCCTGCTACCTTTATGATGTCGTCGGTCCACCTTGTGGGTGGACGTCCCACTGCTGTCGTGCTATAATAATATCATAATAGCGTTCTGAGTCAGAGCCTGAGGTATGGGAGCGGCACGGAAGGGGGCTTTTGGGACGTTAAACGTTATTCAGCGAGACTTTAAATATTCTTCAGATTTGTATGCTCTGTCACGTCATAAAGTATCAATGTCACCCTTCTCGTACCGCTTCTCAGTGACTCAGTTAAGCGCTAGAGCAGCGGTTCCCAAACTTATTTTGTCTACTGCCCACTTTGTAAATTAATTCTTTTTAGCGCCCCCATTTGTAGTAGAGTGTTGAGTGCTCAGTCGGTGTCTAAGAGTCCTCCTAGTAAATGACGCCTCCCAAGCTTCTACACAATGTCCCGATTTTTTTTTCTGGGTCTCTTACCGCCCCCCTTTAAGCCTGCAGCGCCCACAAGGGGGCGTTATCGCCCACTTTGGAAAAGACTGCGCTAGAGTCTAGCGGCTAGACCTATTATAGTTTTTAACGGAGAATTGAAAAGAAAATATACTATGGTCATTTTGGCAATAACAGTAAATTAAAACCACGTTGCATCATTGAACTCTATCAAGGTAATAAAAACTGTTATCACGCCAACGTCATTCCACTGCCGCGGTGCTTGATGTGTCTCATATCTTTTAGAGTGCAAACTTAGAGCGTATTAATACATCACTGCAAGTGACGTGGACCGTTTATCAGTACATAACCGGCAGATTAACTCCGCTTTGGTCGTAGTAAAAAAGTCGGTTGACTGGCTTCCAGGCGGACATTTTTGAAGCATTAGCTTACCTATAATAATATAAAATAGCTTATAGGATATCGTACAATTCAAAACATATACGGATATCTGTTCTTCTTTCCCTGTATCTAACTATTTATGAAAATTTGACCACTAATTTTATTAGAATTAGCATCATAAGTGCCAATTGTGGTCTAAACTGAATAAATATTTTTTATTTTGATTTTGATCAACAGACCATGGGGAAGGGGATGTAAGACTAGAATTTATTGAGATGAGTAGGGATTTTATCATAATTATGTTTTAAATTATTTAATTATTTTGGTAGATAAATTAATTACCTATACCAACATGAACTTCACTCAAACGAATTGACTTTGAATAATTAAGATAAAGTGTTTATTTTGCGAGTGTGTGTCACCACTTGAGCGTGGATTTACGTGATTATTGGTAAAAATATTGACGAAAATATGTCAGTTAGTAAAAAAGCCATCGAAAACATATTATTATCCGAGTTTGAAAATAGTTCTAGGAATTTCATTAATCTAAATATGTATCCGGATTTAGCACTATCAGTAGTAGATTAACATGTTCAAAATGTTCATCATAAAATTGTGGTCATCACTATACAATGTGACCGAAAACAATTTTGTTTATTATATTTTAAATAACTTACATTTTATTTAACATTCGAGTAAGATGTTTATTGGAGCAAATAAAGTAATAAGGTCGTCCCCTATATGAAAATGTCGCGCAAAAAGTTTCATACAAAGACTCCAAAAAGACTTGGACGAGTCCACTCGACCGTAAAATGATTGAATAAAAAGATAACAAAAAGTGCACGGCCCTCCAGCAGTTGACAATTTCGGTGTACCTAAAGTTAGGGTCAAGTAGATAATGTTATTTCCAACTTTATGCCAATGTAATAAGGTCTAAAAAGACAGTGGCTGACAGTCGATGTTATCGGACTGGTGTGTCCATATCTCAGCGTTCAATGAATCCCCATTAACGGATTTACTGCGGTTATCGGTCCAAAATACCTATAGGATAGTTTACTTGGAAATAAAATGTATAAAAATCACATTTAACGTGTTTTGAAGAGTTAGCCAAACAAACTTCCTACTTCGCTACACTTATAGTGAAATATCCTGGAAACTGGAAATCATAATCCTACCATAAAGATTATCATGTAAAATATTGTCAAGGCGAACCGTATGGCTTGCACTGTGAAAAAGTAATTCAAAAAGTCGAAAATGTGTTTGGTGCTCATTATTTGCAATTGCAAAAAAGAATTGAAACTCTTCTCTTCCCTTATTTTGCTTAGTTTCCTTATATTACTTACCAATATCCACAAGCGGCGGCCGATCCCGTCCCCTCCGTATGCAAAGGAAACATTCTGGTGATCTCATGGATCCATGGTTCAGGTCAGCCGGTAGCCCTGTCGGCGTCAGTTCCATGAGTTCGTAGCCATTGGGCACCGTCTCGCCAAGACCGGGGAATATTACGCCTAGAACAATAAACATCATTAATTTTTAATTTTGGACTTCCACAAAAGATATTAGTTTCTGCTTTTTTCGCAGCTTCAGAATTACCCCTCATTGTAAGCTAAAAATTCTTGGTGTTCTGAGTGGGTTCACTACAATAGTCGAGCTGTGGTAGGATCGAACCCGCGTTCCTCGGATCTCGAGTCGGCCAGTCCGACCCCCTCACCGTTCGGCTATCGTCGCTTCAAAGTACAATACAAAGCCTATGTTCATTTCCTAGGTCCCATCCTATACCTCCATTCTCAACAATAGTTTCAATTTAGGGCGACCAATTAATTAACTTTCGCATTTATAAAATTTGTATGGATTGGTGTGCGTGCATAATGCATTCTCAATAATACCCTGTATTTAGTTTTTGTGGCCTATATTAATTCTTCCTTGCATTCAGGATGATGCACACACAAAAGCACTGCATCCAGATCTTTGTTCCTCCAAGATTAGAGCTTCTTTCGCAGCGCAATAAAAATGTTATACTTCATGAGCCGTTGTGTGTAAATGCAGCAGACTGATTTACAATAAGTCACTTCCTTTTTCCTGGGATCATAGTCAGATTTGTATCAGTGTTGTAATTTGAATACACAGTTATTTTTTCCTCACGGACGTTAGTTAGTAAATCACATTATAACGGTGTTATTAAGGACAAAGAAAATATGTGTCTTGGACCTTTATGACATCAGTCTCAAACGAACTATAAAAGTAGATGTCTACTTTATTTACTCGATGTCCGTTTAACCCCTTTAATCAGGTTAAATTGACCTGTTTTTAGTTTAATTTTGGAATGATATTTCATACATACATTGTAATTATCAAAAAGAATAATGATCCTTCTGAACGAAGAAAGAATCGAGATCTTAAGTCATTAACGTCAGAGTTTGTTACGCAACATAATGTAAACCTCCATTATGCTTCCTAATTAACGTTCGGAAGAATGCGTTCAGTGTCTACAATCAACAATGAACCTTTATACGGGTATGCGAAGCGGCAATGAACTTATCAGGGCTTCAATACATCAATGACACCAATAAAATGAATCAGAGGGTCAATCAGACGGCCTCTGGTATTATTACACAATAGGAGCACTGTTGATGAAGTGATACAGGACTATTGATAACTAACACCTGGTTGTTATGTAATTTATGTATCGATAACACGCGTCCTTCTCGTATACGTGATACACGCGCTGTGGGAAAGGATTTGCATAATATGCAGTTATGCAGCCGACTGCGGGAGCTAATAACTAGGCGATTTTACTATAATATTATAGTTAATTATAGGGCTTCTTTGGTCAGCATATCTCACTGATATCTGCGTAAATAAATTCATAGAGAAATAATTTGCTACAACAATAAATAGCGGAGAAATAAAGGAGGAGATTGCGCGCCGTGATAAAATCTTATACCTAGATCATTTTAGACGAGAAATGTATGGGCTTATCGCGTAAAATCGATAAAAGTTTATCTTGGCGCACATCCTTGGCATACTGGTCGAAGAGAGTCGGATAATCACAAAGTAGGTATAGTCTGACATAAGGAAGAAAAGAACCATGAAAACTGTCTACCTATTCTGCCAATAAAATTGCAGATTACATTGATAAACCTTAGAAGGTTGCAACCTTGCCGGTTTCTTATAAGGCAAGCCACCGAGCAGGTTGCAGAGCAGAAATAAATCGATAATTTTTAAGGTGAAAGACTAGTAGAAACTCCTTTTTATGGTCTTGTTTGAACATTATTATATTAATTTATTCAACAACGCACGGTTTTAATAAGTTTGAAGAAGAAGAACAAGAAGCGTAATTATAGCTCATTTTATGATGGTGAACAAATTATTATAATTTTGCATAATAAAAATAAAAACCCACTAAAATTAGAGGAACGCTTGGCCGGTTAATAAGGCGGCGAAATTACAAGAATCGCATAAACCGAGTGTCACTTTCTGTTGTAAACTTCTTACATTTTCAAATGCCTAGCACAAAACGCGGCAAATTCGTGGTCAATCATTCATAGGTTGACCACGAATTTCAACTCAAACACTGATCAACACCCCAGTCCAGTCTCATTATAAGTAGGTAGGTAACATAATTACGCCAAATAATAGATTGGTATATTTAACATAAAATATGTGGTGGAAATAAGCTATTAACAAGTTAAACGACTAGTTTCTCTCGACAAGTGTCGCCCTAGATTTAACCAGATTGAACTAGTTTCGCTCATTAATCCAATAAGAACACCCGTATTTGCACACTTGGACATGTCTTGACTTTCGCAAAAATCTAGTGGATGTCTGTGGAACTGTGGGTCTTATTTCTTAACTGCTTTATCAAGAAATTAGGATTCGCACTATTTAATAGGATTGGCAAGACACTAGTGAGTTTATTATAAAATTTATTATAATCAAGTAGGTAGGAATAAAAGTTTGTTTATTGTGATTATAGTAAGGTGCCGTTCCCGCCGGGAAAATTGTCCACAACGGGAATATTCTAATTAGATTTCACAGAAAATTCAGATTAAATGGAAAACATTGACGGGAAATTGTCTAATTTAGGAATATTCCTGCATAAAGCATAGAAGCATAATAATATTGTTCGTTTACAAGTTATTAAATTAATAGAGAATTTTTTCAAGATTTTAGATAATTAATCAACACATAAAATACCATGATGGAGCACCTATAGCTTTTTTAATTAATTTTCTTAATTTAATTAATCCATAATACCGAAATTTAGTACAACTACTAGCATATAAATTGCAAATCAAGTAAATTCAATTATGATGATTAAAAAATTTAATGATGTGAAAACAGCAGCCAGTTTGAGATAATAAAGTTAGGTATTTGTATAGTAAGTAGATTAACTACATAACTGTAACACAAAACCAAACCACAATTCTTACTATGTTATTGAACAATCTGGAATGTGGTTAGTGGATTTCCTGTGTCAATAATCATCTTATTAGGAAATATTTTATGATGCATTATTTATAATTATAATTGCAATACCTATTTGTAAAAATAAACAACATCATCATGATTATTTTTGTAATTTATAATTATAAATAAATGCTTCAATTTCAATGTAAATAAACTACAAATAAGTACTCCATGATGCAGTACTAAAAGTGGGACTTTTTGAGTCCCATTCCCAGGTAGGATTTCAAATAGTTCATTATCATTACCAAGGTTACCTACCTTGGTATTAGATGATAGAATAAGAAGAATATTAGGAAAAACAAATACAAATTACATTAAAAATACAGTAAACAGGTATGTTAACATATTAAGATAATCACCGTTATGTAAAATTATGTGTATGTTAACCATTACTATGCAGATGACATGCCATTCATGACCAAAATAATAAATTGTAACCTAGACCGTCTACGGCAAACATTGTCATCAATAATGAATGACTTCCTGCGTTTGCTTGTTTGCTAAGGAAGAACTAATTAATAGGATTAATGGTGCTTATAAAAATGTGTGGGTTTAAGTAATTTAATTTAAAATTACTTGATTTTTATTAAAAAGTTTTATAACTTCGATGGTACTCAATAATCAAAATTTATAAGACCGTTTTAGACCAAATAATGAGGAATATTTAATTGTTATTCAAGTAATAGCAGTAAATATTTATTTAAATATAGTAAATTATGGTTGGTGTTTGCTTATAAACAATTTTCACAATTAAAATACTTGAAGGTATTGGGAAAAGTAAATGAAATTAAGTTATTTATTTTCAGAAAATCTAATTTAAGCATGATCTAATTGGACCGTCACCAACCTCAGAGCTAAATTAGTTGGTTTGTTGAAGGTAATGGTTTAATGTATTGAAGTAAATAAGTATAAAAATGGGTTGTAGGTACTCACCTATATCAGTGATTGGTGGTTTAGTGCTGTACCCTTTGAGGTGTCCAGAGTCAGAGTCATCCAGAAGTTCAGGTTTCTCAGGCAAACCAGCCACCACAAAATAATCGGCAACCCTCCGTTCATCCATTCTGATCGCTTCTATTTAGATTTGTCTACAAGTACCTAAATAACAAAATCTGTTTGTTCATTCATGGTTATAACTCCTAACCTCCATACAGCAAAGACTACTAGTATGATGAGCATTTGCATGTTTTTGGAAGGTTGCTAATGCAGAATACATTTAAAAAATAAAAGTGTGCAGAACAAGAAACCTTCGAAAAGAACTTACGATTTATTGCTACAGTAAAGAAATTGAGCATGACCATGTCATACATCGTCCACTTTTTCGTTTCAATAGATTTATTGCGTTTTTTATCCACTTTTTTAGAATGACACTACACTAAATACAGGTTACAGACGTCGTACAATTTATAATTTTACAAAACGTCATTTTGCCCCATTGGGATCAAACGAGAACAACAATTGAGACCATAGACAAAAAACGGAGCCAAGGATGACGGATGGCCAGAAATCAAAGACAAAAGAGTTTTAAACAACTAGAATACTGAAAAAGTGCCATCTATATTTTGAAATTGTAAACTTATTTTCAGCAAAACGTAGATGTTACCAACATTACAAAACAATAAAGAAAGGAAGTGACGTAGTGCTACGAGAAATTAAACCAGAGTAACTTTAACCTGTGACGACCTTTTCCATGAAAACATTTTTTTACATCCTACAAATCTTTACGTCTTACTTAGGGAATCTAATTCATCTATGATTCCAGTACACATACTGGCGCCATATGTATGAAAATAAGCTCTTTTATCAGCCTCGAGAAAAGGATAATAAAAACAAACAGAATAAATTATACAGAATTTATTAGACATCAATAACTATTTCTTTGAGTGCTTTCGATGATGGAGCGAATGCTTCATTCAAATCTAAAACATCTCTAGTTGTACTCGTTTGGCCTGCAGATAAAAGCATACCTATGGCTCCTTCAAGTTCACTTACTCTTTTACACACCTCTATTTCATCTTTTATTTCTTGCTGAAGGGAATTGAATAACAATAAGTTAGTTTCTGAAAATGTCTTGATCTGGTTCTCAAAAACGTCTACAAACACATTTGCAGCATCTATAATAGTTCTGGTGAACCTTGTCTCTCCTAGATTCTTCTTAAAATACTTTAATAATCCTCCTATGTCTTTTTCATTCAGTTCACCCATTGCAACATTTAAAACTTTCCTTCTAAGTAGTTCTTGTAACGCAGCAGCAGTTCTTTCTGGACTCTTAGCAGCTACATATGTTTTCAGCGCAGCAGACAAGGCTTTACCAAATTCCATTTTTCTTATGAACTTATCATAATCTGACTCTTTAACAGCTTTTTTGTTTGAGACTACAGTATCAATGGTGGCAGTTGGTTGAACATGATCAGGTGCAAATTTGAACAGACCCTTCTTCTCTTCTTTTTGCTGTGCAGGTTTATCTCTTTTTCTTATGGAAATAACACCATCTATCATGCCAACAGCCAGGGTGTCATCATGTTCTGATATGCCCATACTCAGAATGGCATTTGGGAAATCAATATTATGGACCACTTTGAAGGTGGAAATGTCATATATTTTAACATGGCGGTCAAGGGAGGCCGACATTAATCTGCTACCATTACTGGCCAAACGGAGTGTGGTCACTGTTTTGTGATGCTGTGATATATTGGCAAGTAGTTTTCCCCCATTGAATATATCCCACACTTTGATTTCTGTACCTCCAGCACTGACAAATATGCCTCCCGATGGTAAGAATATGGCTGATTCCACTGGGCTTCCATGGTTTGCTGTTAGGACAGTTTCATTTGATCTACAGTCATAAAGTTTTAATGTATGGTCATAGCTGCCCGATAAGATGATATCTGGTGAGATAGGACTTGCAGCTCCTGCTCTGATATAGTCTGTGTGTTCTGAGAAAGTGGCAATATTTTCTTCTGTTGGAATATCCCACAAGCCAACTGATTTGTCATCGGAGAAGCTGAGAATTTTGACTTGGTCTTTAGAGAAGAATGTTCTGTGAACCTGAAAGATACAATATAAAACTTGTTATTAAAGATTGTGATATTCATTACGTATTGTCTTACCAATAAATAAATAACTTAAAAGATAGTACTAGTAGTAGGAGTACTAATACCACTGATAGAATAATAATACTTACAGGGCCAGTGTGTCCAGTAAATACTCGAAGAACATTCTTAGAAGTGACATCAAATAATTTCACAGCTGATTCTTCGCTACCAGCAACTATGAGCCGGCCGTCCGTCCTAAAACTGGCTCCATAGGCTGCCTCGACAAACTTTGAAATATTCTTAGCAACCACCTTTGTGATTGGGTCATACACCTGGAAAATTAATGCAAAAATTAAGGACTTCACTCCTGAGTGAATACAGTATATTTTCGTCATTATTGAAGAACTATTAAGTACTTTACCTGTACTCGGACGGAGCATGTTGCTGCGAAGTAGTATGGTTCTACTGGGCTAAAATCTATGTAATCAATGGCACCGAACTCTTTCACTAGGACTGGTAACTGAAATATTATAAGCACAGGTTAGTAAAAGGCATCAAATACAGCTTCAATAAAAAATACTAGCAAGAAAAGTAACCAACTTACACCAAGTTTCTTCCAGTAAATAGCATCAGATGTAACTACTGATGCCGGCTTCTGGTATGCCGCTTTGTTAGTTTTCTTAAATGGGTAAGATATGTGGGCCATTTCGTCACTTGTTTATAACAACTTTCATAATAATTTTACTGTTCAATTTTATTTACCACCACAAACCACAAGTGTTTCCACTGGTTTCCACAAATCAAAACTGACATTGACAGTTCAGAACACGTGTGATTTTAGTTTTAAAATTGACTGTCAAGCAAAGATGTTTCAGTAAGTTCACAAATGAAAAAAGTCGAGGTTATGACCGTGGCATTATTACAAAAAGAAAGTCACAAAAATAAGATTATTTAATCTGTGTCGGTTGCTGTCAATGTCACATTGCTGAAATGGCGAGATGCGCCTCGATGTAAATATTACGAAACTTTTGTATTATTAATTTCTTCATTTTACTTGCTTGATCTAATACAGTGTTGAAAATGTTTAAATTACTCAGTCGCCGAGGATGCCGCAGTGCCGTTTCAAAGTTGTTTTGTGAGAAGATTGAGGTTAGGCAAGCGAAGGTATATTACTTTTATTCTTCAGCAAATACCGTGAGATTCGCTTCGACTGGTGGCAGCGATCTCGGGAAAACTGCAACTCTTACAGAAAGTATACCTGAACCACCGCCCGTGCCTGATCCTTCTGCTTTTGGAGAGATTACAGAGGCCGTTCAGTCGTTGGCTGCAAATGGTGAACCAACGTTTGCTAGTTTGGGCCTCGGGGGCTGGTCTCCTGTCGGCCTCGTACAGAACTGCTTGGAGTACCTACACATTACATTAGATGTTCCTTGGTGGGGTGCCATATTGATAGGAACCTTAGCAGTCAGAGTTATAATGTTTCCGCTAGTCATAATGTCTCAAAGAAACTCGGCGGCCATGAATAACAATCTTCCTGAGATTCAGTTATTGCAAATGAAGATGACACAAGCAAGACAGACTGGCAATCAGTTGGAGGCGGCCAGATACGCTCAAGAAATGATGGCATTTATGAAGGAGAAGGGTTTGAATCCCTTGAAGAATGTCTTGGTGCCATTGGCGCAGGCGCCACTATTTATTTCCTTTTTCATGGGGCTGAGAGGAATGGCTAACTGTCCTGTTGAGAGTTTGTCTACAGGAGGGCTGTGGTGGTTTACAGATTTGACAGTTCCTGATCAATTCTTTTTGCTTCCACTTCTGACAAGTGCCACTATGTGGGCCACCATTGAACTGGGTGTGGACGGAGGTCGCTTAGACGCACAGAACATGCAGATGATGAAGTACTTCCTCAGAGCACTGCCCGTTATTATGATCCCCTTCACTATTAATTTCCCGGGAGCAATCCTGTGTTACTGGGTTTCCAGTAACTTTATTTCACTTGTACAAGTTGGTGTCCTCAGAATTCCAGCTGTCAGAGAGTATTTAAATATTCCTAAAATGGTCACACACAGTGCAGACTCCTTGCCAATCAAGAAAAAAGGTTTTATCGATGGAGCAAAAGATTCTTGGACTAACATGAAGATCTCCAAAGAACTAGCAGAGAGACAGCGAATTGACGAGTTGATTTTCACTAAAGCTGGCAAGGGACCCCTTCAAAAGACATACAAATATGACCCAACTAAATTATCAAATGTCCAAGCCAAATCTAAATAGATACTTAGTTAATACAAATAATGTAGATTGTTATTATGATAATATAGCATTATCTTATTGTATGTGTTTTATTAATTACTGTAATCATACAAAATGTTTTTTGTACTTGCTGACTTACTGGGTTTTTGTTGTGTATTTCAAAATTAATGTAATTTTGGTGTTTTTATTTTTCCATTTCAAACTGAAGCAAATACAATTAGCAGATTCTGAATATTTTCTTTTCATTACATAATATTTCCTAAGAGCTCGAAAACCCGGCCAAATGCGTGTCCACAATCCACCTAATTATTGTAATATGCTTAGGTACTTCTTAGACTATACCTATAATACCTATGTATAACATTACCTACTATTAAGTAGACAGGGAGTCGAACTCGCGAGTTTTAGCTTTGATTAGTCATTTTAACGAAAACGAGTAGGTAGACATTCTAATTAAGTAGGTAGATCTAAAATCGAGGGTAAAAAAGTTCTTTGTGCCCAAAAGAGTTTTGAAATAACGCGAGTAAAAACAATAAACGACGGCTTTTCCTGTTCACGGTTTAACTTTAACTTTTTTCGTGGAGTTTCTTTATGCCTTCGCTTTTCGACTGTTTTGGTAATTGGCCACGATAAAGGGTTGAATAAACGATATTGTTTGTTCTTTCAGTTAGGTCTCATTAGTTTATGATTTACCTTACGTTATTTGAAAAAGTATGACTACTTAAAGTAGGTACATGGAACTAAAAAAAAACGTTGACTGCGTTGTTATTTTAAGTAAATTAGTAGTTATTTGCATCCTGTGGTGCCTAAAGGTCGTAGCACACTTATCAACCTGAAACAACATCGTGTCGCCTATAGCCGCGCTGTCAACCGCGAGGCGAAGAGTTTACGTTACGGAGAAGTAATATGTCGCAGTAGGTACGGAGGTTTATGCAAATAATACTGACATGCCTTGAGTTGATAAGGTTACGATCCGTTTCCGGGTTGATAAGTGTGCTTCGTCCTTAATAAGGGATGTGTTTGGAATATAGTGTAGAGCGCTTTACAACGTGCATACAATTCGATGGCTAACAGCCAAATTAGTTGTTTTAGGGTTCCGGACCTTACAATGAAAACATAACCCTTTAGGATCTTACAGAACCCTCATTTACGTTGTCAAGAAAGACCCTTTTTCTTAGAAGAGCTTGGAGGTTGAAGGTTTAAGGTTTAAATTAATATGAAATTAATACTTAAGTCACGGTAATTTGGAGCTGTTAATAACATTGCCAATTAACTTACTTATTAACGAAAATATTGTAGCACATTCTTGGAATTTCTTGCATTTGTGTTCTATTCTTTAAAAAGTTATTTTAGTTTTAAGTTTTGCTTTGATGACTGAAACCTTTGCTCCTCGATAAGGCACATCTGCATCTGATCGTTCACATCTGAAATAGTTATTGAATAAACGAAGTAATCGAATCCAGAGCCTCTATAGTTAGTACCTACATATCTATAGGTACCCAAGTACTTATTTTTGAATTCCAACCTGCTCCAAATAATCCAACAAGATTTATAACAAACTTTAAAGTAAAAGAAAAGGGTAACGTTACATTTCTTAAATTTGTATTAAAGTAATTTATTAATAAAGTAACTTCATTAAACCGCCCACCTTTATTTCGTTTCACCACTCAATCAACGTGCCGAAAAACAACAAAAGCTTTACAAATGTAACAACTTTCCGAGATAACGGCATTCGGGAGCTTCAAGAGATTTATTTCGTGAATCTAAGGAGCAGAGAATATTAGTTCCCGTGATATATGCGCCACCTGGTGACGGAGCGCGGAGCCACTCGACTTAACGACGGTCAGGCTAGAAGGTTCGTGCTATTTGCTTAGTAAGAGGTCCCGGTTGTCATTAGTAGGCTTGGAGTGGGAGATCAAATGGATGGTAGGAGAAGCTGGAAGGCTACTTGACTGTTTTCTGAAGCAAAGTTGCTTAAGAATAGGTAAACCATAATAACATTAGGTAGGTACCTACTTATTTGAAAGAATAGTGTAGCATCTTGAATTGCTAATAAAAACAATAATAAAAAAATCGCTGTTTCATAAAGTTCCTATATATATAGGCTATTGCCTCTTAGGAACAATATTATATTAAGTATCTGGCAGAGAAAGTACCTTTAGTTTCAAAAGTCTCATTCGTTTGGTGTAATTAAAGTATCTTAGGTAAGTAGCTGGTTTTCATCAATCAGATACCTACTGAAACTTTTTAAGAATCCGATGAAACTTGGCACTTAATATATAAAATTGTTGCGCGTTTAATATTCAATAAAGAAATCTAGGGTTGAGAACAGCTCTACTAGACGTATCTTTGACAGTGAAAGTATTATTTTTACAGCCGACTGATAATATTCTTGTATTTTAGAATGCTTTGAATGCTCAGAACTTTAAGGGATTTGTCCAGCCGACCGCCTCAATCCAAGTCCCGCTAGGGGCGGTAACCGAGAAATATGAGTATTATTTCCAACTTTATTGCCGTTATATTTCATTTTGCCGCCAAACTGTTACGCTTTTTACTTATTAATGTCTAGCGACGCGAGTTGCGCTCGTTTCGATTAAAGCATGCAATGCGAGTAATGTATTGCCATGATCTGCTTTTATTTGGGGTGCTGTCTTTGTTGATATACTTAAATTTTAATTTAAAGCAAGTTGAAAGTCCCACGTTGGGCGCCAATTTCACTTTTCAGACTTAAAGAATAAGTACTCGTACGTATCCACTTTGTGCCTACTACATGATAAAACCTTTTTAAAGATTATAATTCTAATAATCTTACATACTGTAATAACGTACCCCACTTAAAAAAACTAATTGGTGCCCAACGTGGGATTTTAATTTATAGAACTTATTGTGTTCAAAAAGTCATTACTGAAACTACGTTTGCAATATATTTACATTACATTTAAATCAAAAAGGTTAATCATAATAGGTGACACAAATAACTCCATCACACATGAATATCAATGGCGGCTGACATGCTCATATTGATGGCTATTCAATGTCCGTTCATATGAAAATAATAATACAGATTCATATTTATTGGTGGTATAAGCGTGTCCATTTCCATAACTATAGTGGCTTATCGGGGCACGTACGCCATGATTTGTTTCCGATCCTCTAATAACCATCCTCTGGGCCGAGATAGTATCTATATAGACATGAATATTGGACAATAAGTTGTCCATTGCGGCCGCTTATGGGCCTAATTACTTAGTATTGGTCTGCAGGCTGGGAGACGTTTACTATAATGTGGATTCTTTTGTCTTTCTTTGCTGTGATCTTTTGTACCTACTTGACCTTACATTTTGTAAGTAGGTATAGCAGAATATTTCTGTGGTTCGGTTTTGTTACTTTGCCACTCGCAACTAGAGTTTTTATGGAACAGAAATATACCTGTTTATTTTATTTGTTTGGATTCCTACTATTTGTCTTGCTTTTAAAGATTGCTAAGGTTATTGGAAATATAAACATTTTCATTATGATTTATGACACGGTAGTTTTCAGTCAAGTCATTACTTCTCAACCCAATAAATACTCATTGCTACTAGTTTTTGCGTGACCCAAAATGTAGTAAAAGTAAATTTAGTGCCGCAGGTTTAAAGCCGAAAACCTATATATTATCCATAAAACTGAGCTGCGAGGCAAATTTCTAGTAAGGAACACAAACGATTCCATTTCTTAAAGTGGCAGTCATTCCATCGAAATGAATTATTTCCAGGGGAACTATAAAATGGAAGTGGAGCGGGCAATAGTAGGTATACTTAGTAGGGGTATTCGCTACTGAAAAACTGTGCTATGAATTTTGGATATATTGGAACTATTGGAATATTCGGCAGTTTGGAATTAGGTATTTTAGTTTTAACAAGGGTATACAAATTATTCGACGGAATTCCATTAGCTCTACTGGTAGAGCTTATTATCATAAAGCTGTTACTTTGTGAGTAGGTAGGTACCTTTATAATGAGATTCTATTCAACAGTTCTTGGTTGGTGCCGTTTTTGGGAATTTTCGTGAAATTTAGGCAATCACTGCCGTAGAAAATTATGTAGGTAAACCAACCCATGATTTTGTTTCCGAGGGTTCGGGGAGAAGCGAAATCCGTTCTGAGAAAATCTTTGCATACTGAGAACATGATTCATCACATTGTGCGTTAATTTCAAATTAAATATTTGTTAATATTATTAATTTACAGCCATATCTGCCTATGTAGATGGTTAATGGTAGATTTTGCGTGTAAGTGAAAAAAAAATGTAACTAAATCGATCCATCCTCTTGAACTTTCCTGTAACATTATTAGTAGAATAGAACTGTAATAAATAAGTAAAGAATTATTTATTATTAACCGTCATGTGAATATTCAAGGATCTGAAAATATTGATCGTGGCTTTGAAGCCGAGTTCAAGGCAAAGGGACAAACGATTCGTTGTTTATTTTGTCTGTAAGCGTTATAAGAAATATTTTCCTTTTTTATTTATGAGCCTACAAGTACCGCTAGCTGTCCAAAGTGATAGGCGGAATATTAACGTTGTTGCTAAGCCATATAATTTTCGAGGGATAACTTTCTACTGCTGAGTAGAATAGGTACCTACAGAATTGATTTTGAGTAGGTAACTTACTTACCTACCTTTGCGCTTTGCACTGGAGGGAAGTTGAACGATTGTTTTTATTGACGGTCAAGCTGTATCCTGGCTAGTTGCAGCGCTGGGAACGAGAGGTGGGAATAGTTCCGTTACCTTTGCACAGCTTTCACTTTAATTGAATTTCCCCAAAATGCTTGCTTGCTGTGGTCAAAAAGTAGACTTTCCCGAAATCGTATACTTAGGCGTTTTCTCATGGGAAATCATGCTGCATCGTTATAATCCATAAGGCTAATTTTCCACTAAAATGAAGAGGAAAGGAGATGTGTTTGAATAAACCAATCGGATTAATAATAATAAACCAAACGAACCTCAGCTGAGCGGAGAGGCGATGAGGAAATAACGAAATCTGATAGGTTACAACATCTCTCTGTTTTGGTGGAAACTGGGCCTTAAGCGGATCACTAGCCAGCGGTTGTGTCTGTTTACCAAATGTTCTGGTATTTTCGCTTGACGTTTGTCGTGTCTGACATTGCGAAAGTTCGGAGAACAACGCGACGCCTGACACCCCAATACCCCAATACTGGCGTTGGATCAAAACAGTCGCGCGTGACACTTTTTGGCTAGTGTTTTGAAATCTGTTGATGTTATTTGGATGAAAAGTAACAAAAACATGAGGTACCTACACGCTAAAACTTCATCACCAATCGATTGATTTCTTTCTTCAATTCAGTGGTTCTCTAAAAATATTCTTACTTTGCTGAATTTATTTAATATTTTAAAGTTATTCAAAACTAATCTTGAACACATTTAACATGAAGTATTATTGTATCTACAATAAGATTTGCCTAATAATTCACAATAATTATTGCTGACCTTTGAAGTGTCAAAGGTCTTTGGGGTTTCNAGGGTTATCCATTGTTTTTGGGACACCCTGTATATAAAAGAAAGTCGTGTTAGTTACTTCGCTTATAACTCAAGAACGGCTGAACCGATTTAGCTGAAAATTGTCAGGGAGGTAGTTTAGAGCCAGGAGAAGGACATAGGACTTTTTATCCCGTTATTTATTTCCATTAAGGCGGAACAAAGTTCGCCGGGTCAGCTAGTTGTTTTATAAATACTTAATAATCACAATACTTCCCTCAATTCATATTTTTCCAGTACGTAATTTACATTCAAACCACTAAAACCAATTGGGGTCATGTCATAGCTTGTTATTTCCATTAGTGTATAGNATTTGTTAGGACCAGCCCCAGTCTCCCCTATCTATATCAACTTTACCACAGAGACTGAAACAGTTTGGTACCTAAACAGACAGTAAAATAGTGCCGTTTATAATACCCACTTACCTATTCTATTTTGTTTTTATTAAGGTAGTTACTTAGTAGGTAGCTAATTAACTTAAAAGTGTAAGTAAATAGGTGTTACTTTACGAAACCACAAAGTTCAAATTCCAAAGGTTTTTAGACAAACTTTTCATCGACAATGGTTTTGTAAAGTAGTTACTGAAACAATCATCTGGAGCTATTTCGCTGCTCGAATATAACGACCTTTGCTTATTATTATTAATCTGTGCTTTTACAAACATTTTATGAATTGTCGAAAAAGTTGTTAACATTTTCGCAACAGAGTCGCACCCTTCTACGTTTTGATTTGTGTTTGTACTAATTAATTGTCATATCTCACGGTCTCACCACACCTTGAAGAGCTATTACCACGTACTTAGTTACGCTTACGCCTGCAATATAACTTCATAGTTAAAAAAAGAAATATTATTATTTATAAGCTACTACTACTACGGTGCATTATTCAACACGTAATCTACGACAAAGAGCATACAGCAATAATTGTAACTAATTTTTCAAAATAGTATCATCGTGATACTTAATAACACACATTATAATGATTTTTGTAATTCCTTCAGTAATTTGCTGAATCAAATTACTTACCAAACAACCCTGTTATGCCTGTATCACTGTCCTCAATTTCATACCACATGCCCTCGGGACCACGCGCCCCAACCCCCGCCCAATTTAATAACAACAGATTGATAAGTTACAAAAAATGATGGCGTGCGTGACCTTTTATGTCCTCGAATCGGTCGCGCGGGAAAACAGGTTCACCTTTACGATTTTTTTGTGTCACAAACAAACCCTTTATTACATTTAAATAATCGTATTGCAATAAAAAAAATGTAATAGGCCCTACGTTTTTCGTTTTCAGACATCCCTCTCTATGCAGTACTAATCCCTCCCTTGTCATACAATGCCAGCACTCCAAAAGCAGATTCAATTTCGTTTTTGCCCTTTTGTTGGTTGGCAAATACTTTACGAAATGTTTTATTTCAGAGAAAGAAGAACCTAAACCTGAAGATGATCTCAATAACCATGAAGTAATATTTTTGAAGAGCATAGTAGAAAGCCCGGATTTTGGAAGAAGATGTGAGGTAATTAAGTAATTCTTCTTATGTAATTATTAATCATGCTTCGCTGAAAACTCAACCTATTACGAATTGTATGGATTAAGGATTAATTATTATCTGGCCATGACCATAAAATGGTCATTTATTATGGACCAAGTTGCCAGCGAAGGTTTTTTGCCGAATGCCCCACTGTGCACTTCTCATTCATGGCGTTGGGTTGGCACCATTGTCATTTTGACACATGACGTTACCTCCTTTCTAGTAATGTTATGAATGAATTAAGTAACTCTCCTTGTTATTCTAATTTAAACACTATTGCAAGACATTAAAGATTATTTTATGAAATAAATATTTGCTTTTACTACAAAATATTCTGTTAATATAACTGTCAGTCGTACAAAGCGTACGGGAGGAAGAGTGATGTTTGATGTGAAATCAAGTTTCGGCTGCCCATTGTATCAATTTCGAACGATTACTTTGTTTATAAATTATTTCTTCACCTGTACGCAACGAAATTTATTTGCATTCACTGTGACGCTCCATTAACCATCGCAGTTCAGTGCATCGACATTACTTCGCAACTTTTCATTCAAGAAACATAACAACAAGTGCCACGCCTATCGGTTTCCATATTTTGGAGTGTCGTTAAACTTGATTGGGTTAATTACTGGTGAGTGTTGTGTTTACAGTCTATAGAATCGGAGGAAGATTTGGTGGTGAAGCCCGCGTCGCTTGGCAACGTTACCATAATAAAGTCGCTGAGCGAGTACCGAGGGAACAACATTCGGACTATCGAACAAGCGGAGCTCGCGATTTTGTTGTCGCGGGTTCACTTTAGGGTAAGCCAGCCTCGAAATTAGACACGCCTACACCTTATCGTACTCTAGTATGCTGAAGATTCGAATTAGATTCTTACTGGAACAACTAGGGCGCGCCAGTTGGTTATTTTCATGTTTTACTACTTCCAATGCTCTGTACCTTTTATTACCATGAACTTTTACAATTTTAAGCCCAAATAAATGCTATTTAACCTTCCTGAATCAATGTATTTAAGTGAAAGTGATTCCTTTTCTTGCATTTTAAACAAATAATGCAATTTACAACTTTTTACAGGCACTAATAGACGCTCATGACCAAATAGGTGCCATTTGGCTTGAACGAGGTTCAGGCATCGATGAGAAAGCAGCTGTGAAGGACGAGGAGAGTAAAAACATCGCTGAAGGTGCAGACAGTCCTGAGGAGAACGGAGACATGCCAATAGAAACCGTCAAAGTAGTTGGCCTTAGAAAAGTGCCTGGACAACCATTAGGGTTAACTGTAAGTTACTTATGTTATTATTACAATAATGAAGAATTACCATAAAGGTAATTAGATAAGGAAATGAGATAGAGTTAGTTATTACTATGTTGAATAATTAACCAAGTAGGAGATGAGAGTCATAAAATTAGAGTTAAAAAATCGAATAGTTTCAATATTATTTTTATGCCCAAAATATGATATTTCTAACATACTAAAACAAGACTTATCTTATTACAATACTCCATAAACTATGTGAAAATTGGGCGGGAGATTTTAAAAAAATAATGTTTAATTTACAAAATGTTTGTCAATAACAGGTAACAACAGACGAACATGGACAGTTAATAGTAGCTAGGATATTAGCGGGTAGTGCTGCGGCCAAGCAGGCCCTGCTCTCAGTTGGAGATGTCTTGCTCGAAGTAGACGGAGTGCAGATAAACTCCGAAGACCAGCTCAAGGAGGCCGTATCTAAGCCCAATGATAGAGTATCACTCAAAGTTGGACCTAATTTAAAGGATAAGAATAATCAATTAAGCAATAAACTTACTGTAAGTATTTTCAGTATTATTCCTAGACAAAATTATATTCTATTCATGAAATTATTAGAGTTTTGTCATGTAACATTTTGCTTTTTATTTTACAGTGCTATATGAGAGCATTATTTGACTATGACCCTAAAGAAGATACATTATTGCCATGTAAGGAAATAGGATTAGAATTTAAAAGAGGAGATATTTTACAAGTAAGTATAGACAAAACTGAGAAGTACACAAAACTTTGAAACTAATCTGTAAAGGCTTTATAACTTTGAATTATTTTCACTTTATATTGCTGCTCTTATCTATACTAATACATACTAATTATGTTTTAGGTATCAGATAGAAAAGACCCCAACTGGTGGCAAGCAAGCCATGTAGAAAACCCTGAAGTTGTTGGCTTAATCCCATCGCCAGAGCTTGAGGAGCGGCGTAAGGCGTATGTGCCGCCCGAAGCCGACTTTGTGCACAAAATCAGCATTTGTGGAGCCAGGGTGAGATATTTTGTTTAGTCAAAACTTTTATATTTAGAATTTCTAATGTCTAAAAAACCAGAGGGTACTTATTAAAGCTTATTATTCTCTTCAGTAATTTACTTCTCTGTTATTTAAGATGTTATTAATATGTCGTACTTTGAATACTTTATAATTTCTGTGACAGTATAGAAAGACATTGTTTTTATAAAAACATTGCAACAAACACTGATTTTGTTGTCAAACAGATGTTTTAAGATTACAAACACAATATGCTGTATTGCATATTTTTTCAACAATGCTCTTTTCATTTCTATTTCATGCTGAGTGTATCTGAATAATGCAATTATAATTTACATCCTCCAGTGATTGTTGTTAACGGCCATTGTTTTAATATGCCCGATGAATATCAATTTAAAAGTGCATTCCTAACGCATTCCCAATGGAATCAAATCCAATTGCTGTGAGTCATGTACAATTTCACACATTAACTTTTGTTATTAGATAATGAAGAATGTTCACTAATTTTGTTTTTTAGCTTTCTGTATTCTCTGTTAAAAATAAAAAATACACGTGAAAGAATTATTTCGATACGTCAATTAGTTTCCAAGATATTGAATTTTAAAGTGCGGGCGGCGGCCAGCCCGCCATTTTATGCGCGTGACGTCATATTACAGTGACTGGCTCATATTTGTATGGGTGGAATCTTGCAAGCTGAATTAAGACCCACNCGTGATGGACCGCATTGGCCAAGCTTCTGGCCATCGAGAGACTCTGTCTATGGCTGTTAAGCAATAGCGGAAATCGTTACAGACTGGCAAGGGACCGATGATGTCAATGTGGACATGAGAAAAACGGCCTGATGGTTCATCAAAACTTCCGAGTGGTGCTGAGTTGTGCCTTGAGACCTTGCTGCGTTGGCAAGCTGCGCAAGATTGGGCCCAACGACGGCAATCTTTCTTGATAGAAGGCCAGACGTATCGGTCTGTTATGAGGCGGGATGTCGCTCGTACGCCAGGATGACTCAAGTTGTGCAGCATGTCAAATGCTGCACGACGGAATGGAGGGGTTAAATACGGCCGAGGCTTCCCAGTAGAAACATCGCAGAAAACAGCCGTGTCGCTTCCTGGAAGAATGATTTTGGAAAGTTGCAGACTAGAGGATGAAGTAGTAAGTAGGTCTGCAAGTTCCGGATCCTTGTCTTGTGATCTTGCCAGGGCTTGATGGTCTTCTTCAAACGTTATGGCTTCGATCCGCGACATGGCATCAGCTACTACGTTTTCTTCTCCTCTGATGTATTGGATGTCTGTGGTGAATTGACCAATAAAAGATAGTTGATTAAGCTGAGGTGGAGGGAGCTTTTCTCGACGCTGTGCGAACGCGTACAGAAGTGGTTTGTGGTCCGTAAAGATGGTAGTATGCTGCACTTCGAGAATGTGGCGAAAATGCTGGACACTTTCGTAGACAGCTAATAATTCTCTGTAATAAGTTGGCCACTGCGTTTGCGGTGGGCTCAACTTTTTACTGAAGAATGCGAGGGGCTGCCATTCGCCATTTATTTTCTGTTGAAGTGCTGCGCCAATGTGGGAACTGGATGCGTCAGTGAAAAGTCCAAGGGATGCATATGGAGCTGGGTGAGCTAACAAGGTTGCTTCGGTCAGGCTATTCTTGCAGTTGTGGAAAGCAAGTTCCAGGTCTTTAAATCCATCGAGTTTGGGCTCGTTCGTTTTGTATTGATGAGTACTTTAATTGTATATAGTAATCAGGGTCTAATGATGGAGCTGGAAGGTAATTCGCAAAAAAACGACACAATCGTGTAGTATGTGTATGCGCCACCCTCACACTAACATAAATTAAGACTATATATTTGACGTTGCTGCGTAAACTGACCCACTCAAATATACTAGCATCGCACAGTATACACTCTTTCATTGTCAACTCCCGGTCCCCACATTACATGGCGACCCTGCCAGTGCTGCCTTAGGGCAGTGCTGTGCAATAAAATAATAAGTTAAAATTTTAATTGGTGTTTATATAAATGGACTAAAATGAAGTAAAATCAGTGAAGAATCGGAATAAGAAGTGAATATGAAGAACAACTGAAATAAATGAAATGTCGGAGAATTTTAANTCCCAGTGAGCGGGAAAATGTGAAGTCCCGTTCCGTCAATTTTGACAGCTTGTGTCAGTGATGCGTTCAGAAATCCGAACGCCACAAGGTACTTCCCCAAAATCAAAATCAAAAAATCAAAATCAAAATCAAAAATATTTATTCAGTTTAGACCACAAGTGGCACTTATGAACGTCAATAGAAAATAATAAAAAAAAGAAAAAGGTAGCCCTTATGGGGCACTTTACATGTCTCCTTATCTTTTGGGCCCTACCAGCGCTTCGAGACAAACATATGGCAAGTGCTGAGAAGAAACGCCGGAACAAACTCAGTCTGATCATCTGACTGTATGTGAGTGACATTAATAAAGAAAAATATTATGTGATAATTGCCTTTAGCGAGCCGAGACCCGAGAGTCGTAAAGCGCAATTTTAGTTCTATCCTTCTATTGAATCCACTGTCGACTGTTGTACGTTGTACGACAGAGTAACAAAACCTTGCCTTTACTGACTCTCGTAAACCCATCAGACATGTCAGAAGCGCAAATCTAGGCTGTCTTCTTCTTCTTGAGCCTTCTAGAAACGTACCGTTGATATTGCACACCCCTAGCTTGTCGTGCGGCGCGGGCGCAGTCCGCTCGGAGGCGTGGAGCGTCGTGTTCGCCGCGCGGTGGTCTGCCGATGTCTTCATTTACCGACCATGATGATTGCTTTGGATCCGGTAAATAGTACTGCGCTCTTTAGCCATATTATAGCTGTTTTCTTTCTGTATTACGGTACTGCAATTTAGTTGGGAACTTGATTATTTTTGTTTGTTCGGATGCCGTGAGGTTCATTGATACATAGTAGAATGTATCCAGCATGACATAACGTGGAGAATTATTTACATTCTGAATGTGACATCACACGTATTTATTTTAATGGTTACAAAATGTACTTACAAAGTAGGTAGGGTCAAATGGCATTAGTAATCTTACACAAAAAAATATAATTGAGGCACGTCACGCAATTAAGTTTGTTTTTAATTAACGTCATGGCTGGCTAGATACACGTGTAAGCCCGAATATCTGGGAAATCTCCATATCTTAGACAAGTTTTTAACAATAGCTTTTCACAACAACCTTATGTTTAACTGGTACTCATACCGTACATAAGAGCTTTATCCAAAACGAAAATGACAATAATTTTCCGATTCAATTCCACCGGCATCGCCACGAGTTTCTTAGAAATACCGTGACCAGAAAGAATTACACTCCAAATTGAGCATTCTCATCATTATATTTCATAGAATACCGCCGATTTAGATGTGTTTTTTGTCCAACGCGTTCACTTATAGGCTAATGGTCTTCCTTACTTGAATCGGTATAATTATGCTTACGTAAGAAAAGACAGCACGGGACCACCCGCGTGGCGGCCGCTGGCTTTCGGACGTAGCCGAGCGTATGCGAATTCAGGTCATGTGTTGATTAGAGAAACTGGATTGGACAAATAATTGTCGTGTTTGACATGCCTCATTGGTTTTCAGTATTGTTTTGATGTTAATAAGCCACCTGACAGAACAAACAATGTCGGTTTTGTGAAGCAATTGAGCAACTCGTGACAGCCATGTCATAGCATAATTACTGGAACAAAAACTTTTAAAGTAGCGACCCTTTGAAAGAAGATATGACTGCGCTGTTTTGCCACCATGTGCATAAGTAGTAGTAAGATATGAAGCTGCATTTATATTTTAATGTCTACAACTAGGTATACATATAGAGCGTTAGACAATTGGGAAGTTCATCATTAAAACCTTACACACCGATCGCCTATAAATTACTCTTAGATTTCGATTAAGTAGGTAGTTATAAGTCATGTCTATAGTTCACAAAATTCGCTTCTATGTTGCGACTTAAGTAGTTGTCTGTACTCTAGGATCGTCTACAAAGTGCTGACGCGACCCACGACGTTATCATAATTTTCCCAGGCTCCAACGGATGCTGCCCATCTCTACACAGCAACGCTCGCACTTAACCACGCAAAGTGGCTAATCCACGCTCGAGTACCACTCTAAATAACATCCGCCAATTTCAACCTTCCTCAATCGACATAAGGATGTCGAATTTAATCTGGAGACCTCTGTAGCAAGGGTCCTCGACTGTTCACCAGGTTAAAAGCTGGTTAATCGCCTGTACGTGATTATTTTGGCGAAACTAGATGTCGCGAACTGTGGGAACGGATGCTTGTCCTCTTACGCAATATGGTAATGCACGGGGGGTACTACAGCAAAAAATTCTGCGTACAATGGCTTTTATGTGGATACTTTTTTGCGGACATTATCGACGTACAAGAGTATCCTTGGACGCGGAAACATATGTAGCATGCAGCTCTTTTGTGTAAATCCTTCGCCAGCGGCTCACGTCATCTGTCGGTTTTACGACCGAAACGGTCTAGTTTTTTCTGGCAGATTTACTAATTGTCTGGAACGCATAATAAGTTCGTCTGGCTATAAATAGAGCATTACTAAGTAAGTCCCTACCTACACAATAGATACGTACCTAGGCACATTCTCCAGATCACTCAATGAAACAATTCAACATGTCAAATCAGTGTGAAAGTTTCCTGAAACTATTTTTCAGTAGATTAATGTATCGTCGTTGTAATGGCGAGTCTGCTTTTAATAGCCTTTGTATTTATTTATTTAGAAAAAAAAATGAAATTTCTCTATATTCTCTAGGTTATTATAGTTTTTGGAGCTAGTAACTACCCTTACAAGTACTCAGGTTAGACAATATTTTCCACAAAATGTTAGCTTTTCTAAAAGTACGTACCTAGGTGACGTAAATTTTCTTCAATTTTTCTTTCACCATTGTTTCAATAGCAGAGCAGTCGTGGTCTTGCAAGAAAGGATTTTTTCCTGGCGGCTTGGTGACTGGAATTGAACCGCCACCGGTGCAAATCAGAATATTGAGAAGAAATATTAATTTGTGAAAAAAACAGCAAACGGCAACGTTACAGTCTCACCAGACTTACTTAGTCACTACGAGGCTTTAGAATAAGATCCTAAAAGTATGATTGGTCTGATCTAAAGGCATACCCGCTAAATAATATTTGTATTATTGTCTCGTCAAAGATATTACCTATACCAAATGCAACAATTTAGGTTCATGAAACAAATTCACATCTGCTCCAAGAAATGTCACAATTAAGCTATATAGACTGAAATTTCAATGAAAATCTAATCCAGACTAAGTCATCAATCCAAAAGAAGTAAGTACTTATTAATTTTTAGGGCCTACTTTTGGGTTTCACGAGCTTAAAAAGCTCTCATTGAGGGTTTGTTTATTTTACGGGTAGTAATAAAATAAAAGCAAATTGTAGAAAACAGGAATTTTATTGCCGTCTTGTATAATAAATACAACTAATATACTGATAATAATTTTACAAAACGAAACAAATGCAACAATTTTTATCTACTAATACGTGGCTAATTCAATAAATTATTATAATAACTAAAATAATTTGTAGGTACGAATTAAAATTACACAATTATTTTCTATTTTACATAATAATATTGGATACTTAATACAAGTATTGGATATACCGTATCTTATTTACATTTTTCTATTATTCTAATAATCTCACTTTGGTAAACTGTGGTTAAATGAGTTTTATTAACTTTTGTGTACTTATTTGTAGATATTATAAAAATAGGCAACACTGGTTGCGTAAAACTTACAATAATACAGGGTGACCGAAAAGTAACCTACTTATGTAGAAAAATAAAACAATAAATCCCAACTAATATTATAAATGCGAAAGTAACTCTGTCTGGTCTGTCTGTCTGTCTGTCTGTCTGTTACGCTTTCCCGCTTAAACCTCGCAACCGATTTTGATGAAATTTGGCATAGAGATAGTTTTTATCCCGGTTTTTGAAACAGGGACGCGCGCGATAAAGTTTTTCTGTGACAGACAAAATTCCACGCGGGCGAAGCCGCGGGCGGAAAGCTAGTTTAAAATAATTGGACCACGGTGCGTGCGTTAAGACAAAAGTTGTTACTTGTTTAATTTTACTAATTTTGGCGCTATTTTTGTAGGGATAACAGTCAACCTTAATATGAAAGTGTTCTACATTATTTCTATCATACATATTTATTGTCATTATTACATTTTTAAAAATACTATTGCTATGTATTTCAGGCCACTCTGTTTAGTAACAATAAAGCTTACCAAAAATGTAAACAACACACTCTCACACATACAAATTCACGTCATATAAGTAGTAGATCAGGGTTCCCAAACTATAGCGGTCATTTTGGGAACCCCTGATGAAACTAAATAAAATTACTTTTGATGCTACATAAAAAGAAAGTTGGCAATGTAAAATATAGAGGTCTATAAATTAGAATTAACATAGTTTACTAAGATCTCGAGGTCATAAAATCTGAGAAGAGGAAATTTTTATACATTTAAAAAACAATTGTTCATTTAAACATGCGTTACGATAAACAGTAAAGGTAAACGTGTTGCAATCAAATAAATCTTGGCCGTCATTCACAATAATAGAAGATTGTCTGTCATAAACTCATTAATATTCCACGCATAATCCGCAATGTCCAATGCATAATGCATTTACGGCGACATAACATTACTAACATTGTTTAGAGATGCATGGTAATAAGCGCCCATCAGTTTTATGCAAAAGGGTACAATCACCATGAGCCACATGAGTCACTGTCACCGATTGAGATCTTGTGATCTTCAGTTCTAAGAAATAACTCTTTTTATGGAAAAAAAGGTTTTTTTCTCATTAATTCTCGAGTAAAGTCTCGGAATTTTTAATTATATAGAGCTCCTAAAATCAAGTAGGTACATTATTAATTGGACTGAAACTTACACGTCTGATTCTAGAAGTCGAATAGTTATTGATAAACTTTACTAAACTATATCAAATTCATACATAAAATACAACTCAAATGTATCTGTCAACGTGAATTGTGAACTCGGTCAGTTTATAATATAACGCGTGAGATTGCAAACTAACAAAGGTTAAGTTAGATTTTAATCTAATTACGTCAGATCTGACCAAATCTACAATTTTACGGTGACATATCTAAAAAAAATAGTAAATTCATTGCTGAATACCACAGCATGCGGCGTGATAAGACTTTTAAGCTAACATTTTCAGCCGTTGTAACTGTGTTTATAGCGCACTTGATAATGAGTGATTAGTAATTACACAATATTACAGATCTGCCCTGGTTTCTTTAGATAACAAGTACCACAGGCCTTGTGGAAACCGGTCCACACTTCTTCATTACGTGAGTACTGAACAAGCAACTTAGCACGATGGAAAATACCTTGACTTGATTGTAAATAATACATTGTATCAATGTAGAGTTCGTGAAACGTGTCATAATAATTTAATAATGTTAGGCCGATAGTTACCAAAAATATTTTGAAATAAAGAAAATTTTCTTCTAGGTTACAAATTATGTCTTTCCATTTTCGGTTTAGTACCTTGAGCTTATATTGAGGGAAATAAAAAAAATATTTACACAAAAACTCGCTTTTTACCAATTCTACGAAAAGCAATCAGTCCGTGATTGACATATAGAAACAGAGGTTCTGGAAAACATGTCAGGAATCTTGAGAGCGACCAGTCATACTCGTTCAATTAAAGTGCAAAAGTTACAACTCACTTGGTCAAAATGGTAGTTATTTTACTTTTAAAATTCCATGACTTCATTGATGGAAAATACTTTCTTTACATGACTGCTGAAGTGCCGATCTATCAACACATAACTCAAACCACGAAATACATTGCGTTAGCACTCAGATAGGATGAGGTAAGCATCCGCTAAGAAACTTAAAAAAAAAGAAAGAAAAGAAAGGTGATGAAAAGTTTAAACCGAGCGAAACTGCGGCAGGCAAACAATAAATTAAAACTAAGCGCGTTTATAAAATAAGAAGTATTCGTCTTAAGAATGCAAAGAAAAACCTCTTGAACAAGATCATTAAAATTAATTAATAATCAAGCAAAATGTTAAAGGATATTTACCGACTATTAATCTTGGTACCTACTTGCGTCAAAGAAGGCCCGACTGCTGATAAATCGTGAAACGTACAGCAAGAATCCGACTCACGAGAAGTCACTACACACTAATACATCTAAAATGCCAAAATAAATGCTACAAACGGCTATTAATTAATGAAGTTAGTCAAACGATTTCAGAAACGCGGCCGACGCTCTGAACGGATGTCGGAAAAAAGTCAACCCGAGTCTAGTGAGGTGTAGGATCGACAACTAATATTTAATTAACTATCGATATTGGATATGTAGAACACTTAATCAGATGATGAAGATGAAAATAAGAGTTATGTATAATTTACATGGAAGATGAAGTTGTATGACAGTATGTTTTTAAGATTTAACAGCTCGAGGCTATGAGACTGGAAACCCATGGCGCGATGTCAGTTGGCAACTGTCACATCGTAAAATGCTTGTATATTTTATTAAGTTACGACGATGCATGTCGATGAAAACTGTCAAACCCCAATATCCTCATCCCCTAATCAAAGTCAAATTCAAAATCATTTAAGATCATCGTTATTCCCGCTATCGACTGCACAGCTGCAGCAACACTGAACTGAACGTGTCGCCTCCCGCTCGCCACTCCGCGATTAGCTTCGCGACGGAATTAGCTACCGACCCACTATGTCATTAGGACATCTACTTCCCTGTACCACGACACTTGGCAGGATAATGCTCAATCGGTTGGTATTGGTACCTTGAGGTACTGAAAATTGAGGGGAAAACCTAGGCTTTGTGATACAAGTCTCTCAAGGCTCTCAAGATAAAGGTGTCAAGTTAGAGGTAATAGTTAGTAGTAAAATAGTTTAGAATCAATTGACTGATTAAGGCAATTTAATATAATGATAAATTTGGGCATGATCAAAAAGTTTGCGCCATCGCAATGACCAATTTTGTAGTAAATTTTCACTTCGACCTAGAATTAGAAATATTTTGCTGAAAAAGACATGATGCCATGATGACTTTAAGTTCATATTTACGCTATTTTTCAGTTGTTTTAAAATACTAATTGCAGAAACCTAGCACAAATCCGTAGAATTTTTTTTTAGTATGGCAATGGCCACACAGTTTAATCTGCTTTACCTTATTGCCTCTAATTATTTCCATCGCAAACTTTATTTAGATTAGTAGTTTACAAATAAATGCTACTCTAAACTAGGTTAGGTTAAAATTATTTTGTACTTTGTACCTCCAATAGCCACTTTAGTGCAGAGCAGACCGTTTCACGTTTATAAACAACCAAATCGAAACATTGAGCAAATTCTAAACAAGCGTATTTGGCAACATGAAGTCGGTTTCCATGAAATGAATCACAAGAATTTAAACAAATATTTAGGTCTAGAAATAATCTCATTGTCTTTAATGAAATCATCTTTTGCAAGGAGATATTTTGTTTGATGATGGTTCTTCTATTTCATTGATTTCATCGGTACACTCCCATACATTATATGATAGATAGATATTATATAGCAGGCTCTATGTACGAGTATTTGGTAATCAAAATACCAATTTTCAAAAAGACATTAAACGTCGTGGTGTTATTGTTTCAGCCTTCATCGATTACCCTAGAATTGTCCGTAAGCTAATGATCTACATCACCAATGTCTACGAATCTTAGGCCTCGTCTCCACCCCATAAACCACGAGGGCCAGCAGACCGCGTCAAAGCTGGCATGGTGGAGACGATAGATCAATCGCTGCGGCCCGCATTTGTCACCGGACCACCGGCGCAGCGGGCCGTATTTATAGCCGCCCGCGCAGCCGTGGGCGGCACACCAGATACATTTAGCCTACGCTCGAAACAATGATCCAGTAGATTTTTCGACAATTTTTATAGCTACAGGTACAGCTATAAACTATTTTACCAGTTCGAAGCCAGAATTGCTTCACGGTTGACGATTTGTGAAGCGGTCTGCTCTACAGAATCACTTAATCCAACTTAATCTACTCTAACGATTTACTTTCACACACTCACAAACAAAACCCCACACAACGTACCTACTTACTTTTACACTCGCAATTTCACAAATGGCTATGATAAAACGTTTACGCTTACAGAATACTGAAATTTACATATTTACAATGTATTTTATACTACTGACATACTTAAGTTACACGATAACCTCTTATTGTCGTTCACTTGGAATAGCCTCGCAATGGAACTGAATCAACAATAAGACTTAACTGATAATTTAAAATATTGGAATAGCCTGCTATCTTATGCTAAACGCAAGAACAGCACTCGAAAAGAAAAGAGACCACGATATGGCAATGGTTGGTGCCGCCCCTGGGACGACTTCATTTTCTAAGTATTTGTGGTGCTTCGGCACGTGCCCCCTTTCGTGGTTCTTTCGATTTCGTGGTTCGTGGTGAGACTTGCTAAAGCACAACCTATCCAGATTATTCTGCATCCTCGGGCAGTCATAGTCCTCGTAACCGTCGCACTGACACGTGGTTAACGGTGCTGCTTTCTCCTGCTTCATCAATATTTTTATGGAGTTCCGGCATTTTTTCGAGCACTTTCTACCTTTGAACATGGATTTGCACAACTGCTTGTAGTAGCCCAGCGCTGCGGCGCATTGGGCATCCGCCATGCACACCAGCTGGGATAGTCGGCAAGAGGATGTAACGTTCGCAGCCCCTTTTAAAACTTGGGGCCTGCACACGTCGATTCGCTTCCTCGCTTGCTCGCAGTACTGATCCTCACATTGACACTGGAACAATAGAAAATCAGTCAGTTCAAACAGTCATCTATTTTTACGCAACCAATATAATAAAAATTCAAGCTAGGTATATCATAAATTGTAACGGCCCGTAGCGTGTATAATAACTTTTCACGCTCGTAAAAGTTTTTTTACGATGGCCAGAAACATTCTGGGCGCTAACAAAATGTTTAGTTTTCGTAAAGTCTCAATAAATGCCACGCGTATTTTCTCAGTTTTGTAATAGATATTCATTGGGATTATACTTCCAAATGCTAGAGCAGCATTCCACGATTGTTAATGAGTAAATATTTGCATAAGCGACGAATTATAGCCGTATAAAGTTTATCGAATCGAAATAAATATCTTAGCTCGGGAATTACAGACGGATGTTCAAACGGTGATCAGAATAAAAGAAAAGCAATTTCATAGTTGTTAGGCGTTGCTAATGTGTTGTGTTGGTAATGTACCGCATAGGTCAATTTAATGGTCATCTAAGTTCGTGGTGAGCTCGCAGTAGCCGCCGAGTTACGCCGCGTTTTTTGTGGGGGCAACACCTGCGCAAGAGTCGCGCCGCGGTAGGTCCCGATCAAGACGTCAAATCTCAAGGTTGAGGCCGCTCCTTCGCCTTTCGATACATATTGCCCAACCGTCGTACTATAATCACACCGCTACGATATAATTAAGGGCCAACCTGTTTTCGGTTTGCTCTGTTATCTTGTAATAGACGGAGTGTATTAACCAGCTGTTCCGTTTGTACTGTTTTCATGTTAATGGTTATTTAATTAAGAGGTTGCCAAAGCCTTTCGTTTCAGCTTTCTGCGAATCCTCGTAAATATGCAACGGATGAATATCTGTTGTTGTAACATATTTTCTGTGTTGAATATGCACCTGCTCTCGCAGGGAGGTCTGAGTCATGACTTTTAGTCTATATCTTTTTGCTTCGATACTAATACTAACATAACCTTAATACCTACATGCCATACTACTTCTTCTTCTGTGGGGTGTAGCATCTGAAGCCACAGCCCTAATTCAAATTATTTAGTATATTAGGCCATTTTCAGAGCACTTATAGGTAGGTACACGTCCCAAATAGGTATGTAAAGCCTGCCCTACCACAATTTCGAACACAATATTGGCTGGTGCTGAGAAGAAGTAGCGAAAGAAACTCAGTCACCTTTATAACATGTCTGTCCTTTTTTATAGTAGTACCATTTCGATCTAATACATCGTATTAGATGTTTGTTAATTGTTACTAACTTCATGCACAAAATAAGTGAACTAACTTTAATTAACCAAAAATTCTTATCCGCGTTTTAAAACTGCAAGTGCTCTGCTAACTTAAATGCTCACTATCTCAAAATAAAATACGCAATAAATAAACCAATGATTTCAAATTAAATCACATCATATCTATTTTATTGCATGTACATAATTACTTAGGTAACACTTCGTTATCAGTCCATTTGACCTCAAGATCACTAAACTGGACCGCAAATCGAGCGTATCTTGTTTTTTATGAGATAAAATTGTGTAGTGGGTAGCGGGAGTCTTCATTCATTAATATTTTTTACAATTTAGGTATTATACTTTACATCACATTGAAAGACAAAAACGATCGTCATATATTTACCCGACTGCGCCAGAAGGAGGGTTATTTAGATCTTTTATTTGGTTGATACTACTTACTGAACTGAATGAGAATGCCTTATGGCATTAAGTTCGCCTAATGTTAATATTTTTGGCATTGAAGTATAAATAAATAAATAAATAAATACTGAACAATTATGCTGGGTTGCAAATCTTACTTTAACTTTAATTAACAATCGTGAAAATATTGTCAAACTCCACAGTAAAAATACCAGATACTGAAATTGTTACCGTTAAAGTAAGGTGCTGCAATTCAGCCTTTCTCTATATTCTTTAAAATCTTTCTTCAATTAACAAAACCAACGACAGCTATCATAAATCATTTATCAGCTATAATAAGATCGTTTTTATTTCTAATTTCTGATATAAATCGTGATTTTATTCACACAATATGCTTTGTAGTTTTTCCTTCCAACGTCATAGCACCTACGCTTTCTCATTTATTAAACTCTAGTCTGTCAATTTTCCCAGTTGTACTAAGAATTTTAAAAATGAAACAAGTGATATTTTTCAAAAAAATATCATTCAGTGTAGCGACTTTAGCAATTGAAAATAATTTTCAGTCGTGACAAATGTTGATGGGACATCTTGTAACATTATTTATCAACAATGTAGTAAACGAGTATAATAAATTAAAAAATAAGTTCGGATAGAATTCTACACTGAAGTTATAAAACCCATCAACTACTTACCTCTGACTCACTTACCAAATGAAAAGTTAATACGTATTATTAAACTTTTTTTTAATTGGCGTTCTTCTACTAATCCAAATTCAAAACTAGCCAGGTTCATTGCATTATGCAGTTGCCGAGGTCGTCAACCTTCATTTCGGGTGCCCGTCGCTGAGTCCCGACAAATCTGCTCGACGTCTAAATTAGATTTTATTGCGGGCGTCTGTACCGGAGCGCCAACGCATCTGGACCCCTACGCGGTGAAAACAAATGCACAGCGATAAAAATTCAAAATTCGAACTGGAATAGTCTGGGTCTTTCTTGTAAAAAAAAACTTGAAAAATCCTTTTTTCACATATTTGCGGCCAGTGTTTTGTTTAATTAGACTTAAGGATGGACTTTAATGAAAGAATCAAAACAACTATTCACTGAAATATTACTGGCATAGCAACAAGTCACAATCATGTAATGTACTTATATAGCCTGACCAGGAACATAAAAACCCTCGCCATGTTGCGGAAAACTAATGGTACTAATTTATTTTAATGGCAACAGTAACTGAAAACTTCATTGACATGTCACCTTGCATGTCAGTCTATTGCTGTCAAAGTGTAAACAAACTTTATTTTAAATGTGCGCAATTGATTTTGTGAATTAAATTGCTAAAATCTTTTTATAGTCGTGAAAGAAAAGTGGTTCACAATGTGTAAAGTATTTGTCGAAGAGAAATACTAAGGGTTCGGACAATATTTTCATTGAATAATGTTTCCGACAAAGGTTGTCAAATTGACTGACATGTTTATCGTATAGTACAGTCCACTATGAAAATTAAGAGTGGTTTGTTTCAAATACCTATTTTAAAGTTTTTTGTCACTTTCTAAGTGTTGAATTTTATGGAATTGGGAAAGAAGTACCGAGTTTGAAGCGTTCATGAGCAGACATTGCAGTTGAATATTCAAGTTCTGAATTTGATTATTGATGAATAATGAAATAAATCATACTAACTCGATTGATGGTTTCATTTAATTTATTTAAACCAGGTTACCATAATAATATTTTTTCGATAATTTATGAAAATATCAAATTAGCTCGTAATCCTGAATCCTGATAAATAAAGTTAGCCTATTAATTTAACACAGGTACGACTGTACTCAGTGTTGCACTATCAAATGCAATTGACGCGCCTCTATGCCAGGGTTTTTATGTTCCTGGTCAGGCTATACCTACTACAAACGTATTATCCGTAGTTTATGTCTCTATATGGGTCATTCTATAAAAATCTGTATATTTTCGACGTCATTTTGTCCGTAACTTTTTTAAGATGCTTTTGAATACTTTATTAGTGTAAATTATAGTTTATTAATTAATTATGTTATGTCTAAAAGGGCCAGTCACTTTATGCTTTATTTTAGGAGAAATTATAATTTTCAATTTTTTCATACTGCATTACTCCTATATGACTTCTAATAAAGTATAAAACTTATAACCTTAACATTTATTGCTTGGCTTAAAGCTAACTTACTCGTAGGTTCATATAATTTGTAACTTTTCTCTATGATGTAAAATTCAATCCAAACTTTGATCATACATAATGCTTAAAAATATAAAATATCATCTTTAAACCAAACCGTCTTACATTTCCATCCGTATTTTGCTATCTCAAAACTAACTTAAAAGGCCTTACGGTAAAACAGACTGTGCACCTAACCAGACAAAATTCAGAGTTCTCATTCAACTGGTCACCCCTCAATTGAGTAAGTTGCCTGTAAACAAGCCACGATGGAGCCACTTTGACAACTGAACTTTGGCTGACTGCTCAATTTATAACGCAAATGAGATGCACATAGTGACGTGTGAAGCTAACAATTGGAGCCAATTGGCGACTTATTCTTTTCAACGTTTGAGCGACCGTAACACAATTTGTTACAATCAAACCATTGAGCCAATTCAAAATCAAGACAAATAATTTGAATCCTGTTACTTGAATTGAAGAAAGTGGCTTCAAATGCAAATTTTATTCAGAAGATATACTACCTACCTACTCGTAATATCACAAAATTACTATTATGTTAGTGTAAAGCCAAGCGTCTTGACTTTTGATCTTGTGTCTATTGAACCTAATCAACCATCACTTTGTTACTTTGTTTCAATTTATAAATAGTTTTTATATTAGCAATTTCAGAATACATACAACGAAAATAATAATTTATTTGTGTCTTATCAATTTTTAAATTGTCGCTATAGGCAAAGAAAAACACGTGCGGTCTATTAGCCCATGAAACCTTAAATTAAATTGACCTTTAACTTACTTCACTTTCTCTCGATAACTTTATTATTTATTAAGAGTGGACAACTATTATAACGGACTGATACGAGTATGACTTCAATAATGTCATTAGCAATTCACAACTACATACTCGGTTAATTTTCTTAACATTAACATACATACTTACCATTTTACTTGTACTTATTGACATACTCGGCAGTGGGCAGTATTTTAGTTAAAGTAACGAACTTTGTTTTACTGAATATACTCACATTCATCAGATCCTTTCCCTCCGCAGTAGAAGTCAACGCAATCAGCGCGTACTCGCACGCCTCCGTATACTTGGCGTCAGTCTCCACCAGCACGTCGTTGCACATCATCTCATAGTTCTGCAGTTGGGCGCCGCAGCCGGCGCGGTAGGCGCAGCGATCGTTGTGGAAATCTTTGAGGGAGGCCTTTGTCCAGTAATAGACAGTCTTTTAGTTAAAACTAACGAACTATGAATATACTTACATTCATCAAATCCTTCCCCTTTACAGTCGACGTGAGCGCAATCAGCGCATACTCGCACGCCGCAGTACATTTGGCGTTAGTCTCTACCAGCACGTCATTGCACATCATCTCGTAGTTCTGCAGCGCGGCGCCACAGCCAGCGCTAGCAGCGCAGCCGATCATTGTGGAATTCTTTGAGGGATACCTTTATCCAGTAATGGACAGTCTTTTAGTTAAAACTATGAATATACTTACATTCATCAGATCCTTCCCCTCTACAGTCGACGTGAGCGCAATCAGCGCATACTCGTACGCCTCAGTACACTTGGCGTCAGTCTCCACCAGCACGTCGTTGCACATCATCTCGTAGTTCTGCAGCGCGGTGCCTCAGCCGGTGCTATAGCGCCAGCAGCGCAGCCGATCGTTGTGGAAATCACTGGATAGTTTTTAACTAACAAACTATAGTATTTTACTGAATATACTCACATTCATCAGATCCTTCCCTTCAACAGTCGACGTGAGCGCAATCAGCGCATACTCGCACGCCTCAGTACACTTGGCGTCAGTCTCCACCAGCACGTCGTTGCACATCATCTCGTAGTTCTGCAGCGCGGCGCCGCAGCCGGCGCTGGCAGCACAGCCGATTGTTGTGGAAATCTTTGAGGGAGGCCTTTGTCCAGTAGTGGACAGTCTTTTAGTTAAAACTATGAATATACTTACATTCATCAGATCCTTCCCCTCTACAGTCGACGTGAGCGCAATCAGTGCATACTCGCACGCCTCCGTACACTTGGCGTCAGTCTCCACCAGCACGTCATTGCACATCATCTCGTAGTTCTGCAGCGCGGCGCCGCAGCCGGCGCGGTAGGCGCAGCGCATCTGCGCCTCTTGGCAGCGCAGCGCGTCTGCAGCCGCGGCCAGCAGCACCGCGGCCACCAGCCACATCACCTGCAGGCAAAAATGGACGTTCTTAGACTCTATTTAGGGAATACAAGGGTGAAAGTCTTCGCGGATACCATCATTATATCGTTTCTAGAGCAAATAAAAGTATTGATTAGAAAAATAGAGACGTGTCCTCTAGCCATATTGGCCGATTAAAAATTACCCAATTACATAGAAGTCATTATTTAAATAGGATCCAGGAATATGAGGGTAATAACCCTCTACACGAATACCACTAATTTCCAAAACTACCAGCTACATCACCTGCAGACAATAATACCTAGTAAGACTCTATGGAAGGAAAACGAATGGTGAAAGCCACCAGCTCGCACTAAACGTTTCGATAACTCTTTTATAATGCGAACAGCTAGGTAGGGACTGGAATTCGCTGCCTACTGCTGTCATTCCTGAACACTATAACTCGACTTGGCGTGGGCACTGCCGTGCCCCCAGATCCGAACCTCTCTGCGTAGATGGACTAACTTCCGAAGCACATGATTGAGATGAATTTCATTAAATACAACTCCTATCTAAACATAAAGCACTCCAGATCCAGATAGCCCGCCAAAAGCAAATACTTACTTAGTAGATATTTTTGACAAAACAAGTACCTAGGTAGGTAAGTCTGGGAAAGGATTACATAGAGACGTTCGGTGACTTTTGTCGGGTCACCAGACACAATCGACAATTGGCAATAAACAAGTTCTCCGCTCAATCTCTGACAATGCTAACGGCCCGTTTGAGTGATGGGTTTTTAACAATGTGCCACCAAACGCACGGACGACTCGGCCNTTTCAAGTCCGTACTTCAATTTTAAAGGTACTTTGTTCGCCCCAGTAGGTCGATCGGTCGTCCCCGTAGAAATGCCCAAAATTCAATCCAAACTTTGATCATACATAATGCTTAAAAATATAAAATATCATCTTTAAACCAAACCGTCTTACATTTCCATCCGTAGTTTGCTATCTCAAAACTAACTTAAAAGGCCTTACGGTAAAACAGACTGTGCACCTAACCAGACAAAATTCAGAGTTCTCATTCAACTGGTCACCCCTCAATTGAGTAAGTTGCCTGTAAACAAGCCACGATGGAGCCACTTTGACAACTGAACTTTGCCTGACTGCTCAATTTATAACGCAAATGAGATGCACATAGTGACGTGTGAAGCTAACAATTGGAGCCAATTGGCGACTTGTTCTTTTCAACGTTTGAGCGACCGTAACACAATTTGTTACAATCAAACCATTGAGCCAATTCAAAATCAAGACAAATAATTTGAATCCTGTTACTTGAATTGAAGAAAGTGGCTTTAAATGAAAATTTTGTTCAGAAGATATACCTACTCTTATATCACAAATTACTAATAAGTGACTGTAAAATCAAGCGTCTTGACTTTTGATCATGTGTCTATTGAACCTGATCAACAAATATTCTGTTACATCGTTTCAATTTATAAACAGTTTTTTAAATTAACAATTTCAGAATTACATACCTACTAAAATAATACTTTATTGGTATCTTATCAATTTTTTAAATTGTCCGTAGACAAAGGAAAACGCAGCCTACAGCCCTCGAAACCTTAAATTAAACTGACCTTTACCTTACTTTACTTTCTCTCGATAACTTAATTATTTATTAAGAGTGGATAACTATATTATTATACGGACTGATACGCGTATGACTTCAATAATGTCATTAGCAATTCATAACTATGTAAATATGTTCTCGGTTAATTTTCTTAACATTAACATACTTACCATTTTACTTCCTAATTCATATACTCGGCAGTGGACAGTATTTTAGTTAAAGTAACGAACTTTGTTTTACTGAATATACTCACATTCATCAGATCCTTCCCCTCTGCGGTCGATGTCAATGCAATCAGCGCATACTCGCACGCCTCAGTACACTTGGCATCAGTCTCCACCAGTACATCGTTGCACATCATCTCGTAGTTCTGCAGCGCTTCGCGGCAGCCGGCGCTGGCAGCGCAGCGATCATTGTGGAAATCACTGGACAGTCTTTCAGTTAAAAGTAACGAACTATAGCTTTTTACTGAATATACTCACATTCATCAGATCCTTCCCCTCTACAGTCGACGTCAGCGCTATCAGCGCGTACTCACACGCCTCAGTACACTTGGCGTCAGTCTCCACCAGTACGTCGTTGCACATCATCTCGTAGTTTTGCAGCGCGGCGCCGCAGCCGGCGCGGTAGGCGCAGCGATCTTTGTGGAAATCTTTGAGGGTGGCCTTTGCCCAGTAATAGACAGTATTTTAGTTAAAACTAACGAACTATGAATATACTTACATTCATCAAATCTTTCCCCTCTGCGGTCGATGTCAACGCAATCAGCGCGTACTCGCACGCCTCAGTACACTTGGCGTCAGTCTCCACCAGTACGTCGTTGCACATCATCTCGTAGTTCTGCAGCGCGGCGCCGCAGCCAGCGCGGTAGGCGCAGCGATCATTGTGGAAATCTTTTAGGGAGACCTTTTTCCAGCAGTTAAAACTAACGAACTATAGTATTAAGTACACTGAATATACTCACATTCATCAAATCCTTCCCCTCTACAGTCGACGTGAGCGCAATCAGCGCATACTCGCACGCCTCCGTACACTTGGCGTCAGTCTCCACCAGTACGTCGTTGCACATCATCTCGTAGTTCTGCAGCGCGGCGCCGCAGCCGGCGCTGGCAGTGTAGCCGATCATTGTGGAAATTTTTGAGGGAGGCCTTTGTCCAGCAGTTAAAACTAACGAACTATAGTATTAAGTACACTGAATATACTCACATTCATCAGATCCTTCCCCTCCGCGGTCGATGTCAAAGCAATCAGCGCATACTCGCACGCCTCAGTACACTTGGCGTCAGTCTCTACCAGCACGTCATTGCACATCATCTCATAGTTCTGTAGCGCGGCGCCGCAGCCGGCGCAGTAGGCGCAGCGATCGTTGTGGAAATCTTTTAGGGAGACCTTTTTCCAGCAGTTAAAACTAACGAACTATTGTATTAAGTAGACTGAATATACTCACATTCATCAAATCCTTCCCCTCTACAGTCGACGTGAGCGCAATCAGCGCATACTCGCACGCCTCAGTACACTTGGCGTCAGTCTCCAACAGCACGTCATTGCACATCATCTCGTAGTTCTGCAGCGCGGCGCCGCAGCCGGCGCGGTAGGCGCAGCAATCGTTGTGGCAATCTTTGAGGGAGACCTTTGTCCAGCAGAGGACAGTCTTTTGGTTAAAACTAACGAACTTCAGTATCTTTCTAAATTTACTCACATTCATCAGATCCTTCCCCTCTGCAGTCGACGTCAGCGCTATCAGCGCATACTCGCACGCCTCCGTACACTTGGCGTCAGTCTCCACCAGTAGGTACGTCGTTGCACATCATCTCGTAGTTCCGCAGCGCGGCGCCGCAGCCAGTGCGGTAGGCGCAGCGATCGTTGTGGAAATCACTGGACAGTCTTTTAGTTAAAACTAACAAACTATAGTATTTTACTAAATATACTCACATTCATCAGATCCTTCCCCTCTACAGTCGACGTCAGCGCTATCAGCGCATACTCGCACGCCTCAGTACACTTGGCATCTGTCTCCACCAGCACGTCGTTGCACATCATCTCGTAGTTCTGCAGCGCGGCGCCGCAGCCGGCGCGGTAGGCGCAGCGCATCTGCGCCTCTTGGCAGCGCAGCGCGTCTGCAGCCGCGGCCAGCAGCACCGCGGCCACCAGCCACATCACCTGCAGGCAAAAATGGACTATGTTAGACTCCATAGAAGAAATACAAGGGCAAAAATCCTCTGTGTAGATATGGGACTCTACGTCGCCATAGCATTTGATGCCAAGGCCATAAACCACATCACCTGCAGAGGAATTTAGTTTAGACCAAAGTGAAAATCATTTGCGCGGATACCATTACTAATGTGTATAGTATACTGTTTCTAGATCAAATTAGAATCTCGATAATAGAAATAATAGACTGGGATGCATGGAAGGAATATGAGAGTGATAACCTGCGCGAATACCACTAACTTCCACAACTAAGTACCAGCTACATCACCTGCAGACAATAATACCCAATAAGACTCCATGGAAGGAAATCGAATGGTGAAAGCCATCAGCTCGCACTAAACGTTTCGATAACTCTTTTATAATGCGAACAGCTAGGGACTGGAATTCGCTGCCTACTGCTATCTTTCCCGAACATTATAATCCGAGCCTCTCTGCGTAGATGGACTAACTTCCGAAGCACATGATTGAGATGAATTTCATTAAATACAACTCCTATCTAAACATAAAGCTCTCCAGATCCAGATAGCCCGCCAAAAGCAAATAATAGGTATTTTTGACAAAACAAGTACCTAGGTAGATCAGTCTGGGAAAGGGTTACATAGAGACGTTAGGTAACTTTTGTCGGGTCACCAGACACAATCGACAATTGGCAATAAACAAGTTCTCCGCTCAATCTCTGACAATGCTAACGGCCTGTTTGAGTGATGGGTTTTTAACAATGTGCCACCAAACGCACGGACGTCTCTGTTANACTCGGCCGACGTTTTCTTCCGGCGGACGACTGGCGCCTACGCTTTGCTAGGAGATATTAGTTACTAGACAATAAAGATAAACTATTCGATTGTCTTATTATGGGAATAACTTAACTACGTTGTTAAGTTTTTAATTTGTTCGTCATGGTAATAGTGACATCATGATAGAATAGAATAGAAAACTTTTTATTTGCAAGAAAGGTATACAAGCAGGTAAGACATAGATTAAAACAGAGAGAAATAAACAAGTGGACAATTAACTACTTGTGCCCCTCTGACAAAAAGGCACCCGCTCAGCATACATCAAGACCGCCAGGGCTTGTCTTGAAACTGATGAAGACTGATCAATAGCTTTAACGGCAGCCTAGATTTACAAAGTAGATACTATGGTTAAGCTAAAAACCCCATTTAGCCATCTAGCTAGGTGTTTTGGTTGTTTGTCATTCTTAATTATCTTACCATGACAAAGTTAACGGGTAAGTACTTATACTGTCTGTCTATCCTATCTAAAAAGATTCTTTAAAGGCTGACTGGGACTATAATTATTCTCATACAAGAGAACTCTTTCTATAAACAGAAACCCACAACGATACTAACATCAAACAAGGTAAAAACTTATCATAAACACAAGCCTGATAAAGAACAACAATAGGAAATTATGAAAACAGATTCCGCGAAGCTGGGCCGGTCGGACGCTGGTTTGATTTCCAGGAAGGAGGGCTCTCCGGAACACAAACAGAATCGCCCCACGTCCTCGCCACTAGCTACCAACTTACACGTTACCGTAACACAGGTTAGGGGTGACAGTTTTGTAAAAAACAAAAAACAAAACTGGTGACTGTTTCTTGCGATGCTTCTTCTCAGCAATGGCCCATTTATTGTTACACAGTGGTAGGGTTAAAGTAAGGGATATGTATAAGTGTTTTAAATTCGTAAAGAGCACATCGAAATCTATATAAATAATAATTTTCATTACTCCCGGAAAACTTTCCAGGTAAAGCCATTATTTTGTTCAAATGACTGGACTATTTTCTAAAAATGGAATGTTTCCGATTATTTCGTTGGGTAAACCTAATCATTATTATTAATGGGTTGGTAGAGGCACCTCTTGAATTTAGGTGTACTTATCAAGAATCTCATATTTGGAAACATGAAATATGTGTACCGTATTAATATGATAGGATAGGATAAAAAATATTATACCAGCACTGTGACTAAACTAATTTATTGAAGATGCATAACAACATGCAACAACTTTGTATTCTTACCTGTATCTACTTTGACAGCCCTAACAAATAGAGACGAGAGCACGGGTCGTCGCCCGGCGAAGAGCAGCCGATGCAAAAAGAAAACAATGTGACAACTTAAGATGTCCACCAATCGACTCCCGCGCACCGAGTGTTACATTACAATAACAATAGCTTGCTGCCTTCCAAACTCGACGTTATTACCATCACAATAAGAGCCATTCGAGATAAGAGGCCTCAAGCACGTTCCATGTTGGTTTAGTTAATTAAATTACGTTACGTACGAGACACAATTGTGTGTAAATAGAGGCTCTCGAGTCTGAGATTTAGTCGAGTGCGTTTATTATGGCCATGAAAATATACTCGACGATATTTTACTAAGCATTTAAATAAACTTCCCAGTCTAGTTTATGCTAACATGAGTTCATAAAAGACGTGGACACAGCAGGATAATACTTAAACTTATCTAGTCATTTTGTAAACAAGTTGTTATGCTAAAAAATTACACTATCCACATTTTACATTTCATAATCTTTATTAGGTTGTTGAGTGCGTATTGACTCTACATGCAACAATAACAATAATAACAACGTCTACAATCCTACTCAATCAATAAGCGTAATCATTTTACAAGTAGGTCAAGATAGTCAAATTAGATTAACCAGTACATGTTCGACAAAGCTTGACTCTATCAATCACAGTTCCCTCATCAGTCAAACAAAAACCTACGCCTAAATAAGTCGTGTCCTATTCATCATCCCATGTCGACGCGTGGCGGTTCCACAACCACCTCTTACTCCATCTAATGGATGCCGCATGTCGAAGATAAAATCTAAGGTCAATATTCAAGGGAACTTGTGCTCCGAACGTGACAAAACAGATAATGCCATATGAAGACTTTGGCACCGCGGCTTTACTCACGATCTGTAAACAACGTGACCAAACTTCTAGGTTCTACAAAAGTGTCCCCATTGACACGGGTATTCATGCACCACGAGCATAGATTTTCTATTGACATTTCGAAAATATGGCATCATTTTACTATGAGGAAATTTCAAATCATTCATTTTCATAAATTCGAACACCTTTTCAGAGGCAGGCACTGCAGCAAGCTTAATAGCTTATATGTAAGCACTTCACGCTTTTGCTCTAGTCTATCTACAACCGTCTCTTAAACCATCGATTTCATTCGAGATGTGACATTGCTTTTTCTGATTGATAAATACCATCCTACTTACATGTGAACCAAGGAAGTATTGGTTGGTAAAGCCTAAGGATGGGTTGCACCATCTTACTTTAACTTTAACAAAAGTCAAAAATGTGTCAAACTTCATACAAAAAATACCGGCTATCGTCAAAGTTATGTGCCAGTGCAACTCTGCCTTAAAATTTTAAATGATCGCTGGCGGTTTTCCAATTTGATTCACAGATAGGCAAAAATTTACCTTTAATACTTTTATAAGAAATAAATTTAGCTCCAGGCAATATCTCTCTAATTCTAAGGAGAAAAAAAACAGCCATTTGAGCCGCATCGCGACACATTTCCACATTCGACGTCAACGGTTAGCGGGTAGGTGTGAAAAGCCAGTAATTGCAGCACACACAGACCAGCCGCTCGGACACGTTACGAAAAGCACATAACTGGGAACTATGACGAAATGTTACACTTCTCGGAGAGCGCATGCGCGAGAAAACTATTATGTCTCATGATGAGTTGACATAACGTTTCTTGGACCAGATAACGTGTATTTTTATACCATTTTCTGGTTTGGTATGGCAACATTTATTACAACCAAAAGACAAGAAACAAGAACTTTTTCCGCATCAGGACGTCCACTGCTGGACAAAGGCCTGCCCCAAGAATTTTCACAACCACCGGTCTTGCCCACATCCAGGCACTAACAGGCACATTATAACATGATTTCTACCAAATCTATTTTTTATTTCTTGTGATTCTATGCTTTAAAATGTTCATGTCCGAATAGTTTTGAATGTTTACAATTTAACATTAAAGTTAAATAGGTATGTAGAGCAGTAACAGTCTCTACCCCTACATTCTCAGTCATTTCCTAACCGATTATGGAGTTTCGGCTTCCTTTACCCGCTACTAACACCATGACAAATACAGCCCTAGCTGCATAGCCTGCACTTTAAGTGAAGAATAAATTTGCTACAAGTAAACCTCGTTCATTTCTCACCCTTATAACGTGGGGATAAGGTGTATTTTACCACTGGTTAAAAACCTGCGCCTGCGCTAAGCAAGAGGGTAATCACTGGACTTATTATTGCGTGTCGTTAAGCGCCAATAGGTTACGCAAACAGCTACCGAATGCTCTGTTAGGGAAGCCGGGTAGCATTCCAGGGAATGACAACCTTATTTAAAAAGGGTTTAGAGATTCCGTGAGGAATCCCTCTTTTTAAAATAAAATGTTATTACATCACATGTAAAAAAAATAAAAAATATGTATAGAGCTAGTTACTCTACCTACCTTTGCTGATACATGTCAATAAAGTTATTTCTATTTACCTAAGTTAAAATACAAACAAATCAGTAATAATAAGCAATTAATGGGGCAATATTATCGCTTCAAAGCTAATCAAAAAATCTCTACTTAATTGAGTGACTTTCATTTAGTTAGAACTGCCTTGAGGCAAGCATGTGTGGACTCCACGTCGCGTCAACTTTGTAGAATACAAACGATCGAATTAATACCTACCTTCACTTTCTAAAATTGTCTACACATCACCTGCCTTTCAGCTTGATACGATAATAATAAAGTTTAATAAGCAATTACACGAAAGCTGGCAGTAACGTATGCGGTGAAAACTTGATTATTCATTAAATTATCCGAGCAAGTAAGTAGATAACAAAATTGCGAACTTTATTAGCATTTAATTCTTTTGCATGTTGAGAATAGTTAGGTAACTATAATAATTACGAATAATAAAT